AATGAAGAGTAATCCCTTACTTTACATTTTCAAGGGAAAAGTCATTAAATTACAGTAACTAATTACTTAGTAATTAGTTACACCCAACACTGTTCCTGATGACATTACTGCGTTTTGAATTATGGGCGGCACTTCCGGTTTGGGGAACTTCGATTCAAAAAGGCTAAAACGAAAAATTTCAAATCTTAAGGTTGCCCTACAAATAAAGCTGATCCGTCAGTTTGACTGGATGAGCTGTCAATTTTCCTTCATGATTTATTTTCAGACATCATGAGAATAACGTGTACTTGGTATTGTGTTCGTTCGTAGAGCGAGCCTTTCTCTGATTGTTGTACAGCTTAACGGACGTTACACCCATAATCTGCACAAAGCGTCATGGGGCGTAGCAATACTGTTGTCTAAAAAACAGTTGTGACAATTTTAACATGCTATATAAAAATATCTGTGAGGTATTTTGAGCTAAAACTTCATATACACACTCTGGGGACATCAAATACTTATTTTACATCTTGAAAAGGGCATTATACCACCCCTTTAACACGGTTACATTCACACACAGTGTGAGATAAGTTAAGTAATGTGATAGATGTGGTAACTAGAGAAGACCTGGCAACCCGAATACCGCAACACTACTGACTCCGTGATCGGTAGATCGGTGGAGGGTAGCGGATCAGACAAAAACACATGACAACATCAGTTTAGGGCTGCAACTTCACTTTTTAAATGACAATATTCATGATTTCTTAAAGGGGGGGTTGACTACAATTTTCACTTTTTTCATTGTAAATAGTGTGTAATGTTGCTGTTGGTGCATGAACAGTATCTGCAAAGTTGCAGCGCTGAAAGTTCAGTGTAAGCAGAGATATCGTCTTTTAAAAATCAGGAAGTGTAAACGCCTACAAAAACGACTCGATTGGGACTACAGCTGGGTTTTAGACGTCACTAACCCACACACACAAATGCAAAAAAGGACATGCGCATATTTCTGCGGTTCGTCGAGTGTGTTGTGTTCACGCAGCTGTCAGGTCTTCTGTGTTCGAGCTTCCCACGGTCGGACGCTGTACTTCGTCAACAATGGAAACAATTTATGTTTGATTATGTTCCTGAAAATGACGATCGTAATCTAGCTCTCTGTGCTGCGCATTTTACGGAAGACAGATTCCAGAATCTCCACGAATTCAACACCGGATTCAACAAGAAACTGTTACTAAAACATGAAGCAGATCTAACTTTAAAACCAGAGGCAGCAGTTGTTGGGCCACAACCTGTAAGTAGGCGAAGACTTCATCATTTTAAATGTATTTGCATGTATAATTCCAGACGTAGCCTTGTTTTATATATTTTTTCAAATGCCAGCGCTGGCTTTATAGCCACTATAGGCTACTAGTTATGCTAGTATTTTCTGTCTACGACAAACGCGTACAAACATTATGGACCTGAATTTTGTATAAGTACTAATGTTTTAAACTTATTTTCATGTATATATGCTTTATGACGTTACTGTATTTTCGATTTGATCAAGAACGTAAACTAATGCCACGCTGTTTGTGTTGAACATTAGTAGCCAGTCAGTTGCTATTGTTGCCAGTCAGATGCTATTGTGTAAAAACAAACGTGTATAAAGTTAAAAAATGTAGCTAGCAAATTATAATTCAGAAATGTTTAGTAAGAGCCGTGTGTGGTGAGGTTCTGCTTGACTCTTTCATCGCTGCTTTCTTGGTCTTCTGATACTGCAGTTCACACCATTATTTACATCTGAGCACAGGCACGTTTCGCCCGTAAATGTAATGGGCGTTAACCTTCCGGACAATGTGAGTGACAGTTTAGCCAATCACAACACACTGGCCCAAACTAACCAATCTGAGCCCACTACGTGTTTCTGAGGGAGTGGTTTCATAGAATCAGGAGTCGACCGCTCGTTCATGGGACAGAGGAGAGCGTGACTTACAATAAAGCTGAAGTTTATGAAAAATAAGACTTTTTAAAAAAAAAAAGAAAAACCACGAAAACATGTTATATTGCATCCCATAAACACAATCATGCAAAAAAAAAAAAAAAAAGCAGTCAACCCCCCCCCCCTCGTAAACTTGACCAATCGTTGTTGTGTATAGTGCGTCTTACACTAGTTTTCAGAATGATCAGAATAATAGTTTTGAAGAAACTGAAAAGTAATTCTGTGGACTATCCTTTTTTTTTTTTTTTGCAGATCTATGTGCAACATCTTCTGAAGAAAAACAAGGAGCAGTTGTGGAAGCTCATTCACTCAAATAACGCCCATATCTATGTTTGTGGGTAAGAACCAGAGGTTTCTGCTACCACACGTTGAATAGACGAACAACATTCTTATGAGAACAGTCCGTACTAGTTGTTAACTGGCAGGATTGAAGTGGAACAATAATTATAGTGTTACCATGCTAGCATAAAATGGTAAATAGTGGCATTCTTCAATATAACTGCATCTCTTTCCAGCGTCATAATGACATGCATATTTAATGTGAATATGTGTCCTTGCAGAGATGCACGTAACATGGCTCGGGATGTTCATTCAGCCTTCTATGAGATTGCAGAGGAGATGGGCGGCATGACACACACTCAAGCTGTGGACTATTTCAAGAAGCTGATGACCAAGGGCCGTTACTCTCAGGACGTTTGGAGCTAAGCTTACTGATAACTCTAGACGTTTGAAACTAAGCCACTTTACCTCAGATGATCATTTCTTCAAAAGCAAGAGCTAAAACATCGAGTTTGCCTGGACTGATGGATTGCTGTCAGGTTGTTTGTCTCGGTTATAGACCATTTCACAAGATGTAAACAACACTGGTCCAAAAGTTTCAGTTTGTAACTGTTTTCTTTATTTCACATGTAAAGAAAACATCTTAAAGATGTTTGTTTAACTTTTTGATTCAGTTTTAAATGTTCTGTTGGTTGTATTTTAACCCAGCTTTTATGTAGTGCTAAAAAACTGAAACAGGAAGTGCTTCTGGACCAGTGTTGTTTACATCTTGTGAAATGGTCTATACAATAGTTTTGATGAACTAACATAATGCACTTGGCCGAGATCTGAAAAAAGCAGTCCAACGTTACACAAAAGTTTAACATTCTTCCTTTAGATGAGTAACAGGAAACTGATTTGACTGAATTTGAGCCGTGGATGTTGGATGTGTACGCAAATGTAGGTCATGGATGCAAAATATTCCTTTGCTTCTTTTTTGAGTGAGGCCTTATTAAAAATGTTAATGTATTCTGTCATACTGATTGTTTTAGCTCTCTGTGAAATGTGACTTACTGTAAAACTTTAGATTTTGTTTTTGTGACATTGTTACTACAACGTGTTCACCATTTTATGTCAGTCGTGCTATGTTGATATTGTGCTTTCAAAAGGTTCTGCCACTCATTTTAATTCTATGCATTATTTAACACTAGCTTTGAGTAGCAATGAATGAGAAATTATGCAATCAACATGACCTCCATTATTGGGTGTTACATTGTGTTAGTCCATTTTTACAATTTTAAGCAAACAGGTCAAGTTTTAATCTGGAGGAATATATTAAATATATGTAACCGATGCATTTATGAAAAGAAATGTAGGTTCTTCTCTCATTCTCAAAAATGTTCTCCTTTTCACAGATTTCTACAAATGGTTATTGACTCAATTCATCCCTCTGGTGAGCCAAAGCTGCAATTGCAAAAAAAAGGTTGAGCATTATTATTATTATTATCTTTTTTTTTTTTTAAATGACAAGCTTGCGTTTGTTTAATTTTAAAACTTAATAAAACTTGCTTGGGAACTGAATTGTCCTTGTGATATCAAATATGTTTAACATTGTGATTTTAATAATGCAATGTTTGAAAATAAATATAATATGCTCAAAACCCGCTGGCCCAAAAAAATGTGTTTGTCTGGACGTGCTTAAAAGTGCCATATGTAATAATTGAGGTAAAAATATTCAAAAAATGAGCAACACGCATCAAAATAATGAGAAGAAATAAGCGCAATGATGTCATTAAAAAACTGACAAGTTATAGTGCTGCCGAGATATAAACCTAAATTAGCATGCTACATTACTAGCCCCGGCCCGGCAGGTGTCGTATTACCAGTTTCGGCCATGGGAGGCGGTATGCGGGCGGGCAACATAACCACCAGCCAAACTGCAGTAACCGAGTAAGTCGCGCCGGCTTGTGTGTACTACATTTCAGTTCAGGGAAGAGTTCAAAAAATGATTTGTCAACATTATGCCTGAGGAATACATTTTGGTAAGTTGTAGCATACTATATCTTTCAACAGTGTTCATGTTCTTTTTCCATTAACGTTAGCTAGTAGAGATGATCGGTTCACGTGCGCTAGGGATCTGTGGTGTAACATGTACAAGCGCCAAAACGGTATTTATTGTTTAAATTGCGTAATAAAATTGACAGAATCTGAGATCTTAACTAACCTGCTTGCTAAATGTCAATTGCGTGTGTCTCACGGTGAATTTGTGAGAGTTGGCAGCTCTGAATGGCGCTAGCTTGATCAACATCAGCGAATGCCGTCTGTCAAATTAATTCAAACTAAAAATAAAAGTGTAATATGAACAAAACGAATACCGTAAATTTTAAATAATAGCCCAGGCTTTTATTTTCCCATATCGTCGAAATGCACCAGCTTGTTTTTGAGACAGGCGTCTATGAGGCGATCTTCATCATTTAGTGTTGAGATGTTGTTCATTGAGTCTCTGATCTCTAAAAATCTCCAAATGCTCCACGTGAAACTGCGGTCTTCCAACCTTTTACTGTCGTGTCAAATGATTTGAATAATATGCGCAAGAAAGAGAGAGCAAAACTGCGCTCGCTCGTGTTGTTTGAAGACGTGAGAGTGCGCGCGGCCGCGGCACAACTCCCTTTCTGGAGGTATACTGCCCCCATCTGTTATGGAATATGATTTTATTTTATGTGACAAATAATTACTGCAGTATAAAAAAAAATGCACAAAGAATTTATGCAAAACGAATACATATATATACATACAAAGGTTTCACTCATTTAATTCTTTAAAGTACAAAAAGAAAGAAATGTTCTGTATCAAAACAGCAACTGTATAAAATAAAGAACAAGTTAAACATCACCCAGGTATTAAAGATGGAGGCATCAAGAGTTCTGGGAACAAGATATGAGGTATCTAAAGAAGAAAACAAACTGCAGCTAAGGCATCCAAATCTTAGGATGAGAAAGAGACAGAAGTTCCAAGAGGATTTGTGGGAAATCCAGGCACTCCAGCCTCAGACTGCGAGACCTGAGGTGTAAACGGCACTCCTGGCTGAGGTAGTTCACTCAAACACTGCTCTGCTAAATTAAACGGAGGCCTGAACTGATGCTGAGCATATGGGGACACGGGCATCCACGGGCCGCCGGTGTGATGGCTGTGCCCGTGGTGATGCCCATGACTATGTCCGTGATTGTGACCAGTGCCGACTCCAGTGTGAGGGGAAGGCGATGTGAACTGCTGTTGAGGGTACAGTGAGACGGGCCAACCATCGAATGTGTTGGGCAGGCTTCCTGCAGCTGGACCGTTTACTGGGGCGTACGCCTGGACTGGGTATGACCCTGGTGGAACGTCTCTGGAATTACAAAGGTTATAAATAAGCACAGTTACTTATGTACCAGGGTATCTGCTGTGTTTTAAACAACTTTAAAGGGATAGTTCACTTTGAAATTCATTTTTGGTATGTTTTAGCTTCCATCAAGGGCATCCAAGATGATTTCCGCAGTAGTTTCAATTTTGATATTTTTCGGTCAAACCGTTCTTGTCTGTCAGTCATATAATGGAGGTCTATGGTCACCACCTCAAAGAGCATGCACAGAGAAGTCCAAATTAAACATGATTTAATGACTCGTAAATGTAAGTACACATTGATGACCTAAGACACGAAACGAGCGGGTTGTGTGAGAAAACGAAGAGTATTTATATAGTTTTTGTTGTATTGTTATATCGTTTCTGATTCTGTTTTTTCTGTTTCCGTCTTTTTTAAATGATCTTTAAGACCTTTGTTAAGACTTTTTAATGACATTATATTTGCTAAAACTGAATTTAAGACTCTTTAAGGACTATAAAGGACCTATGTACTACAACTTATAAGACCCACGTCCTGTGTTTATTTTATTCTTTGTTAATTATTATACTATAAGTTTCAGTGATCACTCACGTGAAGTCAAGTGGCTTTTTGCGTTCTTCGGCCGATGCAGGGATGAACTGGACACCAGGAATCTGCTTTAACAAGCGAAAAGGGAACTTCTTATCCAAGACGGAAGCTCTAGATTCTGACATCTCCAACAATGAAAACCATCCCAGTCCATCTGAAAGTATTAAGTTAAGGAATAGACTTGAAATCCACTACAACATAGGATTGTAAGCTTTAAAATACAGGTCTGTATTTCCAAACAAGAAGTCTTAAGTATTACATGCATTTCAGAATGAAGGATACATAAAATTCCGGTGATGATGGCCAGGACGTTACACATAAAGACAGTGTTTGGAAAGAACAGAGTTATAATTATTAGAATAATCCAGGGTAGAGATGCAGTAGGCACACTGATGCCCATAATATATGCCTTCTTCATGGAGGAACTGATGGTTATCATTCCCAGGACAGAGAGAGCTAATGGGGTGAACCCATTCACTGAGCTCCTACTGGACGAGGAGAACAGCAGTGGCTCCAGCAACACATGTAAGAGTCCACAGATGGACGACAACAGCAGTGACCGGTACAGGAATCTGACAGTGCCAATTCCTCTTTCCAGCCCACTGCAGGGAAACACCATCAGGATGGCACCCAGGAAAAAATGGATCATATTCTTGTGGTATAGGAAATAGGTGAATAGTTTGTAGACTGTGAAGAAAGGGGACAAAAATTAAGCATTATATATAATTAATATTATATATTTTTCATTATATATATATATATATATATATATATAATGAACGAACAAATATATATTTGTATTGTGTGTGTATATATATATGCTGCTAATGCTGTAAATGGATTTACATAGTTACATAAAAACATTATTTCTGAAGTTATTGTGTAAATGTGATTATTTTTATTTAAATAATTTTATTTAAATTTTCATTTAAATAATTAATTTTATTTTAATTTTTATTCTAAATAATGAAGCCTGCAAGGCTTCAAAAAAAGCATATCCCATCAATTAACAACCATGTAGCTCACAATAACCCTGTCTTTATTGGTTTATAAGTTATGAATAAAAAAAATCTATTCCCTTATGAAAAATTAACAGGATTTTTACTACTGGAACCAGTATGTTGCACAGTAGTAAATCACAGCAGTTGATTTGTTCATGAATAGTTTCTTTGTTCTTTGTGAGGCCTTTATTATGTATTTCTATGGCCGGAGACCATGAGACCCTATGCAGATTTTCTGATTGGCCAACATACGTGAGAGGGGGCGGGGTATAACTAATTTAAGTTTCAGTCATAGAACATTCGTCTCATTCTAGCACTTTTTATTGGACTAAAATCTGTCAACAATATTTATAGCCAGTTTCCCTGAAGAAACATTTTATTTTAAATGCACTAAAAGGGAATTTTGTCAACGTTTAGAAGTACACTAGCATATACTTGGAACCAGAGGTAGCAGACATGGACGAAACACCTTACAACTCTCATTTTGAGGTTTTTAAGGTACGAACGCCAAACATAACATGATTGACACATTCATATGTTAATTAAACAACTCTTACCATGGCCGCTGATGACAGCACTGGACTCCAGACTGAAAAAGTGCTCCGAGAGATCATAATAATATGGTATGAAGCTAAAAACACATGACAGCACAATCACAAATACTATCCCAAATGTTAACTCTAAATCCGGTGCAAAACCCGCAAACGTCTGCTTCAAGTTTTTCAAAGTGTTAAGCATTTTCAGGTCGGAGTATGTGCTCAATTTACAATACAATCTTAAAGAATAATTATTTCCGTGGAGCGGACATAGACAGTAGGGGAGCGGACCCTTATCGTGCTTTTACTGCACTCGAACGGCAACTTCCGGACTACAGGAAAGGTTAATCAAGGGGATCAAAATGCGCATCTTTTGCGCAGTTTAGTGCCAACTATTTGTCAGCCTTGTGTAGTGTCATATATTCACAAATTTCTTAGATTAGAATATATACTATTAAAAGTGGCCACTGAAAATATTACCTTTTTAAAATTTTACTCATAGTTATTATTGTGGCTCTGTTCTACTCTATCTATCTATCGAGAGAGAGAGAGAGAGAGAGAGAGAATGTGAATAAAAAATATATGTGCAAAATAAAAAAAAAGATACAATAATGCAAGGGTATAATACAGAATGAAGACTTATATTGAGCTGTATGAAAACTTCACATTGTGTGCTTGTGTGTGTGAAATTTTGAATAAGTGGTAATCTTTTTCACATGGGTTAGAAAAGTTATTTGCATATTCAATAAAATACATGAAATATGCTGGGTGGGGAAAAAATGAATGTGTTGACTAATGCTTCCTGAGTATTTAATATCCTATTGCTTCTCTAATATGGACTTCTTAATATTGTGGCATTGCATAATGTTCTATTTCGTCACCATTTTTATCGCTGTGTAATAAGCGAGTGTATAAATATAATAACAATCGAGAGAAAAATGGTTACAAAAGAAATAGATATAAAACAGACAAAGATTAAATCTTCCTCTCATCATGGAGACACATTAACAGGTAAACAACTGAAAACAAGCATGAGAAGGAGAGATGCAAACCCCACCTACTTTCTTTGAAAAGACAATTTTCCAAAGTCTATGATGCAAGTATGGGTGGAACAACTTAAACTGCTGGAAACCCAAAGCGGTTATTCCACTGAGAGAAAAGCTCTGCCTGTTAAAAGAAGCCATACCTGTTAGTCAGTGGAGCTGATTTACAACAGATAAATGAAACCACAGTATCACCAAAAGATATATATATATATATATATATATATATATATATATATTACATTATGAAAAAAAAATCTCTTAAAATAGGGTTAATGAATAAGCCCTTTTCTCAGTTTACTCCAAAATTAAGCCATTATGCTTGAAATATGAATTAAATAAATGTGTATATAATGAAAAAATATGGTTTAATATATATATATATATATATATATATATATATAAAATACAGTTAATATGTAGCTTTGCTAGGGGGAAGTGCACTAACTGTGCTTTGAAGGCAGGGTGTGTGTTGAAGTTTAAGTTCAGGTGGGTGGTGCACATAACTGAGTGTTCACTGATACACTTCACAGCCAAACTTGACCGTGTATTAGTTACTAAGAGACTTTTGTCTGTTTTACATTTTCCTGAAGTCTGAAAGGACACATTTTAGCAGGCTGATTCCAGATCTGTGGGAAGAAAGGCTGTCAGCTTATCAACAGAGAAACATTTCTGTGTGAGTGAAGAATATCCATGGTTTGGTGTGTGTGTGGAGATCATGATTTGGAGCACAGCTGGCCGTCTACACAACTATCCGCAAGGTATGTGATGAAAAAAATGATTAAAATGATTATGATTAAATGATTATATATTTTTTATGATTAAAATATAATCGTGTGCCTAAAAAAAGGTTCTGACTACAAAGTACATTTTTTATATGTTGGTTAATGTTTTATAGACTGTTGTATTTTAATTACATGAGTTTACTATTTTGAATGGTTGATTAAAGATTTTGTATATTTGTGATTTTGTTATTAATTATAAATAAATTGTTTTATAAATACATTACTGTTGTATATTGTATATCATTGTTGATAAGAAGTTAAATTTAGTAGTTTCATAATCAAAAAAATCCATATTAAAAACAACAGCATAACATGAATTTTTAAAGTGACAGAGTAGAACTGCTGATACTTGATTTAGAAACCAAAATACTGTCAAATATAGAATACCTTATAGATGCTATTCAATATACACTACTTTTTTTGAAAGAAATTAATATTTTTATTCAGTAAGGACAAATTAAATGAATCATAAGAAAAGACATTTATGATGTTACGAAATATTTCTATTTAAAACAAAAGCTGTTTTTTGTCAACACAACTGTATTCAATATTGATGATAATATAACAATAAAAAGTTCAGATTTAACATCACTGAAATAAATAAACGGAGCAATTCCAATAGGCCGTAATTACATTTTTAAATATTAAATAATTCAAAATTGATTTATTTAATAATTTTCAATAAATTATTTGAACAAATTTTATTTTATTTTATTTAAGAATGATATACGTTCAATATTTAGAACTTGAGATTTTAAACAAAGTTATTGATTTTAGCGATTCATCAATTATTTCCTCACAATGCCTAATCACTGATAACAATCACTTTTCTTTCCTGTACATTAGATTTAACGGTACTCCCACTATTGATTTAACTTTGAAAGCTCTAGACAAACAAGGAAAAGGTTAAGCAAATGTTTGTGAAAATTCAGTTGGTTTAGCCTTATGGATTTACAAAATAAACATAAAATTGAACGTTTGACGTACAGCTTTTAACAAAAAAAAAAATGTATTACTAGTTTCTTTTGATTAATTTCTTTGCATCTGATGCCAGGTGAGATTTCTGTATATTTCAGAGGGATGCCGAGCAAACGATTGAGTCGATGGAGCCATCTGGATTATGTGTTCTTCCTGGTCCTGCTTCTGGTGTGCCGTCCAGGTAAAGTCAAACACCTGTGATCATTATACTTCATTTCAGGGACTGTCCTCCTGTTTGCTCACCAATATGCCACAATACTACCCCGCATTAGAGTTTATAGAACAAAGGTAGATGATGAAAGTGAAACGTCTATTTGCGCAATGTGGTAACATTAAACAATGGCTTGTGTGACTTCTAATGGAGATCCTGAGCTCTTCATATCCTGTATTCTGCACCTGGACAAATGAGGTCCAAAAGACTGTTGCATTTATCTAATTTTGTAGACAAGTATTGTTATTGTGATCCTGCATGATATTGTGTACATGATCACTTTCACAAATCTGGTTATCTGATTAGTGACCTACATAATTACCCCACTGTATATATTAACATATTTGCCCACAGTCAATATATTTAGGCTGTTTATTACTGTAAATGCACAGATTTGTCTCTAGTGTAAAGAGGAACATCTCAGATTTAATTGTTCTCTGTTCCTGTAATGGGAGTGCATCTGAGTCACTTAAAGTATGGGCCGTGATCACTGGTAAACACAATAGTTTAACTGAAACAACCATACAAATACAGCTCAGCCAACCTGCTGGACATGTTTTAGTCTAGCAGAAACAAAAGCCAATTTCTACGTGTACTTATGAATCAGCTATGAGCAGACTACAAGAAAGAGATATAGACAGATAAAAAAATGTTGGGTTGTTTCAACCCACATTTGGGTCAAATACGAACAAACCCAAATGTTGGGTTAAAAATGTTCCATTTGAAAAGTGAAAGTTGAAGTTGTGTTCAAATTTTAAATGACATTTTTAACCCAACATTTGGGTTTGTCCTTATTTGACCCAAATTTGGGTTAAAACATCCCAGCATCGTTTAGAAAAAATCAATCTATCCATCCATCAAGTTAAATTAGGATATTTTAACATGATCCATGTTCCAATGATACATTTAGTGTGATTTAATCTTTTCTGTATTTTTTTCTTCCCTACAGTAACGTCAAACACAACTGTCACAACAACTGACTCTCCAGTCATCCTAACATTAGCAATAACTTCAGCCACAAATTTGACAACAGTGACTGGAGGAACCACAGATAACATTACAGCCAAAAGTCCTAGTTACTCATCGACAGCAAGCTCTCCTGCCGTGCTGACGGATACCTCAACCACATCTTCAAACATAAGCTCAACAATCCCACCAATGACACGCACGACGGAGTTACACAGCACTGATAATCGAACTACGGAAAACACATCCTATGACAACACAACCTTTTCTGAATCGACCACAATCTCCACTCCCCCTGAAAACACAACTTTTCACAGAACAACCAAAAACTTCACAGCAACAGTAAGTACTACAAATAGACCATTATTAGCACAAACGCTCCATTTCCATCCTACTGTATGTTATATTGCACCATATCGACAGACTCCTGAACCATCACCCTCTGCCTCTGCAAATGATACAACACCACTGATGACGACCATTAACCAAACATTTACCACAACCGGTAAGACATAAAGATGTAAAGATTTATCTCTGTGTGAATCTTATTTCCCCCCCTTTATCTAATGTTAAGTCTTGTTTAGTTTCAGCATCCACACCGTGGCATATTTCTCAAAGCTGTGGTGGTAAATATTACAACCAACATAATGGCACATTTTCCTGTTAAATGGAAGGAATACAATGCATAACTGACTCTTTTGGTCTTTGTTAGTGTTTTACTGGATTACTACATCTGTAGAGGTACTGGGAACACCCCAAAGTGAGCAAAATGTCATAACACAAGTAAGTTCAGGAATGACAATGACTCAGCTGTTTTATTTTATTTTTGGCCTGGTTTCACAAACAGGGCTTAGATTAAGCCACGATAAGACGTTCAATTCGGATATTTAAGTAGCTTTTATAAACATGCCTTAGGTCAAAAAAGTGCTTCTTGAGACAAAACAATGGCACTGACCTACGTATTTTAAGGTATTTCAAGTTGCTTTCAGTTAAAACACCTCAAACATGCATTTTAGTCTGAGACTAAGCTACCAGCATAGTCCCCACTTCTATAGCTAAAATAACCTTGAAATATAGTTTTCGCAAAAATAACTTGCAAGATAGATGATATTCCATCATGTAAGCTAGTCAATAGTGACTACAAGGTATCTAATTGATGACTAGTCTATTCTTGGGCTATAAAATTTTCACTGACAGCCTAAATTTTGCCCTGTTTTAGCCTAGACGTCAGGGCTGTGTTTGGAAGGCTATTAGATGTCTTGTCTGTGAAACCAGGGGGTTATTTCCTAGATCATTGATATTAATAATAACTGTTTAATCATATTGAAAACATATAAAAATGTAAAATTTTACAATAACTATATATTGCATTTTTAAATTGAATTTAATAATGAGAGTTAACGGTTGGAGAATATATAAAGAAATGATAGTGTCTTTTGGAAAATATGTAAATGCCGAACCTTTTTCTGTCATTCTTTGAAAAGCTGTAATTTAACGTAGTCTTCTACAATGTGTCTTTCAGCTTAAGGATATTTTCGGACTCAAACTAAATGCATGTGTTAATAAAAGCAGTTCAGAAAAAGACCCCAGGATTTTTGAAGTAAGTGCTCCTGAATCAGTTACCTTGGTATTTCATCAGATTTCATATCGAATGCCCAACATTTACTTTTATGTTCCAATATTAGGCCATGGTGCTCAGATGTGATCAAACAAATATTACAAAGTCAGTATCGAATGCTTATCTCCTCCTTATCAAACATATTCAAGCAATAGATGAAATGATTTTAAGCTATAAGCTGGTGTTCCCTGACAGGATTGCACAATGCTTTATTCTTCTGAACCGGAGTGTTCCTGCTGCTGATGTTTGCTGCTTTAGAAATAATCTGACGGAGATGAACTCCAACATCAATGTCAGTGTGGTGGGACAAATCGAAACAGTGGGTTAGTCAAATTCTTGCCTTTTAATAAAATAAACAGTATGTCAAGTTTTTGCTTAATTTAATCATGTTTTATATTGTTTTTACATCAGATAAAAGTGCTATGTATAGAATTGTTTCATATTTAAAAAAAAATTTAGACTGCATTTTCCACCAGATATAGTATAACTGTTCAACTGTAAAAACGAATAAATTGTACTGTTTTAATGTCACATAATCTAAAAGATGTGAATATTTGAGTGGGATGGATATGTTTTTGTGCAGGTGTGTGTGCAGGTAACATCACACAGATCTCAGCTGGACAGTACGACAAATGCAACCAATCAATCACACTTAAAGAATTTAGCACAGCAGCACTGAACATCTCATGGTGAGTTTACAATCAAACTGGAATAATGCTTATTTATTTGAGTAGGGTACAATATTATTCAAAAAATAAATTTGACATGCTTCGTTTTCTTTATATCCTGTCTCATTTTATTGTGCTCATTTTCGCAGTGGAAACAGTACAAATATGATTTTTCCATTGGATACTAATGATTCCCTGGTCTGTCCTACTATTCCATGTAAGGATTCCTCTTTCATAAACCTTCTGTGTACTTTAGATTTATTTCGTCACTCAAAAATGTGACATACTTCTGATTATTTATGTTCATGGACATTTAGACATTTATGATCGATCATGTGTCGGGATTTATTCATTACGTTTTCTTTCGTTTTTCCGTAAAGCAAAGCCGTGTTATTGTTCTTCAGACTGCAAAAGCTCAGGTAAGACAAGTTTATCATGTAAAAGAGTCTGTGGTGGAATGTAAATATTAAGGTCAAAGGTTAAACTTACTCTTCTTCCTCTATTTTAGATTTTTACTATCACATTAACATTTCTTTGAATTATGTAATCGACAACCCTGAAAGCCAAGTAAGTAACACGTATAGTGTTGAATTCAGATGTCTGAATATGATTTACATAATGATTTGTTGTATTATTTGTCAACAGATTCAACATTTTTTGAGAAACTCCTCATGCCAAAACACGGCGTAAGTTAGACAAATCTTTTTAAATAAAAATGTACATTTATTTGCCAGATAATGTCATTTATGATGCATTAATTTATCATGTTGTGTTCCCTGAGCATCGAACCCAGAACCTTAGCACAGTATTAGCACAATATTTTCACCACAGGAACTATAAAAATAGCTATTGAATGTAGTACGCTAACACTTCTCTTTCTCTTCTCCATTTTAGATATGTTTGCAATGTTTTACAAACTTTCATAAGTTACTATCAGGTAAGATATCATCATATCAATAATAAAAGTAAGATGTCTCAATCTTAGAATGGTTCAGATTTCCTAACAATTTGCGAATTTGATTCATGTAGGATTCAGACGTGAATTGTGACGGGTATGTTGAGTTTCATTGCAGCATTATGTTTAATTAAAGTTGCTGGGTGGTTCATGTACTGCTCCTTTTTTTCCAGGACTGGCAGATGTATAATTATAGTTAAACTAGATAGAGACATGGACTCGTGTGAAATTCACGCAGCTCTGAAGGCCATCTTAAAACCACATAACGACTTTTTGACCTTTGGCGGAGTTGTGAGCAGAATCGGTGAGTGTCTTCTGTAAACATAGCTATGTATCGAATGTATATCTGAATGTATCTGATGGTTATGTTGATTTTCAGCAATCTGCACTTATAATTCTACAAATCCTTTAAAACATGAATGGCGGCCATCTTTGAGTGCAAATTTCAGTTCTGAAGTCTTCTGCAACGAGTCTAACAGAAAAAACTTTAACGGATACTGGTTAGTAGAGCTAACTCAATGCTTGACTTTGCATATATGTATATTTATACATGATATTTGTTTTATACATATAATATACAGTAGTAATGTACAAAAGTGCATACAGGTACTTTCTACCGGTCAAAAGTTTTAGAATAGATCAGTAAGATTTTTTTATGTTTTTAAATTAAGTCTCTTCTGCTCACCAAGGCTGCTTTATTTGATGAAAAAAAAATGACAAACAGTAATATTGTGAAATATTATGACAATTTAAAATGACTGTTTTCTATTTTAATATATTTTAAAATGTAATTTGAAAGCTGAATTTTCAACATGATCCTTCATAAATCATTCTAATATGCTGATTTTATGCTCAAAAAACATAAATTATTATTTTCAATGTTGAAAACAGTCATGTACCATTTTCCCCCCCGAAATTCTACGATGAATAGAAAGTTCAAAAGAACAGCATTTATTTAAAATATAATCTTTTCTAACATTATAAATGTCTTTACTGTAACTTTTGATCAATTTAACTCATCCTTGATGAATAAAAGTATTTTCTAATTTCTTTCCCCCAAAAAATAAAAATTAAATTCTTACTGACCCCAAACTTTTGAATGGTAGTGATTAATGTTACAAAAGCTTTCATTTCAGATCAATTCTGTTCTTTTGAACTTTCCTGAAATAAAAATGTAAAAAACTGTTTTCAACATGGATAATAATCATAAATGTTTCTTGAGCATCATATTATAATAATTTCTGTAGGATCATGTGACACTGAAGACCGGAGTAATGATGCTGTAAATTCAGCTTTGATCGCAGGAATAAATTACACTTCACTATATATTCACATAGAAAACCGCTGTTTTAAATTGTAATAATATTTCACAATATTACTGTTTTTTTTTTGTTTGTTTTTTTTGTATTTATCAAATAATTGCAGCATTGGAAGAGACTTCTTTTAAAAACATAAAATATCTTACCGATCTAAAACTTTTGACCGGTAGTGTATATGTAATATATGTATGAATGTGTTAACAATGTGCAACATTTAAATTGATTAATGTCCCGCAGTTACTGTTTTTAACAATGCTTTTTATTTATTATTCGTTGTACAGCTCAGAGGACGTAAGGACAGTCATTCCCCTAAATGGCAGCTGTAATTCTTCTGCAACGCATTACCAAGACGCCATCACAAATCCTCCATTTTTTACAAGTACCACACTCTCAAACACAACAAACATCAATGCTACAGTCACAACTTCTGTGAATGCAACTTCACCTGCTAATGTAACAACAACCTCAGGTAATGTATGATATGCACTGTACGCATGCATCTTTTTATACTCAGTCTAAATTATATGTAACTTTTCTTCTAAAATAAATCCTTTTTTATTGCCTGTGTGTGAAGGGGTTGTAATCACACATTACAATGATCCACTTGTCGGGTTTTGACACTGAGCCAGTATTCCTATTTCTATGTGAAGTCTCCGGGTCGGATTTTTTATCAGTCTATGCGACGGCACTGCAGCGAATGACAGGTGTCATATATGTGTCATATTATTATACACGTGTAAAGTCTCAGTGTGGCTGTGTACCACGAGTGTTCGCTCTTGTATTCGAGCACGAGCACTCTTATGAAAATTGGTTGCAATCTGAAACATCACCGACAGAGGCCGCTAAAAAATACATATAGCACCTTTAAGTAAAAACAAAATTTGTATTAAGTATTATTTCATTATTTGTCACATTATTGTAACGACAAATAAGAAAATCACATTACAGTAATGGCAAAACTGCCAGGTCTCTCGAGATTCACCTTGTTAGTGTCATAAATCGGCTGAATGTTTTTCTATTTGTCTCCCTTTCCTCTTGGTTTAGGATCCTCCACCACATCAGGGACATCAGCTGCTGATGGACTGTTGAATTTGAGTGCAAATGCTTCATCTTTAAACGCCACTCAGGTGGAGCAGCTCTTATCACAGCTAGAGACACTTTTGTCAGGGCCCAATGTCAGCCTGCCTCTGGCAAACACTTCCGTCAATATCGTCAACAACCTCCTTGATGTTCCTGTAGATGTAATCACTCCTTTCTCAAATAGGTGAGATGCCCTTTCGCCCCATTCATTCTAATATAACAATAAAAGTATTGAGTGTCTTATAATGTCAACCAAGAAAGTATATTTACCTGAACTATTCACTTTTGGTTTAGCTGTCCATGGAATACACTATTAAATGTAGTCTGACTGACACTCGGGCTGTTTGCCTCCGGTTACTATAGGGTCAGTAGGATTGTGGACACAGTGGGTCTTAAACTGGTTGTATCTGGGACGAGTCAGTCGATTCTTTCACAATCACTGGCTCTGGCGGTGAAGAAAGTTGATGGGGCCAACTTTCAGGAGACGTCCTTCCAATTAACGGATTCATCTAACCTGCAGGTGACAGCTCCTTATGGTTTATTCTAATTCATCTTACAGATTTTAGAGAATGGATATGTTGCTGTTTTGATAAATGCTGTAGAATACAAGAAATCTTTAAAAAAAAAAAAAATTTAAATATTAAATATATATATAAATCATTTTAATGGGTTTATTATAAATTACTGTGAATTTTTTAAAAGTGCTTTACTATTATTATTTATGAAAGCATGTTTCCGCCACAGAATAAAAAATTAAATTTTTTAAACTCGCAATTCTTTATATCTCACAATTCTGACTTTATATCTCGAAATTCTGACTTTATATCTCGAAATTCTGACTTTATATCTCGCAATTATGACTTTATATCTCGCAATTCTTTATATCTCGCAATTCTGACTTTATATCTCGCAGTTCTGACTTTATATCTCGAAATTCTGACTTTATATCTCACAACTCTTTATATCATGCAATTCTGACTTTATATCTCGCAATTCTGACTATATATCTCGCAGTTCTTTATATCTCGAAATTCTGACTTTATATCTCGAAATTCTGACTTTATATCTCGCAGTTCTAACTTTATATCTCGCAATTCTAACTTTATATCTCGCAATTCTGACTTTATATCTCGCAATTCTAACTTTATATCTCGCAATTCTGACTTTATATCTCACAATTCTGAGAGGCAAAGTCAGAATTGAGAGATACAAACTCACAATTGTCACAATTATCTTTTAAACCCATAATAACTGGTGATGATAAATGGTGATGAATAAAATGTGTAGTTTTTTTTTTTTTTTTTGAGTCAAAAGTACCTGATTTGGTTATGCAATGTTTGGTATTACAGATTCGAAGCAACCCTGGGCTGGAGACTGAAGACAGAGTGTTCAGGGTTGGGTCCACTGCTCTGGGTTCAGTCACCCTCCCAGCGTCCCTCACGCAGAACCTGACCGAAGACCAGAAGCAGCTCGCATCCAGAGTCCAGTTCAACTTCTTCCAGAAAAACACGTTCTTCCAGGTCTGGGCGCATCTCCTGATACAGAGCAATGCTTTCGATTTAAATGATATGATCGATGACGAAGTCTAGACATTATCTTGCTAGCACATCTCAGAACAAAATCTGCTTGGAGATAGGAAGCTTAAGTTTAATTCATCTGGATCAATATCTTAACTCTTTTTGTATTTCTCTCAAATACAGGACAAATCACTGGGAGAACGTAAACTAAACAGTGGGATTTTGGGTTGCAGTGTGGCTAACCTGAGCATCTCTGGTCTACAGAATGACGTGCTGATAACCCTGCGAAACACAAAGCCCATTCCGGTAAAAATAAATAACATTATTATCACTTACAATTATTGAAACAATAAGTTAAAGCCAAGGGGTGGTATATATTGGCATTTTCACAAAATAAATCTCCCACAGTTTTCCCACACACACACAGCTAATAACAGATTTATACTTCAATACAATGTTGTTTTCTTGTCTTACTCTCTTTTTCTTCCTCCACAGACTGGCTATAAAGCTTCCTGTGTATTCTGGGACTTTACCTTTAATGGTAAAAGTTGTGTTTTAATGTTCTCTTCTTTACAGAAAAAGTCTGATTTGTGTGTTTCAAACGTTGCTGGCCTGTTTGCAGGTAGCTCGGCCGGCTGGAATTCTTCAGGGTGTCGTGTGCTTAATTCTTCTGATGAAGAAACGCAGTGCGCCTGCAATCACCTTACCAGCTTCGGTATTCTGCTAGTGAGTTAATGGCACAAAGAATTTACATCCCTTGACATATCCTTGATTTTTTTGCGATGCCATAATTGTTTGGTTAAATCTTGTCTGACAGGACATTTCCAGGACTCCCCCCTCTCCAGAGCATCTCATCATCCTGACATACATTACAAACATCGGCTGTGGGATCTCGGCTATTTTCCTGTCTATCACCCTGCTCACTTATCTGGCCTTTAGGTAAGGATCCTTATGACCAATAGAGTGTCACCATTTAACTTTGAACCATTCACCATTTAGCTTGTTTAATATTGTAGTAAGCAGTCTCACCAAGTCTGCTTTTATTCGATTTTCAGAATTCTTTGATGAGTAGAAATTTATTTCAAATAGATTTCTTTTGAATGAATTATTCCTTTTGACTTGTGTATGTTATGGATAACATCTTTTTTTTATATATATATATATATATATAATCATTTTAATGGGTTTATTATAAATTACTGTAAATTTTTTTAAAAGTGCTTTACTATTATTATTTATGGAAGCATGTTTCCGCCACAGAATAAAAAATTTAAAAGGATATTGCGACTTTTTATCTCACAATTATGACTTTATAACACGCAATTCTGATTTTATATCTCGCAATTCTGATTTTATATCTCGCAATTCTGACTTTATATCTCGCAATTATGAATTTATATCTCGCAATTCTGACTTTATATCTCGCAACTCTTTATATCATGCAATTCTGACTTTATATCTCGCAATTCTTTTAATCTCGCAATTCTGACTTTATATCTCGCAATTCTGACTTTATATCTCACAATTCTTTATATCACGCAATTCTGACTATATATCTCGCAATCCTTTATATCTCGCAATTCTTTATATCTCGCAAATTCTGACTTTATATCACGCAATTCTGACTTTTGACTCGTGTATGTTATGGATAACATCTTTTTTAAATCTCTCTACAGTAAACTGCGCAAAGACATCCCATCTAAGATCCTTATCCAGCTGTGTTTGGCCTTGCTGCTGCTCAACCTGGTGTTCCTATTGGACGGTTGGCTAGCTCTGTACCCAGATGCCTTGGGCCTTTGCATCTCCACTGCTTTTTTCCTGCACTATTTCCTCCTGGCGTCTTTTACCTGGATGGCACTGGAGGCCGTCCACATGTACCTGGCCATCGTGAAGGTGTTTAACACCTACATCTCCCGCTTTATGTTGAAGATTGGATTTGTTGGATGGGGTACAGGACTGATCTGTTACTTACAAGTTTTGAAGGCTGCTTTGTTCAAATTATTTAGTCTGTCTGAGGGCATAAGACATCATCATTTATTTTTTTCTTTAAAGGCATTCCTCTCATCATAGTCATAATCGTCATAGCCGTTAACAAAGACAACTATGGCCTTGTGACATATGGAAAGTATGTTGATGGAGAAACAGATGATTTGTGAGTAACAATTCCTATATTTCTTAGAACTAAGTTGGTATATGTATATGACTATATGTATATATATATATATAATTATAATATATATATATAATTTACTGACCCCCATGTCATCCAAGATGTCCACGTCTTTCTTTCTTCAGTCGAAAAGAAATTAAGGTTTTTGATGAAAACATTCCAGGATTTTCTCCATATAATGGACTTCATTGGGAACCAAACGGTTCAAGGTCCAAATGAGAGTTTCAGTGCAGCTTCAAAGGGCTTTAAACGACACCAGACGATGAATAAGGGTCTTATCTAGGACCCTTCGAGTCATGACTCGAAAAAAGATTTGTTCATTTTGATGAACAAGTTCGAACAGGAATGAACACTCATCACAGAACAGAGCAAGGCGAGCGTTTGAGCTTATAAAACTTTACTTTTTAAAAACTTTTTTATTTATTTTTTAAATGAGCGATCGTTTCGCTAGATAAGACCCTTATGCATCATCTGGTGTCATTAAAATAATCATTCTAGAAGAAAATTTCCGATGGCACTTAGAGGAGGCTTTTGTATCTGAAGAACTCATCATATATATAGTGTATATAATATTCAATATAAATGCATTTCCTTAAACACTTTTTTTTAATAAAATTTGTTTTTCTCCTCAGTTGCTGGATAAAAAACGATGTAGTCTTCTATGTTGCGGTGGTGCTGTACTTCTGTCTCGTCTTCCTGCTGAACTTCACCATGTTTATCGTGGTGATGATCCAGCTGTGTCGCATTAAGAAGCAGAACCCTCACAATGCGCAGACTCGCAGCGGCTGGCAGGAGGTGCGCAGTGTTGCTGGACTCTCCGTGCTTCTGGGCCTCACCTGGGCCTTCGCTTTCTTCGCCTGGGGTCCTGTTAACCTGGCCTTCATGTACCTGTTTGCTATTTTTAACACTTTACAAGGTTGGTCACAATTTTCACAGATCCTCCACCATTAGACTAAATGTACTCTTTTTAAGAAATACACCTGGCATTATTGTGCACTATTCATCAGAAAGTAAAAAAGTGCGTTTTCAAAAACTTTCTCCACAATAAATTAAAAAATGAGTCCACACTCGAAATGACTTTGGAGGAACAAAGATTTGACAAATTATGTTCTTTAGGAATGTTAAAGATAGTGAAACCACAATACAAATAAATGTATATAAATCAAGTTTTTTACAGATTATATTTTTATTTAATTGAATACATTTTGAATTCATTAATTCAATTCACTTTTTGGTTTTAAAGCAACGTATTTGTGGGTCATGCTACACTACCGTTCAAATGTTTGGGTTTTTTTTTTCATATTTTTTGTTTCTCTCATGCTCTTATCAATATAAGATTCAATGAGAGCTCAAATTAATATAACTGTTTTCTATTTGAATTATAGTTTAAAAAGAAATGCATTCCTCCAATCACAGCAACTACCCCTTTCATAAAGAGATTGTAAATCTAATCCAAATGATTCGAGTGGTTTATTCCAATTTTTCTGAAGGTACTTGATCGCTTTATATGATGAACAGATTGAATTTAGGCTTTTATTCACATATAAACATTCATCAACTCGCACATCAGGTTTGGTGTCAAGCAGGTTCGGTTGAGCTTCTGTTATGTTCGCTGATCAATATGTATGTAAATAAAAGTGTCAAAGCATGGTAGTTGTGTTGCTGTAAACGTAGAGATTGTGTTAAAATATCTTAATATTGTGTTTAGAAGATTCATGGCATTTCTTTTTCATTTTTAGGTGAAGTAACCTTTTGTATAACGTTGTTGTCACCTTTGATCTGTTTATTTGCTGAATAAAAGTATTAAATTCTTTTAAAACAAATATTAATGACCCCAAACATTTTGAACGGTAGTGTATAAATCGATCGCTCGAATCAATCAATCATCTTTATCCAGGCTAGTAAACAGTGATCATTTTTAACACTGTCCATTTTGTTAGGGTTGTTGTCTTCAGGTGCTACTATAAAGGGATAGTTCACTTTGAAATTCATTTTTGGTATGTTTTAGCTTACCTCAAGGGCATCCAAGATGTAGGTGTCTTTGTTTTCGCAGTAGTTTCAATTTTGATATTTTTAGGTCAAACCGTTCTTGTCTGTCAGTCATATAATGCAGGTCTATGGTCACCACCTCAAAGAGCATGCACAGAGAAGTCCAAATTAAACATGATTTAATGACTCGTAAATGTAAGTACACATTGATGGCCTTAGACACGAAACGAGCGGTTTGTGTAAGAAAACGAACAGTATTTATATCGTTTTACCTCTTGTTACCACAGCCACGTCCGAATGATCTGAAGGCGCGAGCGCTTTGTGGCTGTGGTTACAAGAGGTAAAAACAATATAATTACTGTTCGTTTTCTCACACAAACCGCTCGTTTCGTGTCTTAGGTCATCAATGTGTACTTACATTTACGAGTCATTAAATCATGTTTAATTTGGACTTCTCTGTGCATGCTCTTTGAGGTGGTGACCATAGACCTCCATTATATGACTGACAGACAAGAACGGTCTGACCTAAAAATATCAAAATCAAAACTACTGCAGAAATCATCTTGGATGCCCTTGAGGTAAGCTAAAACATACCAAAAATTCATTTCAAATTGAACTATCCCTTTAATCAGATACATAACCCACAGTGTCTTGGAATCCGTCATGTTATCAGGTGACACGTCAGGGTTTATTTTTATCATTCTGATGGCATGTTGACACTAGAATGCACCCTTCCCTTCGCAGGATTGTTCATCTTCGTATTCCATTGTGCAATGAAAGAGAACGTCAGACGACAATGGAGGACATACCTGTGTTGTGGCAGACTGAGACTGTTGGAAAACTCAGGTACGAGGCCTTTGTAAGTTCGTGTGTGTGTCTGACTGACTTTACGTGACGTATTTCTCTAATTCCCGCCTTTTTCTCTTTGACGCAACAGAATGGAGTCGCACGGCAACTCAGAAGATAAACAAAGCCTCGAAGGAAAAGACTTCATTCCACTCGACGAATTCTAACAATTCTAGATTGTCTTTCCTGAACCATGACAGTTTGACATTTGATGCGCCTGTGGGCATCGGTGAGTATTACCTGCTAACTTTAATAATCCGTGTGAATAATCTTTCTGCATACGTTTATTACCTGAAATTCCTATTCGTGCAAAACTTTAGCTTTTTGTCTGTAATTGCAGACAACCCGATGGACGACAGTATAATAACCGCAGCAGAGCCCATCTCAGGTTCTGACGTGGTATTGAATGAAATCAATGACCAGTACCGGAGTCAAAGGTCATTCTGAATAAACTGACCACAGTCGGCGTGTGTGCAGGCATGTCTAATGGTCTAACGAGAAACTGTATTTCAATTATGTTTTAAGTTTACTTAAAGTATTGCGTGTTGTATATACATCAGAAACGATATATATTACTTCAAATATAGCACTTTAATCTATGCAATTATTTAATGAAGCTACTACCACAACATAAAACCGTTTAACCCAACAAAAAATAAAAAAATATTTTTTTTTCAATTCATATAAGATCCTTTAAAGACATTCAAAGTGTTACTAAAGATTTCTATTTAAATGAAATAGTTTCCACAAAACTATTAAGTAGCAAAAACTGTTTTGATTGAAAAAGAGTTGTTTTTTTTAACCAACAAATCAGCATATTAGAATTTTTGAAGGATCATGTGACTGAAAATTCAGCTTTACCATCGCATAAATAAATTACGTTTTAAAATGTATGATAAAATATTAAAGTTATTTTACTTTTTAAGTCCTACTGTACAAGACTACAACTGGAAGGGTGATGATTTGATTGATTTTATTCACATGTTCATATAATTATTAAGCATATAAAGCAGGTTGTCTTGGTACTTTCCACATGGGGTGGCTTGAGAAAGAGACCCGAGTTGAGTAGATAAAGCTGGGATTGTTGATGGATGGATCTCATAAGAAAAGTTATAGGCAGCCATTTGTACAGTATATCCTTAAATGAGATGAACACGCTCCTTGTGTTTTAGAGTTCATTCATGCCGAATGTAAAATGTTTTTTTACACACGAACCATATCTGAAGTCCATATGAATCTTTCTCCAGTAGCATTTTATCAACGCTGTCCACTTTGTCAGGTCACTTGTGCGTATTCATTTGACTCGTGCAATAACAGCACTGTGGCTCATCCTGGACTTATTACAGCAACTGATCAGAAAAACCCAAGCTACATAATCAAGAGTAGATACACCAGTAGATGATGTTGAAGAGAAGATATGCCACTGGGAAGAGGATTCTGGAGTACGAGTCGATCATGTAGCTGTTGCTCATTATGAATCGGATGTTTTTGCGCACTGAACGTTTCCTCCAAAGTCTGGTGCCTTCGGTGGGCGGCGGGTCGGTGGAAGAGGCCCTGGGCGGGATGGTCCGCGTGGTGCTGGGTGTGGTGGGTAGCTCGGGGAACGGCGAGACATCTATGTCATCGTGAAAGCAGCCATCATAGGCCATAGCCTGGGTTGCGTTGTAGGAAACTGGAACCTTTGGACGGTAGCAAAAGAAAGAATATCTGTTATGGAGTACAAAAACAACAATGAAAAATAAAATAAAATTGCACTTTAAAGTCAACTAATGCCATTTGTAACCCATTTGATCTGAGTTGTTACTACTGTAAAACTAATATAAATTAATATGGGGTTTCCTTTAATCACTGTCAAAATGTCTTTATTGTTTTAATTTTGTTAATAAAATGGAAAATATACATGTGATTATTTATGAATTTATAATTGTATTATTATTATTATTATTATTAATAAATAGTATTTATAATTTATTATTTATACATAATATATTATTATTATGTATTATCTTTTAATTTTGTTAATAAAAGGATGAATACATTAAGAATATTTTATTGTTTTTAAAATCTGTTGTTTTCATTTTTTATCAAATAAATTATAATTTATACATGATATAATCATAGTATTATTTATCCTTTAATGATAAATGTATTATGCAATTAATATTATTGTATTGATTTTTAAATCTGTTATTTTAATTGTGTTAATAAAATGCAATTCAAATTAAGATGTTTTAATTTTGTAAATGAAATTGAAAAACAAAAACAATTATTATTAATAAATAGTATGTATATTATAATGTATTATTTACATATAATATTTTATTATTATTATGTGTTATCTTTTAATTTAGCTAATAAAAGGACGAATGCATACATTTATAATATTTGTATTGAAGAATATTTTTATTGTTTCATCAAAAAAATTATAATTTATAAATAATATAATCATATAGTATTTATCCTTTAATGATAAATAAATGTATTATGTAATTAATATTATTTTATTGATTTTTAAATCACTGTTTTTCTAATTTTGTTAATAAAATACAATTCAAATCAAGATGTTTTAATTTTGTAAATAAAATGTAAAAAAATATATATATATATAAATAAATAAATGTTTAATATTATATTATGAAATAATCATTCTATTTATTTTTTTATAATAATTAAATTTTATTATAGTATTTTGCCAGAAAATTGTGGCTACCACGGTAAAGTTTTGTTACACCAATGAAATGTGTTTTAATTTGTTATAATAATTATAAAAAATTATAATTAGTATATAATTAATTATAAACAATTTATTTATATTATATTACTTATGAATTATTATTATTATTATAGTATTTTGGCTTTTGTAATCCCAATGCATTTGTGTTGCCTTAAAATGACCGTAGGGGGCGATGTATAACTTAAAAGTGAATATTCAGCCTTGGTCACAGTTAGCAGAGCGAACCTCTCAGTTTGTCAGTGTGTGACCCTGACCTTTCCTTTCTGAAGTTTTTTCATCTCTTCCACCGTAGTGAAGTAGTTTACGGCAGCATATTCGATGACCGACAGGAAAACGAAGAGAAAACTGGCCCAAAGGTAAATGTCCACCGCCTTCACATAAGACACCTGAGGCATCGATGCCGAGACGCCTGTTATTATAGTAGTCATGGTCAACACGGTTGTGATTCCTAGCAGATCAAAACAAAGGAGAAGAGAAGCGCTTTTATGGGGAACAGCCATGACACGGTAAGAAGAAGTTCAAAAGTTCAAGTTGTTTCCATTTATTACATTTCATACAAGATTATAGATGTCTCAGTCTGTGTGGAAGGAAATGTAAGTGTGAGACTGTGTGGGGAATTCCTCCATCCGGTTCAGAAACCAACCACAGAGCTATGACGTCAGTGACGTGTGTGAAAAGCGCAACATGTTGGCTGTGTGTCTTAACGCCTGCTGGCCTGAGTATCAAGGTATTTTGAGGTAATTTAATTCTGTTCTCTCTAAACCGGTTTGTGCTCGTTATAACCAGAGAGCACACCGTAAAACACACACAGCTTACCTGGGGTGATTTAACAGAAACTCAACGTTGAGATCAGGCCAGTTCAATAGAGCAAATAAACAGAATACAGTTGTTTAAATGTAATCACCATGGTTGCTAATGGATAGCTTTTTAAAATGACGAGGTTTACCTAGAGAGACACGAGCCGGTACAGCTCTCCTGTCGATCCAGAAGGAGACCCAGGAGAGCATGACCATTAGCATTGTTGGAAAGTATGTCTGCAGCATGAAGAAAAATATGTGTCTCCTGAGGATGAAGTTTATGTACAGCCTGTTATACCAGCCTGATGAAAACAGAGAGCACAGGACATGAGCAACAGATACTGAGAACAAGAAAGAGATTAAACCTACACTCTTAAAAATAAAGCTTCCACAGTGTCCGTACTCGGTCCTGGACGGCCGCTGTCCTGCAGAGTTCAGCCTCAACACTCCTGCCTGAAGTTTATATATGTCCTAGTAAGAGCTTGATTTGCTGATTCATGTGTGTTTAACAGGGGTTGGAGAGCTGAACTCTGCAGGTCGGTGACCCTCCAGGAGCCATTTTTGGTTCCCCAAAAAACCTGAGCCCTTAAAGGAGTAGTTCACTTTTGAAAAAGCTTTTGCTGATAATTTACTCACCCCCATGTCATCCAAGATGTCCATGTCTTTCTTTCTTCAGTCGAAAAGAAATTAAGGTTTTTGATGAAAACATACCAGCATTTTTCTCCATATAATGAACTTTAATGGGAACCAAACGGTTCAAGGTCCAAAAGACAGTTTCTGTGCAAAGGGCTTTAAATGATTCCAGATGATGAATAAGGGTCTTATCAAGCGAAACGAACACTCATTTAAAAATAAATAACAAAGTTTAAGTATTTTAAGCTCAAATGGTCGCCTTGCTCTGTTCTGTGACGCACATTCGTGACTCTCCTGTTCAAACTCGTTCATCAAAATGAACGAAAATTTTCCGAGTCATTTGGTTCATTCAACGAACGGATTGACTTGGAAAAAGATTTGTTCATTTTGATGAACGAGGAGAGTCACGAACGGCCATCACAGTAGAGCAAGGCGACCATTTGAGCTTATAAAACTTAAACTTTGTTATTTATTTTTTAAATGAGCAATCGTTTCGCTTGATAAGACCCTTATTCATCGTCTGGAATCGTTTAAAGCGCTTTGAACAGTTCTTTTGGACCTTGAACCGTTTGGTTACCATTGAAGTCCATTGTATGGAGAAAATAATTTCTTAATTTCTTTTCGACTGAAGAGAGAATGACATGGAAATCTTGGATGACATGGGGTGAGTAAATCATCAGCAAAAGGAACCTTCAATGCAATAAAGAAATATTACAATATTAAACCTTATCACAGAAAAAGAGAGGAATCATACTTTTAATATATTTAATAGAATAATGATCATCATTTCATACATGTGAGTTGATTTAGGTCAAATGACTTTTAAAATATTAATAATTAAATGTATTTTCAGGAAAACTTTGATGGCACAAAGAAGAAATATCATGGCTTATATTTTTACATATACATACATGCACTACTATTCAAAAGTTTGGGGACATTATTTAAATGTTTATGAAATAAGTATTGTATGCTCATCAAGGCTGCAGCATTTATTTGATCAAAAATTAGATATATGTGTTATATTTTAAAAAAATGTATTTAAAGTGTAATTTATAAGCTGAATTGTGAGCAGTCTTCAGTGTCACATGATCCTTGAGAAATCACTCTAATATGATGATTTTCTGCTCTGGAAACATTTCCCATTATTATCAATGCTGAGAACAGTTGTGCTGCTTAGTCATTTTGTGATAACTTTTTTGAAATGGATATTTTGTAACAATGTGAAAGTCTACTCACTATTTAACAATTTAATGCACCCTTTCTGATTAAAACAACAACCCTAAACCTTTTCACAGTAGTGTATAGTATTTGCTAACTCACAACTTTTTGCAAGCCTATAATCGGATATCTAAGATTTGGGGAAACAGGTTGAGAAACCCCGAGAATAACCCAAGAAATCTAAGGCAAAACTCCGCCTATATCCAACTGTTTCAGCCAAGAATGCTGGGATACCTCATTCTCTGGACTCTGTGTTGGTTCGCTGTGATAAGCCACATGGTACTAGGGCAATAAAAGCATGCAGGAGGAAGTGGAGCAGACATACCGGTGCTGCTGTAGAAGGCTAGCCCGTAGGAAGGGTGGAATTCTTCAATAAAAAACTGTGAGAGTGCAATCTCGTCAGTCCTTAATGAATCGTTCCCATTCTTCCAATAGAGCATGAGGTCGTTCTCATTGTACGCGTCTTCAAGAGAGCAGAGAAACGGGAAGGGGAGTAGGGATGTATGAGACAGCGAACTCTCTTTGAAGATACATGGGCGGCACCCTCAGAGGAGAAAACACAGAGCATCCAAAACTATCTCCGTGGTCTCTCCTCTGAAGGCAAGGCCCATGTAGATCTGTGTGTTATGTGTGAAAGAGACAGTACGCAACTTTAAACCAGTTCATCTATGCAGTTATTTTAGATCTGGAACAATGAAATATGATCGGGGTGTTGTTAGCATAGATATTTATATAAAGGCTAGATGTCTTAAGGCGGAGTTTCTATCGTCATCACCGGCGGCCATCTTGTCACAGGTAACATGAGTGGTCAGCACGAACACAAATACTCTTATCTCGTTGAAATCTTGACGGATTTACAAACTTTTATTAACGGATTTATTAACGTGGCTATAATTATCTGGATGATTATTTATTTATACACTTATTATTCATAAGTATGCTGTGTCATAACTACATCTCTGACGTTTATAACAAACCAAATCGGTAGAAAATTGAGCAAGTTATGGTTATTTAAATAGTACATGTACCATTAACACAATGTTACGAGTGAGCGAGCTGCCTGTGACAAGATGGCCGCCAGGTGCAGACGTCGACCTTCATCGGCCAGCAGCGTGGATGAGATATCTAGCCTTTATGTAGATATCTATGGTTGTTAGTGAGTAAATAAAGAGGGGTAATATGATAGATAAACCACTTGCAATCCAAGTGGTGTTGGTTCTAGATGTATTTTTTTCCATTCATTTCTCCCATTGGGATTTAAAAAAAAAATCCGAATCGTATCATATACGTAAATACTGTATATATATATATTAATATATGAAGAGTTCAGATGCAAAAGCCTCTAAGTGCCATTTGAAATTTTCTTCTAGAATGATCATTTTTATCAAGCTTGTATATTTAAGTTCAGTAATTTCACTTAAATTGCAATGAGGATTACCTATTAATTGTCATTTAAGTGAAATTACTGAACTTGAATATATAAGCTTGATAAAAATGATCATTTTAGAAGAAAATTTCAAATGGCATTTAGAGGCTTTTGCATCTGAACTCTTCATATGTATACATATTTTATATGTGAATAACATTTTTTTTAATATATACATGTATGTGTGTGTATTTATGTATAATGAAATAATTATACACCGCACACATACACATACACTCACCTAAAGGATTATTAGGAACACCTGTTTGATTTCTCATTATCTGAGTATTTCACAATCTGCTCAGTTACTGGGATTTTCACACACAACCATTTCTAGGGTTTACAAAGAATGCTGTGAAAAGGGAAACGCATCCAGTATGCGATGGCAGTCCTGTGGGCGAAAACTGTCTCTTTAACAAACAGCACATTTCTGATATATTTACAGGTATACTGAGAGCGAAGTGCTTTGACTAACTATTGCCTTGTACTTTGTCGACAGTACTTACTGTTCAGTGTACATGTACACATGCGTTCACACACGGACAGTCATACTCACAACTCTCCAGCTCTAGAGAGCAGTTCTGTGTGTCTAGAGGAAACCTGCTGAAGTCCATCGAGCAGAGAGCCGTCACAGTGATTCTGCAATTCACAATTCAGTGCAGCCTTAACAAATCACTTACAAAGAGACTGCAAATGTCCCTTTAAAATGGAGACATGTGATATTGCACTTAGCAAAACATCAAATTATAGAAACAATTGAAGTGAAAACTGATCCAGCATGCGCATGAATTGGCTCTGGCAAACCTGACCATTTACACAAGCCTACACTTGCAGTGCACGCTGGTACTTCTGGGAAAAAAGTACAACTACTCAGAAGTATTTAAAAGAAAACCACACCTTATTTGTCAAGGAAAGTAAACGAAGCGAATTTGGTTGCTGACAAATTAACCTGTATGCCTTTCTCCTCCTGGGGAACAAAAAAGTTGATATGCTAACCAAATATTTTTTTTTTGTTATTGAAATAAAGCTGAAATTAAATTAAATGTAAATATTAGATTGACTAAATATACTGAAATAAGTGCTAAAATTGCTAACTGAACACAAACAGACGTTGGGCTGTCAAACGATTAATCGCATCCAAAATAAAAGTTTGTGTTTACATAATATGCGTGGGTGCACTGCGTGTAATTATTTTGTATATATATAAATACACACACATGCATGTATATTTAAGAAAAAAATATTATTTAAATATTTATATATAAAATAAATTATATATATATTATGTAAACACAAACTTTTATTGTGGATGCGATTAATCGCGATTAATTGTTTGACAGCCCTAGCGTCAAAAGCACAAAAAATGACTAAAAATTAAACTAAAATTAAAATGATAAATGAAAATATACAGCTAAACTATTTAAAATAAGAACTATAATAGTATATAAAGAGTAATAAAATAATATTGACATTTCAATTACATTCCTATTTTTTTCATTCAATAAGAGTTCATAGACCATATTCCAAATCTTCCAAAGTCATAATACAGCTTTGGTTAATGAATCGACAAATAATTAAACTGCAACATTATCCCAAATAATTCTGTTCTCACAAAACAAAAGTGGAGTTCAATGCACGAACCAATTCAGATTCACAGGAATGAACCGGTCATGAATCTTGAGTTCAACTCACTGAACAAATCATTGATTCAACGGGTTTACTGAAAGGAATCAGCTAAAAAATGTTTGTTCTCACTGACTGCAGTTCTCAAGTTAAAAGCTCACTGACTGAAGATTATCTATTTCTTGTATGACTTCAGAAGACTTTGTTCTTCTCCTTTTTAAAAAGGATAGTTCACTTTGAAATTAATTTTAGTATGTTTTAGCTTACAGCCACGTCTAAGTGATCTGAGGGTGCGGGCGCTTTGTGGCTGTGGTAACAGAACGATATAAATACTGTTCGATATAATAGCGCTCGTTTGGTGTCTTAGGCCATCAATGTGTACTTACATTTACGAGTCATTAAATCATGTTTAATTTGGACTTCTCTGTGCATGCTCTTTGAGGTGGTGACCATAGACCTCCATTATATGACGGACAGACACGACCGGTTTGACAAAACAAAGACACCTGCATCTTGGATGCCCTTGAGGTAAGCTAAAACACACCAAAATTAATTTCAAAGTTAACTATCGCTTTAAAGCCGATGTTACTACGAACTGTTGTAGAACAGTAAAGACCTGAGGGAAATTCTTCAAAATATGTGACGTGTTCACCAGAAAAAATAAAGCCTTGCAAGTTTGGAATGACATGAGGGTGATTTAATGAGAACAGATTTTTCATATTTGGACGAACTACTGTATCTTCAGCACTAAAATTGACTTTAAAGTAAAGAGCTGAACACATCTAATTTTCTTTTTGTAAACAAAAGGGAATGACTCGCTATTTTCACAGTTCTTGACTTGTCAAAACATCTGGTTTCAGGAAAGTGGCTCCTAGTGTTACCTGACGCTGTACAGAATATTTCCATCTGGATAGACTCTGAGCATGATGTTCTCCATGGTGGTGTCGTGAATGAAAGAACGCTTGGAGTGGACAAAAAACACGTCTGGCACCCAGATCTTTTTCACCAGCCGAGCATCGAACGTCCGGCTCTTGTTATTGCTGGAGGGGAAGGCCAGTCTGTCGTCCTGCCAGTAATGTCTAAGGTACAAGGTCATGGTAAAGTCCTATGCCCACAAAAGAAAAAGTGATCGTGTCAGTTAGCAGCATAAGCCACTCTTTTATACGTTGAATGCCACTGTGTGTATATGATTATGCCTGTTGCCAAACATTTGCTTTCATTACATAATTCTCATATGTGAGAATTACGTGATATTTACCACTTAGGAAAAATAAAATAAAGCCAAATTAAATTAAAACCAATCCAAGGCACAACCCACTCAAGTAATTCGTTTTTTAGAAAAAAAATATAAAATGCTTTATTCTTTCATGGCTTAGATTTTAAAAACAGGTGTTGATGACTTGAGTATATCAGGATATTTAGCCATGATGTCTATGGATTTAGCATGCTATTCTTTGTTGCGTGCGTGATGGTTTTGACATTTGCCCTCTAGCTCAGTTGTGAATCCAATCTGTTTAAATTGTCAAGGATTTAAGCTTGACGTATGACTAGCAATGGGAGTTGGTTAAAGGTTGAAAGTAATTTATAAAAGCAGACACATACCATATTGACCTCTGAAATGCTGTCAATGCTCTCCACCTGCACATCGATGCCCACTGGAATAGCAGAACCTGGGCAAACCGAGTGTCAAAAACAGAATTGAAGGAAGATCCCACAGAATAAAAACAAAAACTGCTCTGAGTAGTTCACTTTTAAAAAAAACTTGCTGATAATCTACTTATCCCCATGTCATCCAAGATGTCCATGTCTTTCTTTCTTCAGTCGAAAAGAAATTAAGGTTTTTGATGAAAACATTCCAGGATTTTTCTCCATATAATGGACTTCAATGGGAACCAAACAGTTTCAGAGCCGCTTCAAGGGGCTTTAAACGATTCCAGACGATGAATAAGGGTCTTATCAAGCGAAACGATCGCTCATTTAAAAAATAAATAAAAAAGTTTAAGTTTTTAAGCACAAATGCTCGCCTTGCTCTGTTCTGTGATGCGCGTTCGTGACTCTCCTGTTGGAACTTTCGATGGTTTTCCCGAGTCAACTCGTTCATTTCGTTTGTTGAATGAACCAAATGACACGAAAAAAGATTCGTTCATTTTGATGAATAAGTTCGAACAGGAGAGTCACGAACGCGCATCACAGAACAGAGCAAGGCGAGCATTTGAGCTTATAAAACTTAAACTTTGTTATTTATTAATTTAATGAACGATCGTTTCGCTAGATTATTCATTATTCATAAGACCATTATTTATCTTCTGGAATCGTTTAAAGCCCTTTGAACAGTTTGCAGTTTGCACTGAAACTGTCTTTTGAACCTTGAAACGTTTGGTTCCCATTGAAGTCCATTATATGGAGAAAAATCCTGGAATGTTTTCATCAAAAACCTTTATTTCTTTTCGACTGAAGAAAGAAATACATGGACATCTTGGATGACATGGGGGTGAGTAAATTATCAGCAAAACTTTTTTTTAAAGTGAACTACTCCTTTAGTATCTCAATTGCATGATAAATAGTGACTTTTTAGTCTTCTTCTTCTTATTTTTCTGGTTAGAAAAAAGTGTCTCAGAGGAGAATTCAACATTATCTTGTATATGTGCACATGCAGATATACTAAAGTCAGTTTGAACCCAACAATTTCTCATTTAATTCGTCAAAATCAAAATCCTTTAGAAATTTAGATGCACCGAAATTGATGCAGAATCCGTTCCATAAAAAAAAGTTGCCTGCTATTCGGTGCAAAACATTCAGCATGACCAGTGAGGTCTGATTCACGTCATGAGCTAATGACTCTTACGAGCTGGTTCTTTTAAGTGAATCAAAACATACAGCATGACCAGTGAGGTCTGATTCACGTCATGAGCTAATGACTCTTACGAGCTGGTTCTTTTAAGTGAATCAAAACATTCAGCATGGCCAGTGAGGTCTGATTGCCGATCAAAATATTCTCATAATTCCTGACCTCTTAAAGAGATAGTTCACTCTGTCTGTGTTTATTCACCCTCATGTTGTTACAACCCTGTATGAGTTTCTTTCTTCTGTTGAACACAAAAGAAGATATTTGAAAGAATGTTGGTAATCAGACAGCCATTGACTTAAAAAATTACTATGGACTACAATGAACGATTACGCAATTTGCAGTCCCATAGCAGAGAGACATGGCAAACTTGTGTTTAACTATCATAGCTGGATCTATCTGAATTAAGCATTCTTGTGTCAGCTGCTTTTCTTCAGAGATTGGAACATAAACACATAAATCTCTCAAACAGAGACTTAACTCAGTGCACATGAGTGTGTGATTATCAACTCTCTCACTGTTTTCAGAGAACCACCAGCACGACTCATGTTCCCTAATCTGGACTAAAATAAAGCTCATCTCAGTGTTCATATGTAGGGATTAGCACACAAAATAACAAAAAAGTATCATGGTACTACCCATTTTTTGGACATATACCTCGGTATTCTTGGAGTGCCATGTAAACACAATTGTAAATCATTCAGTACCATGCAAAACATTATTACATGGATTTTTTTTTTATCAAATTAAGATTCTAAATTGAAATGAATATATTTTTACACTCTTTGTCCATGGAACCTTTCATTTGAACAAAAGGTTCTTTACAGTGGAGAAAAGGTTCTTTAGATTATGAATATTAAAATGTTCTTTACACACACACAAAAAAAAGGTTATTTGAAGAACGGTTCACTGAAAGGTTCTTTGGGGAACCAAAAATGGTTCTTTTTTGGAAAAAAACCCTTTTTTTGGAACCCATATTTTTAAGAGAATATAAAGTAAAATGTATTTTAGATGTTTTAACCAGTAACTATATATCATTATATGTAAAGATTTTGCATGATATTAGATCATATAATCAAATACATTTCCAGAACATCACCTAAATGGACCCAAAATCACATATCGTACTATAGAGCACCTAAAGGGACATGGTGGTGGAAAAAAATTTAGGATGGGAGAATTTTTTCCACCCCAAATCCATACTCTCGCAGGAGATATTTACGTTCTCTTGAGTTTGAACTTTGACTCAAATATTAAGAAATGCGGTCAGTGCTTAATTCAAGGAGATCAGTAAAGTTGGCAATATATTCACAGATTTGAACTTCCCGGATCAATAACTCATGAGCTAAACGTTGTTAAAACACAAATTACACCTATTTCCTGACGACGACAACAAGCTACAACCCAATTTTCCTCAAAACAAGCCTTTTAATATACACTCACCTAAAGGATTATTTAGGAACACGATACTAATACTAATACTGTGTTTGACCCCTTTTCGCCTTCAGAACTGCCTTAATTGTACGTGGCATTGATTCAACAATGTGCTGAAAGCATTCTTTAGAAATGTTGGCCCATATTGATAGGATAACATCTTGCAGTTGATGGAGATTTGTGGGATGCACATCCAGGCTCCACCACATCCCAAAAATGCTCTATTGGGTTGAGATCTGGTGACTGTGGGGGCCGTTTTAGGACAGTCAACTCATTGACATGTTCAAGAAACCAATTTGAAATGATTGGAGCTTTGTGACATGGTGCATTATCCTGCTGGAAGTAGCCATCAGAGGATGGGCACATGGTGGCCATAAAGGGATGGACATGGTCTGAAACAATGCTCAGGTAGGCCGATGCCCAATTGGCACTAAGGGGCCTAAAGTGTGCCAAGAAAACATCCATTACACCACCACCACCAGCCTGCACATTGGTAAAAAGGCATGATGGATCCATGTTCTCATTGTTTACGCCAAATCCTGACTCTACCATCTGAATGTCTCGTGACTCATCATTTTTCCAGTCTTCAACGGTCCAATTTTGGTGAGCTCTTGTAAATTGTCGCCTCTTTTTCCTATTTGTAGTGGAGATGAGTGGTACCCGGTGGGGTCTTCTGCTGTTGTAGCCCATCCGCCTCAAGGTTGTGTGTGTTGTGTCTTCTTCACAAATGCTTTGCTGCATACCTCGGTTGTAACGAGTGGTTATTTCAGTCAAAGTTGCTCTTCTATCAGCTTGAATCAGTCAACCCTCTGACCTCTCGCATCAACAAGGCATTTTGGCCCACAGGACTGCCGCACACTGGATGTTTTTCCCTTTTCACACCATTCTTTGTAAACCCTAGAAATGGTTGTGCGTGAAAATCCCAGTAACTGAGCAGATTGTGAAATACTCAGACCGGCCACGCTCAAAATCGCTTAAATCACCTTTCTTTCCCATTCTGACATTCAGTTTGGACTTCAGGAGATCGTCTTGACCAGGACCACACCCCTAAATGCATTGAAGCAACTGCCATGTGATTGGTTGATTAGATAATTGCATTCAACAGGTGTTCCTAATAATCCTTTAGGTGAGTGTATATTGGTCTCTCTGAGCAGGGGGCTGATGTACGGAGGTTTTGTGAGAGAACGCAAATTTTTCTCCCATCTCAAATCTTTTCCACCACCATGTCCCTTTAGGGGCTCCGTAATAGAACAGATGATTATTTGATTGGAAAAACAGCACGCCTCTCCTTGTTCATTTTCTAAAGACAGTAACCTTTAGATTTAGCTACATCCTCAGGAATTCTCAGAGACCGACTGGAATAATAATCCTGATTACTGTGCACGAAACACAGCTGTCCTCAGTGAATTGTCTGCTTGGCACTACTACCAATCTGGGTCAGAGTGTTTTTTTTTTCTGATTTGGACATAACGCATATGACATTCTAACCTATTTTTGGCAATCTCAGCGCCAGAGTCACATTCTGGTCATTTGCCCCTCTGTGACTTTTAAAGCTGTTGATCTTGAGTTCAGCCAGTGTAACAGAGGCAGAACACAGTACTTAACCCCATTCTGTGAGGTATCTGTACAGCCGCATATATGGATGATATCTCTATCGGCATAGCATGTTTTATAGACAGTAAGCAGCTTAAAATGCATGAATGAGACATTTCCAGACAATAGTGTTAAATTTGACCAAAATGATCTATAACCAAACCAACATTTATGGTCATTTCCTGCTGCTTACATAAATGGCTTTCATAGTGTGTGAAAAACGCATCACGATTCCCATCAGCAGATTTTTGGTTAATCACATCATTGGTTTCTCTCTCCCTCCTGATATCGTCCCATCTGTAGTGCCTCTCTGTGCTGTATTAGTGCTGCTGTTGTATGTCACGCCGTCATTTATTCGTGCCAACTGTGCTTGATAAGATTACATTCCCAAAATCATTCAAATAAACAATAAAGGCCTCACTAAAGCATCACGTATGTATTTTAAGAATACAACCATCAATACCAACTTTACATAAGAGGCTTTTGAAAGGACAGAATTGCCTCACCTCCAAAACCAGGCCTCATGGCGAAATCGTGATCCTCGATTCGCAAGAGCTGCTCGGATTTAATCAGCAAAGATTTGGTGCTGTCAGACTTCTTCATTTTAAAGTCTATTCGTCTGTTTGAAAGAAGAAGAAGATGTAACAGACATTAGCAAAAACACACATTCGGAGTAAATAATCAGCGCAGACTAAAACGAGGTTTGGAAGAGAGGAATTAATTTCACTTCAGTATGGATGGAACAAGATCACAGATGATTTCATGCGACCGATATCGCTCTCATGAGATGTAACTAATACTTTTAAATGGATTTATTTTCCAATCGCAAGACAACAATACAAAAGTTTCCAATGCAAAACCTCTTATTCAAATATTTTGATTTGATTGCAGGTTGCATTACTACTAATAATACAATAACGGCCACATTATTTGATAGATTTAGTGTGTTTTGATGGAGTGACATAATAGAAAAATTGCCACAAGCAGATGTACGTTTTTTTTTAACAATATTTATCATGTTTTAATTATGTTTTATTATATGAAGAGTTCAGATGCAAAAGCCTCTAAGTGCCATTTGAAATTTTCTTCTAAAATGATCATTTTTTATCAAGCTTGTATATTTAAGTTCAGTAATTTCACTTAAATGACAATTAATTGTCATTTAAGTGAAATTACTGAACTTAAATAAGAAAGAAAAAAATTTCAAATGGCACTTAGAGGCTTTTGCATCTGAACTCTTCATATTCACACTTACATTGGTCTCACCAAGCTCAATAGTTCAGGGTTTGGGGTTAACATGCATGGTTTACTCAGGTATAGTACTGGTTACCAAAAATGTAAGATTTTATGAATAATAAAATCCTAAAATAATAATCTATCCATCTGCCACAAATGGCACTGTTACCTGAGAATGACCCACCTCCGGATCAGTACTAAAAGACTAAATTACTACCCAGTGCTGTTTTTGTTTATACCTCACATACCCAGCTCAACCATGAGCTCTAATTACGGAGTTCCTTTATCCACAATCAATTATATCCTCAAACGCACACACAATCCAACAACCCCAAAACACAGCGCTTCAAATAAACCCGTACACATCAATCCACTGGATAAATAAGACCAAGAGTGTAAACAGACTGACACGGGCATTTAAGTTAAACAGAATACAGCTGATTGATGATACACAAAGTGAAGTTCAATCTGCAAAAGTATCCTCACCCTCCATGTTTGTGCCGTGTGTTTTCTCCCAGGTAGACGTCCTTGTGCCTGCGCTGGTTTTGCGTGTTGCTTCCTTTGAGCAGGGCGACGGGCCACAGCCAGGCCAGGCACATCAGCCTCAGCGTCGCGAGAGCAAGATCCATGGCCGAGGCCTGAGCTCCAGGATCTGATGTGAGAGATGGTGTGGGATCAATTCCTCACCCAGCATCCTTTCCATCTGGAAGTGCCGCCCATCCCGACACGGTAACGACCCTTAGATCCACACTGTGCGGCACACGTTACATGGTGGCATGTGAAATCCTCTGTGCTCCACTTTTGGTGCATGCGTGTTTGTGTGCATATCCCTGGCGGTGTGCGTTTCCCACCCTGTCTGCTTTTCTGACATGGTGCTCTCCCTCCATCCCCCTCCCGCTGAGTATAACCAAATATCAATTTATTTCTATAATGACAAAGGAATGACGTTAATTCCTCCCTAATCTTCTTATACGCAGCTGCTGAAATCTTTCAGTAACCTATAAAACTCCACGGGGAAGGGGAGGTGCATCGCAAGCAGAGTTAACTGTACCATCAGGTCGGTCGAAGATGCAACAAGCCTTCTTTTTTTGAGAATAGTACAGAAATCTATAAATTACTAGTCTTCTCATGTCCGTCAACTTAAACCTAACGTTGTTAGTAGTCTTATGTGTGGTCTTTTACAAATCATTAGTAACCTCTAGCTGTAGATGAAGTATTTGGTTTTTCTGTAATTGCATGTGTATCTGTCTGTCATGCTGCTATGATGTGCAGACTCACCATCAGGCTAATCTGTGAGAATCATCTTAACTCGCTTCATTGAGGATTACAGTCATGGAGAAGATCAAGAGATGAAAGGGGGAGACCAGGGATGGGAGAGAACGAGAGAGGCTTACTTTAGGGGGGCTTACTCTATCTATCTATGCAGAATATATATATATATATACATATATACAATGAACACTTATATAATTTTTTTTAGTAACTTTATTTCAGCTTCATTGGTTCTTGCAGGAGCTCAAACGTCCTGCGTAACACGAGAATGAACCGCGGCAAAAATAAACCAGCCGTATTTCAAAGTCGTTCGCGAAATGAGCACCAGGTGGCGCATGCCTAATAATAGAACTAAAAATTATATAAACAAAAATGTAAAAAAAATATATACATAAATGTTTAAAAGTAATGAATTATTAGGGCCAGATTTTGATAAGCCTACCTGAACTTTTGCGCAGCGCACACTATTAAAATTTAAATTGGCTTAGGCCTATGTGTATTACACGCAAATGACCTGCGTATCAAATGCACGCGAAAAACTGCGTCTCATATGCACGTTTAAACTCATTTTCGCACACAGCATAATGTTGACGTGTGCCTACTTTGCTTAAATTTGTTTCAATGTTGGAATAATAGAGGCCTATTTTTATTTTTATTTGAATTTACTTTTTCCAGTATTGTGATTATGAATTCGTTTAACTACAATGTTAACCTTGAATTTATCTGCGACCTCAGCTCTCAATGAGAACGGACGGTGTAAATAAATAAACAGTTAATAAAGTCGCTATAAACAGCTACCTTAAGCTTCAAGAACGGTAAAATATAACATTACATAGCACGTAACGAGGTTCGATCTCGGGTCGTTTGGAGATTCACGAGGTTAAGGTTGATGCGTGAACCACAGAGCTACCGTTAGAATGCTGATGCGTTAATGTCTTATATGCTTGTAAAGCCTAATATGTTTCTACTGCAATGTTTTAAGTTTTCATTTTTTTATTCAATTTAATATCGGTATTGTGATTAATTAATTTAACTAAGTTTCACTTGAATTAATCTGCTACCAGCTTTCATTCGCTCTCGGCGCGGCTGCAGATTACACAATAAGCGGACACTCTTCAAAGTCTGTGATTATAGCACCTCTTAGTGGCAAAAGGCAGCAAATACACCCCAGATTTTACCGCCGCGGCAGAACTGCGGCGATAAAAGCCGCATTCTGGTTGTCTTGTCTACCTACTGTAATAAACCGAATATCAGATAAAACATGGTGGCACACAATCAATAATAAAATTGCAGCTAGCAGAACAGTAATCCCAGACCAGTAACATGCTCCACTAATCCAGGATTAGAGTCCGATTGAGGGCACAGAAAGAGTGGTGGCATCTGAGGGAGTCGTGCACGTGCCTCACTGCATCTAGAGGAAGCTGCTCTTTTACGCTGAACAAGGATCATCCTTCACTATTCAGATCATTAATCATTATAAGAAGGATATAAAAAGCTGCTCCACCATCCATCACAGCCAAAGGATAATTTCCACAACAATCACCCCTCATCTTCATACAGTTTCCACAAACATCCTCTTGTGGCCAAATACTGAATGACAGGAGCACTAATACTGTTTTGATCACTAAACCGTGAAGTACAGTATATGAAATAGCCATAGATGCATTTTGATACTTGAAAAAGTGGAAATATTATGTTTTAAAACTATTTGTGAACTGCTTGATATACAAATTTCTATTGTATATCTATTGTTTGCACACTTGTTTCAATGATTCATATTTATTTTTCTGTCCACAACATATAAAAATGACAAAAAAAGTTTGATTTTGACTTCCTAGAATAAAAAAAAAAACATATATTACCAACTCCAAGTGGTGCTCACTGCAGAGCCAAATGACATCTGGACATAATGGGTGGAGCTTGACAGAGTCCAGCTCCGCCTCTGTGGACCTAATGGAATGTTCTCAGTGGTTGATAGAGTAGAGTGGGGCAGGGATGACATATTTTTGTAGGCCAGCCAAGGAATTAGCATCACCCTGGTTCCCTCGACAAAAACCCAAAAGGATTTTTTTCGCTGGCTTCTGGATTATTGCAGAAAATAAGGCCTGTTACTACAAAAAAAAGCTTATGATTTTTAAACGTTTTGTTCTTTGTGATAATCTTTGCAATTGAACACAACTTTCATGAATTTAGAAGCGTAAATACAAATCGGAAGAAGTCAAAAGCTGAACGTAGAGACAGACAGACAGACAGACAGACGGATAGGCAGACAGATAGGCAGATAGATAGATAGATAGATAGATAGATAGATAGATAGATAGATAGATAGATAGATAGATAGATAGATAGATAGATAGATAGATAGATAGATAGATAGATTATCTACCTATCTGTCTGCCAATCTATCTATCTATCTATCTATCTGTCTGCCTGTCTGTCTGTCTATCTACCTATCTGTCTGCCAGACAGACAGACAGACAGACAGGCAGACAGATAGACAGACAGATAGATAGATAGATAGATAGATAGATAGATAGATAGATAGATAGATAGATAGATAGATAGATAGATAGATAGATAGATAGATAGATAGATAGATTGGCAGACAGATAGGTAGATAGACAGACAGACAGACAGACAGGCAGGCAGACAGATAGATAGATGGATAGACAGACAGACAGACAGACAGATAGATAGATAGATAGATAGACGGACAGACAGACAGACAGACAGACAGATAGATAGATAGACAGACGGACGGACGGACAGACAGACAGACAGACAGATAGATGGACGGACGGACGGACAGATAGATAGATAGATAGATAGATAGATAGATTGGCAGACAGATAGGTAGATAGACAGACAGACAGGCAGACGGACAGACAGACAGATAGATAGACAGACGGACAGTGTGACTAAAGCCAGGAGGAATGTCTTTACTGGACGGCCCCTGCTGACAGAACTGAACCAGCACTGCCATGTCATCACACACACCGACCACACTTCTGCTACAGCCCGAGGGCACTAGATCAGCTCAGTCAACAAACACACTTCCTCAAGCCTGTGCATTTGTTAACCTGTAAGTTTGGTATAACAACTTCTGCAAAGTCTGCAAACACAAGTTTGGACTCCTTCCATGCATTACACATCAGTCTGTGTGTAGCTGTGGAATGTAAAAAAAACAAACAAACAAAACATTAAAGAGATAGATCACCCAAAAATGAAAACTCTGTCAATAATTACTCACCTTCATGTTGTGCCAACCCCGTTTCATAAAAGTTATGAAAGACATTGTTAATATAGTCAGAGTGTCCGAAGTTTATCAAGCGGTGAGAATACTTTTTGTGCGCAAACAAACAAACAAACAAACACAACGACTTTGTTCAACTATTCATTTCCTGCGTGAAATCTCACGGCCCACAGAGAAGTAAATGAATAGTTGAAATAAAGTCGTTATTTTGTTTTGTTTTTTTGCGCACAAAAAGTATTCTCGTCGCTTGATAAACTTAAGATTGAGCCACTGTAGTCACTCAGACTATTTTAACGATGTCTTTAATAACTTTTGGGCCGGCCAGTTTCAATCCCTTAAAGGGTTAGTTCACCCAAAAATGAAAATTAGTTCATTAATTACTCACCCCCATGCTGTTCCAACCCCGTAAGACCTTCGTTCATCTTCGGAACACAAATAAAGATATTTTTGATTGAATCTGAGGGCTGTATCACTCTTCCATAGACAGCCTGAGGGACTGCCTCTTGACGGCCCATAAAGTTATTAAAAGAAAAGGTTTAAATATTCCATGTGCCTACAGCGGCTCAATTATAACTTTATCAAGCGACGAGACTACTTTTTGTGCGAAAAAAAAAACGTAAATAACGACTTTATTCGACTTTCCATTACTTCCTTATGGGCGCATGCGCGAGAACTGAGACGAGACCGTTCTTCTTCGACTACTTTTTGTTAGCGGCTGCTCACCGCTTAGGAGTTTTACCGCCCCCTACCGTATAAGATGACGTACTGATATAGCCGGAGGCGCAAAACGTTCTGTTTACAAGCAGTACGTCATCTTATACGGTAGGGGGCGGTAAAACTCCTAAGCGGTGAGCAGCCGGTAACAAAAAGTAGTCGAAGAAGAACGGTCTCGTCTCAGTTCTCGCGCATGCGCCCATAAGGAAGTAATGGAAAGTCGAATAAAGTCGTTATTTACGTTTTTTTTTTCGCACAAAAAGTAGTCTCGTCGCTTGATAAAGTTATAATTGAGCCGCTGTAGGCACATGGAATATTTAAACCTTTTCTTTTAATAACTTTATGGGCCGTCAAGAGGCAGTCCCTCAGGCTGTCTATGGAAGAGTGATACAGCCCTCAGATTCAATCAAAAATATCTTTATTTGTGTTCCGAAGATGAACGAAGGTCTTACGGGGTTGGTACAGCATGGGGGTGAGTAATTAATGACTTAATTTTCATTTTTGGGTGAACTAACCCTTTAAGAAGCCTATGGAGGAGTGATCCAGCTCTCGGATTTAATCAAAAATATCTTCATTTTCATTTGTGGGTGAACTATGCCTTTAAAATTTTATTGAGCCATCTAAAGGGCTCCTTCCAAGAAGGAAACAACTATTTGACGTCATACGAATCTTTACTAATCATCAGGGTAACTGCAATCCACTAGTAAGTACGCATGGTTAACACACTCTTGAGTTTGGGAAATGGGTCAAGAAGATGACGAGGACAGTTGCAGCATGTCTAAATTTAGCAAATGCTCAACAAAGAACAAGGTGGTGAGAAAAGACATTGAAAACATTGAAATTCAGAAAGGTTGATCAGGGGGATGTGGGAAGGTTACCTTAAGGTCATTCGCAGGGCGACAGGGTACGTGGTAAAATGTTTCAGCTGCCATTTAGTGACTCAACTCATGATCTATGAAAGAGGCGTGGAAACCTGTCCTCCTACTCTCTCTCGCTCTCTCTCTCTCTCTGTCATTCAGCAAGCTCACACAACAGAGTCAATATTCAGAAATCACCTGAGGAACTTTCTCTACTTGCATCTTGATTTTTATTCACAAAGGCTTCATTCAGGCGGACCCAAGGGATACTTCTCTCTTTATTTGCCTGTCTGTGCTGTGGAAACAGTAAAGAGGAACAGGGTTTGATTTCGTTCCTGAGAGACTCTTTTGAAGAGTCATCTTCTCAGCTATTCAGTTTGTGTCTGCTCGACTCTTTTAGTCCCACACTACTTTTTTGTTGTGAGGGAGAATGTCAAGGACTCTCTATGGCGCTTATGTTGTTTTATGGATTTTTTCTGTAGTGGAGTGTAAGGTTCCAGGTAAGATTAACTTTTATTGTGATTTTTGACATTGTTTCTAAAAGTTGAGTCACTTTTTTCTTATTTTCCAATACGTCATTCATTTTTTGGTCCAAAGTTTGACCACTTTATTTATAACGATTGCCACTTTCCTTTATGAACTGAAGCTATTCAAAGTTCTGCTCATGAATCGCTCCTCTAAAGTGAGTGATTTACTTGATCAGCTTCCCGTTGGGTCACTTATGAGCAATTCATGTTTGTATTGAAGCTGAAAAGGTGCCAGGAAAGACTTGCGTTATGAATATATCTTATGTAATTCATGGAATAGGGTATGAATGTTAGATAGGGCAAGATCATCTGTTTTCTAGTTATTAGTTCCTCCTTAGGAATTCTTTCCAGTACTCAAGTGAAATGAAACCAATTATTACCCATTAATTGCTTTTGCTGTAATAAATTATTATGTGGGTTCAAAATGTATGCTATTTTAGTATTGAAAATAGAAGTGGCTTTTAACAAAGAGAGACAAAACAAAATTTTGACCACGCTTCAATCACGTGTATTATTAACCTTAAACCACAAACATTGCAACCACTGGCATACTTGCATGAAATGAGTGTTTAAGTAAAAAATGTAGGGCATATTAACACAATGAACATGTTCTAAAACATTTTCAAAAAGTCAAATATGTCAGAAACGCCTTTTTTTTTTTTTTGCTTTATTCAATACAGTTTGATTTAATTTATTTTTGGCACCATTGGATAGAGCTCATCGAGACCTTTATTTTGATATAAAGAACTCGTATTCGCCCAAAATGCCACTTACGCCCCTCTGGCTCCAAGCCCTCATTATTTACTACTGTAGTATTTATTATTTTAATAATATTTTTAAAATATATTATTCAATATATAATATATTAATACATATAATAATAATATATATATATATATATAATATTCAATATATATAATATATTAAATCTATAAATGTTTTATTTTTATTAATATTTATTTTTTATTTAAAATGTTCTACTTTTTTTTTTTAGCTTACTATATTAATAGTACTTCAACTTTTTGGAAACCAAATTTTCATTGAGGTATTTTCAGTTTAAGTTTTTAATATATAACTGCATATTATCTGTCATCTATATGAGTCTTCTCAAAAAGGCTTTTAAATAGAGACACAAAAACACATTTATGAGCTAATTACTTATCTGAAGTGGGTAATTTATCTTAGCTTTTTCCATGTGCATAATTATTCCCGCAATAGATCAACAGCCAAACTAAAAACGATGCCAAGAAACATGAATGATGGTTATAAATATACCTTATTATGTAATTAAAGTGGATGCTACTCTTCGATCTCAAGTGGAGGCAGAATTTCAGCTAATGTGTTTTTGAGCCTCTCCTTGTTATAGTCTGCAAGTGGAGGAGATGAGTGAGTCTCAGACCCGTCATCTGTTTGGACTAACATGGTCACTGTGAATATTTCGACAAGCCAAGCCCTCTACAGGGACTCTCAGTAATAGATCTAGACACATGAACCTGAGCGCATGACATCAAGATGAGAAACAGAAGTACAACTGAACAATTAGTGCAACTATTCCACAATCAATGCCAATTAATCTGTGGAAGAGATAGTTTGTTGCAATCTCTGCCTGTCACAACATAAAGGTCATGCAGTCATGCACTCTGTTTATTTTGGTTATTTTAATAGCCAAACAATCTTCTTGCCGATTCCGATAAGGTGAGTGTGTTGAACGCTAAACAATCCTAGTCATAAGTGGTCATTACTGATAACTGTCCTCTAACACACAATTGTGATCACCCATAGAAAAGGACAGACAAAAACAATGGCATGTATGTACTGTACACATGAGGTTAGGAAACTGAGGGTGGAGATTTGCATATACGTCAAACGCATCAATCTTGCAACGTCTTTGAGGAAATATTAGTAAGAAGTTGATGGTTTTGAAAGGGGAAGTTTGCAGCCTTCTCAATATACTCACTGTATTAGATCACACAAAAACGTACTAAAATAATGTTGTTCTATGTTTTATAATTCTAATATTGTTTTCAGCTTCAGTATCTAAACATCTGAAAATATGTGAAATCAGTAAAAACACTTACACTTCCTCCTAATGACGTAAAATGACGATTTTTGCATCATTGTAGCAGGAAGTGAAAAAGGTAAATAGCAGATTCCTCTCGTCTCAGGGGAAAATGAGAGAGTGTTGCACGACCATTCAATAGTATGACTGGGTTTCTAGCAATGCAAATGGGTTGAGTGTCCCTTTAACTCTGCAGGACGGCCCTGCTTTAAACCAAACTCATAATTCATTCTCGTAAGGAATATCTTAAAAGCCCTTTTCTTGTTTTGCAGTGGTTCGTGTGACCTGCATCTTCTCTGAGGACTGTATTCTTCCCTGCTCTTTCACAGCCAATAATAGTGATGTGAATATTAAGTGGTACCAGCAGGATGCGCTCATTCTCAGTTTACAGCCCCGGCACAGTACTGATGACAAAGCGTGGCTCGTCAGCGACGACGTCTCCAAGGGCGATGCATCGCTGCTTGTGAAACGAGTAAATACACGGAGTAAAGGACGATACAAATGTGTGGTCAACGATGTGACTCGGGCAGATGTTTCTGCAACAGTGGAAGGTTTGATATTGATTTCTGTGATTAATATGGGTTTATGAGTGGCTCGGGACTATATTCATTGGATAAGATTACTTTCCAACCCTGTTCTTGGAGCCACACCAACATTTTAGATGTATCCCTTATCTGATCCCTCTATTTCTCAGGTGTTTGATTAGGACACTTCCATACTAACCTATCCATTATAGTAATGAAGATTTAGACTGTATGATGGAAATAACTTGACTAAAGATTGGTTCTGATTCATTTGATGATTTGTTAGAGTAGGTGGTGAGAAGTGATCTTTTTGTGTAATGAGAGTGTAATGATTTTTTTCCCCGGGAAGTCTTCCCGAAGCAAGTTATTTATTAACATTTGCTCAGTTTTCGTTCACAAACCAGATCCAGTCCTAGTTCGTTCAGCTGTTAGCAAAAACACAATGCCCTATTCATACTTTTTAGCTTCTTTTAGCTAGCCCATAAAGAAAATCTGTTCTGTTTTTGCTGTATATCAAACAAATTAATGTTAAAGGAGTAGTTCACTTTTTAAAAAAGCTTTTGCTGATAATTTACTCACCTCTATGTCATCCAAGATGTCCGTGTCTTTCTTTCTTCAGTCGAAAAGAAATTAAGGTTTTTGATGAAAACATTCATTTTCTCCATATAATGCACTTCATTGGGAACCAAACGGTTCAAGGTCCGAATGAGAGTTTCAGTGCCGCTTTAAACGACACCAGACGATGAATAAGGGTCTTATCTAGGACCCTTCGAGTCATGACTCGAAAAACATTTGTTCATTTTGATGAACGAATTGAACAGGATAGTCACGGACGCTCATCACAGAACAGCATTTGTGCTTATAAAACTTAAACTTTTTTATTTATTTTTGAAATGAGCGATCGTTTCGCTTGATAAGACCCTTATTCATCGTCTGGTGTCGTTTAAAGCCCTTTGAAGCTGCACTGAAACTGTCTTTTGGACCTTGAACCGTTTGGTTCCCATTGAAGTCCATTATATGGAGAAAATCCTGGAATGTTTTCATCAAAAACCTTAATTTCTTTTCGACTGAAGAAAGAAAGACATGGACATCTTGGATGACATGGGGCTGAGTAAATTATCAGCATTTTCTATTTTTTTTAAAGTGAACTATTCCTTTAATTTAGCTGATAAAAATAGTAATCATTATTGGCCAATTCTGTTCAGACAATGGCTGAATTTGGACTGATTAATCTAATCGACTGTTTTTTATTGACATTGCTACTATTTTGTTTTATTATTCTAATTTCTCTTTTTTTTGCATTGAATGTCCTCCAGCTCCCATCAGTACGATCTTCATTAACACCGATCCCTCTGGGCTGATTGGCTGCTCTACTAAAGAAGTTTACCCAGCTCCGACGGTGCAGTGGAGCACAAAGCCCAGTTCACCGCCTGCGGTCCTGCAGCACATCACCCGCATGGCTCCCGGAGAAAAGGGCCTCTTTAACGTGGAGAGCGTCCTAAAACGGCAGAATAACAGCCTTGATCATATTTATGTGTGTAACATCACCTCCAAATCCGGCTCGCAGACATGGACAGCTTCATTAAAGCTGCAAGGTAAAACTTGTTCAAATTATAATATGCATATATGGTGTAGTACTAATACAGGTGTATGTTATAATGCTTATGAAGGTGACAATACCAATGCTGTCTCATGCACAAAACAGAAATGAACAGCGCTGAAGGGCAAGACCTGATTATTCCATGTAGAGCTCCCAAGGACCTTCAGTCCTTCTCTCTCGTCTGGACTTTTACGACGGTAAACAAAACCACAGATGTCCTCGAGTATGACAGCAGGACCCATAAATCCAGCCGCTCCTGGGATCATGTAGAACTAAAGGAGGAAAATGCATTGAAAGGGGACGTTTCACTAAACCTGCAGAAACCTGTTGACTCAGAGCACTCTGGAATCTACACATGTGCCCTCTCCGGAGCAAAGACGCGTCATGTGATCCAGACTCGTGTTGTTTTTACATCCTCCAGGCAGGGCAAAGGTATCCACTGATCCATCAACTCATCCATCCAATAATGAATCTGTCAGACCAAACCTAGAACACATTTCCTGTGTTTTTTTTTAAAACATCTGTCTTTCTCTTTCTGCAGATTTTCTTAAATATAATATGTGGATGCTGGGCATCGTCGCAGGATTAATCGCACTTCTCGCAATCACTTTGGTTATAAAAAAATACAGAGGTAATAGTGAACAGAACTTAAAGGGATAGTTCACTTTGAAATTAATTTTTGGTATGTTTTAGCTTCCCTCAAGGGCATCCAAGATGATTTCCGCAGTAGTTTCAATTTTGATATTTTTAGGTCAAACCGTTCTTGTCTGTCAGTCATATAATGGAGGTCTATGGTCACCACCTCAAAGAGCATGCTCAGAGAAGTCCAAATTAAACATGATTTAATGACTCGTAAACGTAAGTACACATTGATGGCCTAAGACACGAAACGAGTGCTTTGTGTGAGAAAACGAACAGTATTATCGCCCGCGCCCTCAGATCACTTGGACGTGGCTGTGGTTACAAGAGGTAAAAACGATATAAATACTGTTCGTTTTTCGCACAAAAACCGCTTGTTTCGTGTTTTAGGCCATCAATGTGTACTTACATTTACGAGTCATTAAATCATGTTTAATCTGGACTTCTCTGTGCATGCTCTTTGAGGTGGTGACCATAGACCTGCATTATATGACTGACAGAGTCAGAGCCTGACCTAAAAATTATTTCAAAGTGAACTATCCATTTAATCCATCATATTTCATCTGCATATTAGTGTTAATTGTTGTGTGGTATATTGTTGGTTTATGTTTGCAGCAAAATTGAAAAGAAATCAAGAAAACGCTGGAGAGGATGCGGAAATGCAAAGCATGAACTCAGGTACTGTCCTGTCTGTCACAAGTCCTTTGTTTTTTTTATATAATTAAGTCATAGGAAGAACTTTATAGAAGTTCCCTGCCATGTAAAGACAAAGTGTGATTTCCAAATAGATTTTCAATTTTGCAATTGAATGTTTTGTCGTTTGTCTTTCATAGCCAAAACATTGGAAGAGCCAGAAGCAGGAAGTAAACTTCTGACAGAGCCTTCGGGTTCGCACAGTTAAAACAGAAGATTAGAATAGAGAAGTTGGAAGACCAACTGATGGGACTTTATTTGGATTTGTGTGAAGAAAATGTCATTCAGGAAATATTCAGATGAAACTAAACATTTCTTGTATATTGTGGTTTTGAATGATGCTTTGATTAAATATATTTTTTTAAAGATTATATTAAAAAAAGAAAATATTAAAAATAAATACATTATTTATGCGAAATTTCCCGTAAATCTCACACTGGCTTTTTTTTTTTTTTTTTACAATATTTGTAATTACACTAAATTGTATTATTTAAAAAATATATCAATATTTCATTTCCATATTAGACTTCTGTTTAAAAGTTTGGGGCTAGCAGAATTGTCTTTGTAAAGAAATGCATACTTTTATTTCATGCATTACAGGAGAACTCCGGCGAACAATGAACCCTTGGTCTAATAAAACATCGGTACCTAGTCAATCGTTCTCCGAGATTTGTTTTCACGATAATCGATAATCGAATGTAAAGAGTTTTATATCTAAAAACCGTTTAGCGTATAAGTTAATGCTAGTAATGGGGCCATTGACTAAGTAAAAAAGAAATCGCTAGTTTATACCACTAATAAGGCTCAAAATAGCCCCACACTAACGCAGTAACATAATGAGGCTCCATACATGCAAAACGAAGCATTGACAACTTTGTAAGTGTACAGACCGTTTAATAAGAAGATACTTTATACAGACAGTTCACTTCGTGTATACAGACAGGAACCATCTTAGAAAATAGTCTCGACAAGTCAAACCACGAACGACGTGCTGACTGAGCTGAACTGTATGAAGTTCAGCGAACTTCTGAACTGTATTAACGGCGTTCGGGGATCGACTTATCGAGACTATTTTCTAAGATGGCTCCTGTCTGTATACGCGAAGTGAACTGTCTTCATAAAGTATCTTCTTATTAAACGGTCTGTACACTTACAAAGTTCTCAATGCTTCGTTTTGCATGTATGGATGCATTATGTTACTGTGTAAGTGTGGGGCTATTTTGAGCCTTGTTAGTGGTATAAACTAGCGATTTCTTTTTACTTAGTCAATGCCTCCATTACTAGCATTATACGCTAAACAGTTTTTAGAGATAAAACTCTTTACATTCGATTACCATGAAAACAAATCTCAGAGAACGATTGACTAGGTACCGATGTTTTATTAGACCAAAGGTTCATTGTTCGCCGGAGTTCTCCTTTAAATTGATCAAAAGTGAATTCACATCATGACACATGGACAGACCACACCAGTCTGCTGCGATGTTTTAATGACCCGGCCTGTTCTTTTCTTTATCCTCTGCTTAACTGTACCCGTTACATGGCCAAACCAGTTCTGGTCACTATATGTCCACTCATGCACTCTGGTTAATCTTTTACCGCTTTAATTGATATGTCCACAAGGGTCTTTGTGTCCCCCTTTCTCACGCGCACACACTCTCAGGACACATGCACACGTACAGAGAAAGATTGTGGCATCACAGTAAATTTGATTTGAAAGAGTGGCGTAATCCGACAGTCATGGATCTGCTGTTTCTGAGTGTTGCATTTGTGCTTTTACTTAGGACTCGCGTTTCTGGTATCATCATTACTAAAGGTAAGACCACATATACACGCATGCTCACTTTTAATACTTCTCAGTGTGAGATATAATTACCATCCATGTCTTGGAGGAAAGTTTCTTTATCCTTTTTAATGTTGTCTTCTTGAAATATATAGCTATATAGGCCTATATTTAAAAAAAAATAGAAGTATTCATTCGTAATAAAAAATATATAAAATGCAAGATCCAATATTTTGTACATGATACGTGAATAAATTGTTACAGGAATGTTTATGTAATTTTAATTAATATTTGGTATTTATTTTGTCATTTCTTCCCCTGCATTTTCCACCTCTGGCATTAAAGTTGTACATCATTTAGATGTAGCTGTAGTTGCTCAGTGAATGGATCAAAGTAGGAAACTCCATTAGTCTCGGATTAATGACACTGGTGAACGAGAACAAGAACAAAGACTGACTTTGACGAAAATCAATATGTGATTTATTTATCCTCATAAGCAGCCTACAAGTAAAAACATTTAAGCATCTACATTACAGTCTGTTTGAATAAAAGAAGAACAGGTTCATGGCTAAAAGTGCAAATGTGCAGTTTTGTTATTTGAGGATTTGGCAGAAAGATATTTTAAACCAAGACAACCAGAACACAATCTGTAGTGACCCAGCTAACGGGATATTCTCTCAAAGTTATGAACAAATGTTCTTCCAAAGTTATATGGAACGTTTTTTAATGGTACACACCGCCCTCTAGTGGTTAAAAAAAACTGTTGTTCGAAAAAATATTGTTTTGGTTGAGCTGAAAATATTGCCTGACTGTGCAAGTGAATAGCCTATACCTTTTGCAACAGATAATGTTTTACAATGCTGGACTCTGTTGCTACATGGCAATTGATCTGTTCAATACTGAGTAAAAACGCCGCCATCTCTTTTACATCATGTCAAATCCCTCAGTTGTGGCTATCTCCGAAAATGTTGATTCTCGAGCTCTGTCACCACATCTTCTCTGTTCTGCTGTTCTAAATTTAACGTGTGGTCAAGATTTTTTTTTTTTGACAACATCACATCATCACACCTGCGGATATTTTCTTCAGAACTCTATTTAGATGATAGGAGGTCACGCATGAGCGAGTGACGTACGAAATTTCCCGCGAACACCATGATGACAGGTCTCAAATATAAACACTTAGGCTTGCAATTTTATTTTTGGATAACTCAATGGGAACGTAAACACAATGTCCTTAGAACAGTTTTGATAGCCCGTGAGAATTTTTGTTTTCAAAGCAAAACTGAATTTAACATCTGTAGCACCTCATTGCAGTTCACGAGATCCAGGGGGCGGAGTTGGATCCAGGTCAAAGGGGTGGAGATGGGTGGGGCTAGGGATCAGGGGGCAGAGAGGGGTAGGATTAGGTATGTAAGGTGGGAGGAGTTGGATCTGGACTGAACTCCTCCCCCTGGATTTCGTGTTCTGCACTCTCTTTAACATTGCAATTATTTTACATGTGCTGGTCTCACTCTAGATGCCCACGTAACATGTCTGTTCTTGGAAGACTGCGTGCTACCCTGCAGTTTCAGGCCCACGGCAGCCGTGGTCATCCACTGGTACAAGCAGCAAATCCCCGTCCATAGCTACTACTACAATAAAGACCAGTACGGGCTCCAGAACAAGCATTTCAGTGGTCGGACGAACCTGTTTAATTCCCAGATTACACAGGGAAATGCCTCTCTGGTGCTGAGGAAAGTTAAAGTCCAGGATCAAGGGAGGTATAAGTGCTACACCATCACCAGGAAGGGAAACCAGGAAACCTTTGTTAACCTAGGGGTGAAAGGTCAGTAACGGGGTCATGGCTGAGTCATATTGTTTGAGTTTGCTTGGGTTATTGGAGTTGTCTGATGTAAAAAGTTATTTTTCACAAAGTCTAACAATTTTTGGTCCCCTACTGTGAAAGGAATTTCCCAACTGGGGTCACAGGACTCTCATGGGGCCACAAGAGGGCGCTAGCGGGGTCTGTAGAAAATTTTAACAAGTAACAAATGACATTGAAATAATTCAAAAATAAATAATAATACATTTTCATTTTTGGTCATTTATTCTATTGACATAAAACAGAAAAAAAACTTAATTTAATAGAAATTATTTTCTTTGGATATATTTTATTCTTTTGAAAAACGTTTATTTTAATATTGAAAACACAAAAGTATAACATACAAAAAGTAAATACTATTTTAAAATATTTTTGGTCAGAAGTAAACAATACAAATATTTTTGGTCAGTAATTTTTCAGATTTTTTATTTAAAAAAAGTATTTATTTTAATATTGAAAAACTTTTTTCTCCAGGTTTGTTTCTTGTTCTTCAGCCCAAAAAGGGTGTTAACAATAATAAAGATAAATATTGTTTTAAATGACAGTTTATACATGAACATATCTAGCATATAATTCCATGTATTATAAATAGCAAATGGCAGTAAAAAACATTACATACTACATGGCATTAAAACATTTGAAAACCCTTAATTTAGTAATTCACTAGATGTTTATACCCAGAGACCACGTGATTTAATTCAGAATTAAACAGATGCTGACAAATCTTAGTACAATGCATGCATGTAGACAAGATAACATGAAAAAGTTTGTATAGCTGCACAGTTCAAATAATAACTCATTTTAATAGAATTTCATGTGGTACTATTTCTTTTTATGTTTAGCTCTGATCCAGTTTGTGAAGCTTGAGATGGCTGAGGAAAGGGTCACATGTCTGTCCCAGAACATCTACCCAGCTCCTGAGGTCACCTGGGCCACTGATCCCCCTAGTGACATCAGAAGCCTCCAGAACTTCACTCGCAAAACCTCGGACTCCAAGGGCCTGTTCACGGTTGAGAGCGCCATCAGTGTGATGGGCAACATCTCTGACCACACTTACTTCTGCTCTGTTGTCTCAGCGGATGGAGCGCAGGTGTGGACCGCATCACTGCACCAGCAAGGTAAGCACTGATGGACTTGCTTAAACAATGTGTTGCATGCCCCCCGATCAACGATGAGACTTTTACTCATGGTTTTACGATGTTTAATCTTTATGAACCTTAATCCGTTCACCATATCACCAACGTGAGAGCTCAAATGTATATACAAAACATATCCTGATCAGCTAACATTGTTCACATTCACATGCTGTCTTACATTTGTGCAAAAACTGATTTAACATACTGTACCTCTTCAGAGGCTGCAAGTATAATTTGATGTTTACCACGACTCCGTGTCAAAGTTATTACTGTATTCGGTATCACGTTGCGCAAACTATACACGAATCCGACGAGCGTTCTGTGTAGGCTGCCATCTTGTGGCGACGCCATTAACGTTACCGGTAAATGTAAACAAACCTCCGAGTCAGTTTGAGTCTGTGCGTCAGGAACGGAAGTCCTAAAAAATCGCTAAAATGGGCATTACTTGTCACAATTGAGTTCCAATGAGATGGCTCTGTCTATTTCTTATACTGTCTATCTATGTATAAAGTGCGCTAGCCAGGGCGCGCGCGCGCTTCCAAAAGAAAACAAAATCGCGGACCGGAAGTTAACCATTTCAGTTCAAAAATTTCAAAATAAAGGACAATCACATTTTCTGTAACAAAATACACTTATGGTTATTTACACAATGTCAAGAAATGTGTGTGTCATACCTTCAAGCAGATATCGTTTGATTTTTTTTTTTTAGCTAAGTTACTTGGTGAGGAGGGCTCTGGACTTATGATCCCCTGCATGATACCACAACCTCGCCACAATTTTACCCTCACTTGGACCTTCATCAGAACCACAGAATCCTCCGTCATCTTCACGTACGACAGCCGGACCCGTCGGATCGCGAACCTGTGGGAAAGCAAAGCTGAACTCGACATAGATCAGGCTCATTTAGGCAACGGGTCCCTTCATCTGCCCAATCCAGACAGCTTGGGACACAGCGGGACCTACATCTGCACATTCTACGGCCTCCAAATGAGACATCAAGTCCAAACCCATGTCAATGTTACAGTTCGCGTGACTGGTAAGATTTACTTCATGTGTTTTGGAACAGGATCATATCAATACATACATGTAATACTATACTTTTTTTTCCCAGATGATGATGAGTATGACTGCAGGAGGTCATGGTGGGGAACCGCTACGTCTGTCTTCATATTTCTCATCACTGTATCTGTAGCTCTGTCACGATGTTTTAGACTGAGAGGTGAAGAAAGTCTTTCATATTTAAAAATATAATAATATATTTTGACATGTCGTAACAGGTTATTGAAAGTTTTATTACTCATTGTTTACACTATAAAAAATGGTGTGTGTATAAAGTAAATATTATTTTATATATTATATAATATTATTATAACAACAAATGAAAAAAAATATAATATTTATATAGTAAATAAATACATATTTTTTACATACTATATATTGTATGTTATATTAATCATATATAATAATAATATATTGTATAAAATATGTAATATATTTTTGTTTCACAATTATTTATACAATGTACATGTAATATTTAATATATTTAGTGTAGTTTTCATTTAGCTGTTACTTTATTAAAATAAATTTTTAAATATACATATTTTAACCCGTGTTAACATATAGCAAGATATTATTGATAATAATATATTTGTTAGATAATATTTTACACAATATACATACATTTATAATATTTATTGTAGATAATATATTATATGAAATATTATAATATAGTTTGTAATATTACACAATATAATATTATTAAACATTTACTTTATTATAATAACATACTAAGAATAATATATATTTTATTACACGCATACACACATTTATTAATCATATAATATATTATATAAAATATTATAATATATTGTGAAATATACAATATAATATATAATTAAAGCAATCACCCTTTAGCTTTTACTTTATGCACATTATGCACATTGTCTCTTGCAGGTGAAATTCCAGTACGTGGCCATTCAGACATCAATAAACGGATGAGATGTACCGACAAAACCGGTGAATAATGTTCTTCATTCATGCATGCATTCATTCGTGCTGTGAATGCAGCACTCTCTAATATCCTTTATTCGTTTTTGGCAGAAATCCCTCTATTTGAAAGACAAAGACAAGATGAACCCGGGCACAATGGTTTGGAATCAGTAGAGACCGAAATTTGCAGAGCGCCATGCAACACAACACCTTTTGAAGAATCCAAACCATTTAAACAAGATCCCGACTGCCTTAATAATGACGTCCTGCCACATCCACCAACAGTAATAAATACGTGCATGATTATTAGTGATTCCTCTACATCTGACACACCTGTGGAAAGAGATGAATCCGGGCCGCAGTCACCTACAGGTGCGATAATAACTCTGCTCACTGCATCTGATATGAATACTGACACATCTGATAATAGAGGAAATGAACTTAAATCTGAATTGCACTCGGCAGATGGAGTAGAGATGGAAAGTACAATGATTCAGAGATTTGCCACACCTGAGCTCTCAAGGATTAATGGCTTCAGGTGATTGATATTCATTTAATGATTTGAAATGGTGCTAGCGGACACGGGTATTTTTATAACCGTGACTTTTTTTTTACGCGGTTCGGCCGTTCGTCCACACGGAAACACAGTATCAGGGCACTGAAACCGAGCATTTTTGAAAACCCCTGCCAGGGTGAGTATTTTCTGAAACGCCGGTTGCAGTGTCGTCGTGTAGACAGGAGTTTTTGCACCGCTGACGGCTTCTGATTGGCTAACGTGGCTTTACGGTTAGGTTTATATCGCCACCTGCTGGTGTTGCATGCTCTTGACAGCGCTTGATGTCTTTTTTTTATTTTTTTTTATGCTTTATTGTGGACGGAGGTTTTTTTTTAAACGCAGGAGGGAAAAACTCCGGTTATAAAAATACCCGTGTCCGTGTGGACGTGGCCATAATCACTTCTGGAATGCATGACCTATTGTAAATAATAATATGTAGTTATTCTGAACTGCTACTGTATTGTTGAATAATGTAGCAAATAAAAAATTGTTCATCACACAAACACACAGAGTATATTTAAGTAATAACTTCAGGCTGCTTTTAGAGTAAGTCTCTCAAGATTTTGGGGGAAGGAGCTTGTCCTTTTTTCCTGTTTACAGGGCAACATATCCGTTACTCGCAGACATTTAAAAATGAAAGAACAGAAATGTCTCCTTCAAGCTTGTTCAGCTGTGTGTCAGTGGTACTGTAAGCTCTGTAACTGCATCAGTGTTAATTAAATGAGGAACCAGAGATGATTAAAGTTTTAACTACAGGACTTTAAATCCTACTGTATGTGATCTGACCTACTGATCCCTCCAGTCTGACATGAGCGTCTCTGGGGGAAGATTATAATCAGGCTATTATTATAAACAGACTCTCGCTCATTTTTAAATAGCTTATAGGATAATCATCTCATTTGTTTGCATAGTTTGTAAATCTGAATGGTCCAATGAATGTGAAACATTTAAAAAAAACTAAGTGAGTTAGTGAGCCATGACAACATGGTCAAGTAAACTTATTTGAACTTAGAAAAATCACTATTGTCACGTACCAGGGGTAAAGTTTTGTCAAGGGTAAGGGAGTAAACTACGGAAGCCCTGAACCGCAACGTAAAAAAAAAACCTAGCATTTTGAGATTAAAGTCAAAATATTTCGAGATTAAAGTCGAAATGTTTTGACTTTAATATCAAAATGTTTCGACTTTAATCTCGAAAATTTTAGACTTTAATGTTGAAACGTTTCGACTTTAATCTCGAAAAGTTTAGACTTTAGTCTCAAAATGTTTAGACTTTAGTCTCGAAACGTTTCGACTTTAATCTTGAAACGTTTCGACTTTAGTCTCGAAACGTTTCGACTTTAGTCTCGAAACGTTTCGACTTTAGTCTCGAAACGTTTCGACTTTAGTCTCGAAACTTTCGACTTTAGTCTCGAAACTTTCGACTTTAGTCTCGAAACTTTCGACTTTAATCTCGAAAAGTTTCGACTTTAATCTCGAAAAGTTTAGACCTTAGTCTCGAAACGTTTCGACTTTAGTCTCGAAACGTTTCGACTTTAGTCTCGAAACGTTTCGACTTTAGTCTCGAAACGTTTCGACTTTAGTCTCGAAACGTTTCGACTTTAGTCTCGTTTCGACTTTAGTCTCGTTTCGACTTTAGTCTCGTTTCGACTTTAGTCTCGAAACGTTTCGACTTTAGTCTCGAAACGTTTCGACTTTAGTCTCGAAACGTTTCGACTTTAGTCTCGAAACGTTTCGACTTTAGTCTCGAAATGTTTCGACTTTAGTCTCGAAACGTTTCGACTTTAGTCTCTAAACGTTTCGATTTTAGTCTCGAAACGTTTCGATTTTAGTCTCGAAACGTTTCGATTTTAGTCTCGAAACGTTTCGACTTTAGTCTCGAAACGTTTCGACTTTAATCTCGAAACTTTCGACTTTAATCTCAAAATGTTTCGACATTAATCTCGAAAAGTTTAGACTTTAGTCTCGAAACGTTTCGACTTTAGTCTCGAAACGTTTCGACTTTAGTCTCGAAACGTTTCGACTTTTTTTAATGCTAATTTTTTTACGTTGTGGTGCAGGGCTTCTCTAGTAAACAGTTAAAATAAAAATTAAAAATTAAAAACAGTTTTGGGATGAGTGAGTGTACTCGTCCCCTGCCCTGCCCGACAGACACATCAAATTTCAGCTCAAAGATTTATTAACAATATATATGTAGTCTATAATTGACAAATAATGCAGCAAGCCTTTTTAGCAATCAGAAAGAGTGTGACTTCTGAGGGGGTTTTATTCACAGTCACTGGCTGATGGATTGTGTATGCTTTTTGCTACAAGATTATCCCCCTTGGTGCAAAGTCTCCTCAATAGGTTTTCAAGATCTTTGGTATTGGGGAGAAATGGCCTAGCCCAGTGACCTCACGTATAAACTGAGAGACAAGGGGAGTCAAGGGCTCTCAGCTGTTTCTGATCCTCACTTCCTCTCGAAGGAGCAAAAAGAAAACCCCAGAACTCCAGCCAGCTGGAGAGAACAAGGGGAATAGCCTTGTTTCATGACATATCCCAGAGCAGAACTGCTGTTCTGCTTTTTAAAGATAAAATAAACATACTTTGGGGGATTTTAAATCATTTAAGATCAGCTTTGTTAATCTGGGTTGCTCAACCATATTCTGGCGCACAAAGCGTCACTTGCCACTTGCATGCCATTCCAAACTAGTTTTTTACTGCAGAAGAAATATGGACCTTTTTTACTTTAATTGTGATTTTACTGGACAGCGTCAATCATTACTCCCTTCAGTTGAAAAGAGAGAAAAAAGTAATAGTCTACAGGTTTTGAACGACATTTTTGGGTAAACTTTCCCTTTAAATAATTAGACCGGTGTAATGGTTAGCTTGATTGTAAGGGTTTCTTTGTTCATTTTGGCTGCCAGTCATGTGCCTCCTCAAAGTTTTAACCATGGTACTTTTTCTGTTATTTATTTGTTTTTCCATCATGGCAATTTATAGTAAGTCCTCTCAGCCTGGCCTCTTTTCTTCCTTCTCCTTCTGTCCCTTTTCTGACTTGCTCCCAGAAGATCTCATCAAAACATTCCCCCACACTCTTTTCATGTCCTCCTCCTCCTCTCATAAACTGAGACAACCCTCCTTTCTCTAAAACGTCTATTTTGTCTCTGATTATGTGTATGTGTGCATCTGTAAATTTATCTCATTTTGAGCAAATGGGAGATCCGTTAAGCCCATTTTGCAACACAGTTAAGGGTCTTTTTCTCAGGCTATATTAAATGGCCTATAAAAACCTGCTCCAGCAACTATGAAACTAAATCACTTCACCAGGACTTAGAGGGTTTACGATATATTTTACTGCAGCGGTGCTTGAGTAGTAGTAAATCCATCATTTTATTTGCAAATTTATTTTTGCTAATCTTTGCTTGAAAGCTTAAAACATTGTCAATAATACTTGAAGAAAGCTATCTGTTACGTTCACCATCAAGATAGCACATAGTCACATAGTCAACAAAGCTATCTCTAGGTAGCCTGATACGCCTTATTCACGGCAGCGCCATCTTTGATTTTTAATGAAAATGAAAGTGAGGCTGTGAGGGATAGACATGCATCTCTTCAATGGGCTGTACTGTTATTTAATCTGTTTTCGGATTGTTCTGCTCATGAAACACTGGAAAAATATCTTTCCAAGAAATTTCAGTTGACAAAAAACTCAAGACAATGTAAGCTGTGGAAAATTGTAAGTAATCTAGGAGCTTTATTCAGCTTTTTACAGCGTATGCCATACGCCTTATTCACGGCAGCGCCATCTTTGATTTTTAATGAGAATGAAAGCGAGGCTGTGAGGGATAGTCATGCATCTCTTCAATGGGCTGTACTGTTATTTAATGTGTTTTCGGATTGTTCTGCTCATGAAACACTGAAAAAATATCTTTCCAAGAAATTTCAGTTGACAAAAAACTCCCGACAATGTAAGCTGTGGAAAATTGTAAGTATCTAGCAGTTTTATTCAGCTTTTTACAGCGGATGCCATTGGAAACACGGTAAGTCTATCCCTCACAGCCTCACTTTCATACCTGTCATGGCGCTGCTCTGAATAAGGTGTATTGGAAACACGTAAGTCTATGCCTCACGGCCTCACTTTCATACCTGTCATGGCGCTGCTCTGAATAAGGTCTATAGTCCTAACTTCAGTAGAAATCCCCCACTGTCCTAACTAAGCACTAGTGACCACTTGCTTGTATTGCATCTTTCATATCTGAGCCTTCCCAGAGGTCATTGTTATAAAGTGTGGTCAACTATTTAACGTGGGCATGACTTATTCGGTCACTCAGCAGGATCTGTGGATCTAACCGTGCTTGCTCGCGGCCGAAGAGAGAAATCAAAACAAACGACAGCAATGAATCACTTCCTGTCCAGTGATCCCACTCATGCCAGACACACCACATCTCGCACCCACTTTCTCTCCCTTGCATTCTTTGATCTTTAGATTTTCTGTCATATGTTTAACAGCCTATAAATAAACTCCCTTTTCACTCTCTTTTTCTTCCTGCGTTTGCCGATCAGAGTGATATGAGATCACACTTTTCGGCGTGACTCCAGACTTCCAGAGAATGTTTCAGTGTTTAATAGTCGATTGGTCACACACCCCTTCTCCTCCCTCTCAGTCTCTTATCGTCTCCGTCAAACTTTATTTGTCTTAAGGGTCCGTAACTGTGGGACTATGTGTCCTAAAGCACTCAGGTAAGTATTTAGAGCACTCGGAGACGTCATAAGATGTAGACAAGCATAAACAGATGACGAGAAACGCAAGTTTTGCAATTCCCATGCATGCATATTATACACTTTAGAGACAGATTAAGGCATTCCTAAAGCTTACTTGCTGCTTCATGCATCTCCAACAGGCCAGTGTGATATCTGTTTTTTGTTTTTTTTAGTACCATCTAACTAATAAAAAAAAAAGATACAAAACTGCATCTGGTATTCGGAATGAATGTTTATAATAGCCTTTATCTGCATGCATTCATGTGCTGAATATGAGTGCATGAATGTGGAGATGTCTGTGTGTTGAAATGTGTAGCCGAGGTCTGGAAGTAATCAGAGTCGCTGGGCAGCACTCCAGCGCCCCCTCCCCATGATGCAACTGGAGCACTGTGAGTGATGGAGAACAGAGTGCCCGCTGGGCGGCAGGAGGAGGGGACCGTCTCTCCTTCTCTTCCCCCCCACCCTCCTCCCAGCTGTACACTGTTACACTGAAGGAAATTTACAATGGAAAATATGCCAATGCACTCATGGATTTAATGCGAGGTCACACACACACACGAATGCTTGTTTTGGATTGGCCAAAACTTTCCTTTTACAGAAAATGTATAGAGTCTTCAAATGAGGGAAATTCTACTTTTTAAGTTAATCATATATAATTATTACACACACACACACACACACACGTGTTTTCATGTTTTGACTTTCCATAGAAAAGGATTTTCATACTGTACAAACTGTATTTTATATTGCCTACACTAACCCTACCCATGAATACCCCGCGTCACAGAAAACCTTCTGCATTTTTACATTGTTTAGTATGATTTATAAGTTGTTTTACTCAAATGTCCCCAAAAGGCCACGTATTTTGGATATTGTTGTCTTTGTGGGGACTTTTTTTCCACATAATTGCCACACACATACACTGCTATTCCTATCATTATGAGGACATTCCATAGTCATACTGGTTATTATACTGAGCTAATTATTATTTAAAAAAATAATAATAAAAAAACTATTTTAATAGCTCCTAACTTTTTAGGATATTTTTTATGGGACCAACCAAATGACACTTGGTGTGTATGTATGTATATATATATATATATATATATATACGTGTGTGATGTGTGTTTATGAAACCATATGTATGACCTAAATTACAGGACGCGTTCAATGGGGAAAAAAAAGATGGTTAAAGAATCAAGTGATTTTGTTTTTGTTGGCTAGCAATGTATAGCTCGCTGTGAACAGATTGGTATGGTAGGCTAATTGTTACCAGACCTTAAAGATCGACTCATACGAGAGATATGATTTAACATATCAACAGAGGATATGTTAAATCGGCATGATCAAACTTGTAGGAGGTAGATCAAATAACCTCTGTGAGTCAGAAACATTAAATGCAAGTGAAGTTTCCCATGAACAACATCAATTTGTAGTGTGTGTGACTATCTGTGAGTCACTGTCGGATCAGACTAAAGTCAGAGTTCCATTAGAGCGCGTTCTCGATAGAGTTCTGTTGAAGCGCGTCCCCGCTGAGAGGAGGCGTGTCCGCAGACGGCCAAGGTCTTGCCGCACTCACACTCACTCAGCATCGCGTCTGTCCTCTATTGTCATGCTAAACTGGTCGGACACAGAGAGGACCGACCGCGCATCATCCTCCTCCTGATGCTTTGTCAATGGGACACTAAATAAAGGTTAGTTTTATTCCTTCAACTGCAAACAGAGCTCAGGAATAATCACTTGCCGCTTAGTGAAGAGCGTAACTGCGTTGATACGATTAAGTTAGGCGTTTTGCATATTTCCTAAAGAGTTGTTGTTGGGGAAATTAATTTTGGGGTCCAAAGTCGGGTTGGGATTGACATAGAAGTTCTGAGCCGTCGTGTGCTGGTTTTGTTCTGCAGTAAAGTAGGTTAAAGTCATGTTTAAAGAACTTTAGACTGACAAACACGACGTGACGACGCCGGTGAGTGTTTAAACAGAGTCGCGTGCGCGCGTGTGTGGTTGTTTGTTTTGCGGCGCGAGCGAGCAGATCGTTGATGTTTAACTCGCTTAATCCCTGTATATTAAAGCGATTAGCGGGGAGTCTTAACTGGTTCAGATGTGTTTTTCTGTTTCATGTGCATCCACATTCTTAGACAGACAGACAGAGCCCCTCAATGTCTATGGTAGCAACTTTAACTAATGCATTTGATGGAAACTATGGTCATATTTCAATTTCTTAAGGTAAACTGGAGGAATTTATAGACCTCTGCAGATAGTTTTATAATCAAATCTTTAAGCATGGCGCTTTTTGTTCTGTCCTGTTATCACTTTGGCAGGGTCTTCGTGCTGAAAGGCTGACAAGTGCTGCGAATCATCACACAGAAACGATGTGGTTTGTACAGGGCAGACCTGAGTCTGGAAATCCCAGTTTAGTGAAACTCAGGTTTCTGCAGTCTGTTCCCAAGATCATGAACTAAAGCAAGCTGTTAAACTTTAGAGAGCGGTGATACACACCCCATTATGGAGATGTAATTGTTCACTCCTTCAGTCCAAGACTATGCTGGTCAAATGATGTGCTTTAGGCTGGGAGGGAAGGAGGGTTTCCATATGTTTGAGAGTTCGTGTCAGCCGGTGATGGAGAGAGTGTGAGAGAGAGCCTGAGCTATAACCACATATCATAACATCACAGCTGAAGTAGCTCATCACCTGCATTGTTTCAATAACAATGATTATTGACAAATGGGGCAAGATGATTATCCTCTGTCTGGATAAGACAATCAACTTAGCCCTTTGTTGGTTTAGACTCAAAGGAAAGCCAAAGCTTTCTCAGGTGGGGGGCGATGGTGAACTCAGGGTGAAGGATTGTGTCGCTGACGGCGTAAAACGATCCCCCACTTCCTGCGCAGACTTCTCATAGGCAGCCAGGAGAGTCTGATGGGAGTTTGAGTGTGTTTCAGGAAAAGCCTGTGTGCTTACAGCATGTCTTTTGCGCATTGATTACCATGCATGTGGCAGAGGCTTGTCAGATGTCAAATAGACGTTTAGAAAACGTCTTTAAGATGTTTATGATTTAGAACTGACATCTTAATGACGTCTATCAGATGCTTTCCAGATGAAGTGACCTTCAACAGGCATCGTGTGCTATCTTTCACATTCGCACATCATTTATTCATTCGGAACGATTTGTTTATGCGGAACGTGCTCAAAAAAAGAAAAAAAAAGTGTGTTCAGGAGGCAAACGTAAGGAAAAGTTGCAAAGTCTTGTACCGCTCAGATCAAGGGAAGTATTTTTAAAAAATAAATCAAAACTATTTTGCCCACATTTGTCCAGAAAATGGTTTTAGGGTTAAATACTTTGGATGGAAACAGCTGTTTGTTTGATCAGTCAGACATTTCACAAAACACTCCCAAATCTGTGGATTTTTAACATATTTTTCTTACTTTTCACACTTCGTCTTGTTTTTATGTAGGGCTAACTAATCACTACAAACCCTACACATAATTTGCATTTTTTAAATAAGTATTTAAAAACTTTTTTGCTATATTTATGAATAATTTTTCCAATTGGGGACATCGCCACCGGGAGGTTTTGTCAGTGTAAGCCCACTTCTGAATCTGGAGATAAAATCAGTAGTAAAAAGTAAAGAGAGGGAAAGAAAATAAAAAGAAGGGGAGAGAGAGGATGTGCCCCAGACTTAAGGGGAAAATCAGTTTTGTGGATTTAAGTCTGTGGATCTGAAATCTGAGCTCTTTCTGGATCTGTTTTTCCACTTAATCAAGAGACCGTGTCTCTCTTTCTTTCTTATTGAGCTCAGTTCATATCAAGACACGAAGGGGGGAAAGAGTTTTGTCTTCAACATTCCTTAGCTCTTTGTCATTTTATGTAACTCATAACTTTTAAAACTACTGTGAATGTGCATCATTCTTGTGGGCATGTATGTCTGAGGTAATGCTTTATTACAGCTTGATTTCTTCACCAGTGCGTTGGACTCAAGCACAATATTTTTATGTTATATTGACTATGTATGTGTGTGTGTGGTGTGGTTCCTCCTCAGGGTGTACTCTTTCTTTTTTTCTGTTTCAACCACCCAGAAGAGGCAAATCACATGAAGAACATGCTGCCAGAAAAGACTGCAGGACCCGCACTGTCCCTCAGCACGGGTGAGTGACGTCTTCAGCTCTTCGGCTCGGATCCAATCTGCTGTCTTTTCATAAACGGAGTCGCTCGCTTGAAGCCTAATTGGCCCCCTCCATTATCATGTTTTATACACAGGAAGAGTGCAATTCAGTGCCATCTGTTCTGCTCTTCTGCGCTATTTTGTGTTTGTTTGCTTGTTTGTTAAACATGTAAATATGCTCATCAGTCTCAATCAATGTTGTTTCCTTCTTTCCAATCACTTTGAAACATTATTTGTAATAGGATACAAAATAGGGCTGTTTAATAGTTCGGTATTTCTAAACTAAATAGCTTAAACCTCTAAAAATATTGATAGCCAACTTCAAAGGTCAAACTAAATACTATACATTTTTTTTAGTATTTAGCATTCATTTTAAATGAGGTTTGGGATATATCTAAATAGTTTAAAATCTTTTTTTTTTTTTATGAGCGATCGTTTCGCTTGATAAGACCCTTATTTATCGTCTGAAATCGTTTAAAGCCCTTTGAACAGTTTGCAATGAAACTCTCATTTGGACCTTGAACTATTTGGTTCCCATTGAAGTCCATTATATGGAGAAAAATGCTGGAATGTTTTCATCAAAAACCTTAATTTCTTTTCGACTGAAGAAAGAAAGACATGGACATCTTGGATGACACGGGGGTGAGTAAATTATCAGCAAAAGTTTATTTAAAAGTGAACTACTCCTTTAAGAAGATCAAGACTATGGAGGTAGGACAGTCCAAAATCATTATTTAGGGGGAAATGCAGACGTATTATGTATTTAAAACTTTATTTTATGTTACATAATGGTTTGTCTAATGGATCTTCCTAAAAAAAAGTGATGGGACCCAAAGTGTAATGTATTCACGGAAAGCGCCACCTCTGCTTTTCTCTTTCTCTCTCTTACTCTGTGGGCTTTGTGTTGGCTGCGAGACCTTGAGTTTATACAAACACTCCTCTCTTACCCCAGTGTAGCTGCAGCTGTACAAATGACTACCTAGTAAATAAATGACAACGTGAAATCCCATCCATATGGCTCCAGGTCAACCACTTAGCTAAAATGATTTACAACCCAAAATATAGATAAACATTCTGGAGTACAGGTGGTCCCCACGAATGTTGTGTGTTCCCCCGATGAAGACCACCACTGCTCCACAAATCACAGTTCTTACCCGGTCCCTTTCCTCTGCTTCAGTGCCAAAAAGTACAAACCCATTCTGGCTGTGGTTCTTCCATTTTTAGGCAACGCTTTCCCCCCAAAAAAACCCCAAGACATCCATATTTGTGTGGGCTGAGATTTGTATTAGAAAGCTGTAGTCCGCTGAGCACATATGCCCCTTGAACTTCAGGAAAACGTAAAAAATTAGCCAGAACACATGTCTGATTTCTCTGTTTATTTTTTCAGATCTTGCAAACTTGTTTGTGCTCGTGTCTATGACAACCTTTCCAAACGTTGAGCTTTTGTATTAGAACAAGAAGATCGCATCAAGGGTTTGTCATGTTATAAGTCTTGATGGTTCCAGTTAAAGGAGTAGTTCACCCCCATGTCATCCAAGATGTCCACATCCTTCTTTCTTCAGTCGAAAAGAAATTAAGGTTTTTGGTGAAAACAGGATTCCAGGATTTTTCTCCATATAATGGACTTCAATGGGAACCAAACGGTTCAAGGTTCAAATGAGAGTTTCAATGCAGCTTCAAAGCGCTTTAAACGACACCAGACGATGAATAAGGGTCTTATCTAGCGAAACGATCGCTCATTTAAAAAATAAATTTTATAAGCACAAATGCTACTGTGATGCGCGTTCGTGACTCTCCTGTTCGAAGTCGTTCATCAAAATGAACAAATCTTTTTCCGAGTCATTTTATTCGTTGAATGAACCAAATGAATTGAAAAAAGGTTTGTTCATTTTGATGAACCAGTTCAAGAATTGTTTAGTTTCTCAAGTCCCATTAGATTACATCTATTCTTGGTCATCACTTTTCAGGACTTGTGCCGCACACAGGCATAAATTACCTTTTTTTTCCCCACCAGACACAACAAAGTTTCATTCCAATGGCGGCACATTGGTTGGATCCTGTGTTCGTGGCACACGCTCCAAGGCAGAGCTTCAGGAGTTGATGGAGAGCTTGCAGCGCAGGAAGTCCGCTCTGGAGGCCAGCTTAAAGGCTACATCTGACCGCGGTTACCTCACCTTATCCCCCCCTCCCAGTCCCCAATCAGCTTCTTCCTATCTACAGGACCGTCCACCCCTTTCTATTCGAGTTCCCTCCCCTTACACACCCTCCAGCAGCCTGAGCATGCCACCATCACCCCACCAATCAGAGCGCCCCATTAGTCCAGTCCCAAGCCAAACCCGTGGCCGGCACCAATGGCAGGACAACCTGTTGATTTGCCACCCTTTAGAAGGACGAAATCCCAACACTGCCGGCTCACTCCTTTCCATGTGGAACGGCACGACTGACGCTCTTCCTTCATCCCGCCGAGGTCCGAGTGGTGCAGCCAGCATGCCCTCCAGCCCTCGCTTGGGGCGCAGACTGCTAACACGAGACGGGGAGTCCACTGTTGAACCGTTGCTCCGCCAGAGGAAATACTCCACCGGCTCTCTGAATGGCCTGGGCGGACACAGTCTCTCTCTGCCCAGGTTGTATCGAGGAGACGCCCCAGTGCTTTCTTTGCCACCCCGGCGTACCACCAAACCACGCCGCAGCCTCCCATCCTTGGAGAAACCACCCGATGTGACTGTGATAGCCAACGTGACCAGCGGCTCTCGCCGGGCCAGCCTTTGCTCTGTGGGATCGGCCCCATGTTTGGATCTAGGAGTAGGGGAAAGGCGGTTGTCGTTTGGTAAAGGAGGCCTGGGGCCGAGAAGGGGCAGTATCAGTTCTCTCAGTGGAAAAGAAGAGCTCAGAGATTATCATCAGAGACAAAGAGATGAGAGACTTCGAGAACAGGAAGTGGAAAGACTGGTAAGGAGACCAAAACAAGCACACCAGGGAGTCAGAATAAAACCGTATTCTGGACAAATGTGGGCAAAATAGTTTTGATTTATTTTAAAAAAAATACTTCCCTTGATCTGAGCGGTACAAGACTTGGCTACTTTTCCTAAGTTTGCCTCCTGAACACACACCATTTATTTTGACTCAATTCTACAATGTTAAGTGGCTGAAAAAAAACTCCTTAATCTTGTATTTGGGTAAAAAATGGGCACCCATAGAAATGAATGGGAAAATTTGTAATTTAGAGCAGTCTAAAATAAGCGAAAATAAGACACCAGGTGACAGCAAAGTCACTTCATCTTTAGGTTTTAGCTCTTATTAGAACTTATTGGAATGATATTTTAAGGTAGTTAAAAGAGTTAATTTACATAGAAATAATTTACTTAGAAAATATGGTACTTTTTAAGTAAATAAATTCAAAAATACCCCCAAAATAAAAAAAACCACCATAAATGGATAGACAAAACTTTATCGAAGACAGTGATATAAAATTTATAATAAATAAAAATTAGGATCACACCTGAGTCCTCTGTGCCCACATTTGTCCACAATTACAGGATTAAGGGCTATAAAGTGAATACGGTTTGAGGGCTACATTACATATCACATGATAATGATATTATTATTGGATTTATTATTAGTCATTTTATTATATTTAAAATATGTTTTATCCTATATTATTTTATAATATAGTATATCATTAATGCCTTTTAATTACCCTTCATGTTGTATTATTTTTTATGTAAAAAAATTTAATTAAATTATTAAAAAAGCTAAAGTATAATATCTTTGATTAGCAACCTAACATCCTAGTATAGACCATTTCACAAGATGTAAACAACACTGGTCCAGAAGCAATTCCTGTTTCAGTTTTTTAATACTACATAAAAGCTGGGATAAAATACAACCAACAGAACATTTAATACTGAATCAAAAAGTTAAACAAACATCTTTTACATGTGAAATAAAGAAAACAGCTACAAACTGAAACAGGAAGTGCTTCTGGACCAGTGTTGTTTACGTCTTGTGAAATGGTCTATAACTAACATGGAAGAGATTCAAACTTGTTATGTGCCTTATGTTGAGTTCACTTTTGCACACTTTGTACAGTAGCTGACTCTTATTGCTGCGGCTCTAAAAATGATGCGAAGGGGTCTTGCGTAAGACTGGCATGAGACCTTCCTTCATAACCATGACATGACATATGTCTTGAATATGAAATAGGGTTTATGACAACTTTCATAAAGTGTCTTTCGCTCAATAATGACATTTTGAATGCAAATTTGCCATTGTTTAAGATGTCTTTGTTATGACACCTTGACATCATAACTTGTCAGTGTCTTTGTCATGAGTTCTCATGATGAGAACTTCAATTTTTGTGATATCAACTTCAAATTTGTGCTCAACTGTTTGGTTGAGAGGTCAGTTACAGGGTTAATTCCCCAAAAAGCCTTGAATCCAGCTTTTTGGTTTCAGTTTGCATCGTCTGAGAGAATGGTTAGACATGAAAGTGTCAAGAGGACTTGACCTGGAACATTATACACACTTTCATATGCTAGAGACTTAATGAAATTACATTCACAGCTAAATCAAAACCTTGAGTGTGTTTGAACGAACCAGCTGGTAAACACATGTTACATCAGTTTTTGCTTTTCGCTTATGAGAACTTGAAATCATGCCTTTAGGTCACATGATAACTGAGCTAAAGCACTGCAATTATAGTTAAACCATCTGATCTGATCACAGGGGTGTGTGGAGACAATGTGTGTGTGTGTGTGTGTGTGTTCCGTTCCACACGGCCAAATCCCACAACCCACGGCTAAGGAGGCATCAATGAGACAAATCTAAACCGCATATTTTATGGATAATCTAATATTTCAAAGATTAAAGTGCCACTATTATGTGTTTCTAATATAAACAATGTAAATGTAAACGGTCTGAAAAGGTTTAAAGACCAAAGTGCACAACAAATAAAGTTATTGTCTCCTAATAAAAGAGTTGTCAGCAATTCCAGTCTCGCTTCCATAACACACCTACGTAAATTTGTAACGAGTTTGCATAATGCGAGCCTATGTTCTTCGTCGGCCCTCCCTCAAACAATGTAGTTGTAGCTGAGGCCTGGACGAGTTTGGTTCACCAATCACAACAGACTGGGCCGTCTGATCAAACGGACTGTTTTCCGATTCAGACTTTTCGAAAAATGAGGTGCAAATGTGTATTATGAGAAAATCAATGTGTTTTCGACCTTTAATGCATGTAAGCCTATTGTAGGAGACCTCCAAAACTAAATTAGGAATCTATAAAGCAACATAATGGGGCACTTTAACTTCAGACTATCGAGCTCAGTCAGTTTGTTTTATAATATAATGTATCCGGATCCAAAAGTCTGAGACCACTAGTAGAAAATGCTTTAGATTACAATTAACATGAACAGAATCTTAAATATTAATTTAGCATCATTGTGTTTTTAAGATTCATTCATTGATTTCACATAAAACAAATCCATATCATCAGACTGTTCAATGTTTCGTTCCTCTCTAGGAGCGCCAGCGTCTCGAGACCATCCTGTCCCTGTGCTCTGAGCTGGGCCGGTCCGATCTGTGCCAGGTGGAGACCGATTCGGGTGTCTCGGCCGTGTCGGACCTGCAGAAGATCAACCGAGAGCTGGAGAAGCTGCAGGTGTCCGATGATGAATCTGTGTTCTCGGACTCTGCGGCGGTGTCTCTGGACAGTGGGTATCTGGGTAAGGGTCGGACGGAGATACTGACTCAGAGACAGCGCAGACTCAGCGGACACAGGGAGACCAGGCCTCAGTCACCCACCACCAGCCTACGAAGCTCAGCGCCCTCTCCACATCTCCGCAGCAAGGTGAGACACCGCACGATATGTACCTGAATACAGTATATAAAATAGATATATATATTTTTTAACATGTTGCGTCTACATGTAGCATTACTGATGTCAAACAGTGAATATCTCTTTTATTAACCCAAATTATTAAGAAAAAAAAATCTTATTTGTTGAGCCGTATTATTTTTTAGGATAATTAAGTGTATTATGCCAATTACTAAGGAAATAAATGAATTTATTTTAAGTGTTTTTAATTATGTTTAGTTAATAAATTGTTATATGTGATGTACTAAATTGAATCTATGTTAAATTAATTTTAAAAAATCTATAAATATTTAAAATTTAAATAAAAAAAGCAAGATCTTACTACGGTGTATAGTAAAGAATATGAATGTAAATTATTATTCAATTCTGAGATAATTTGGTAAAATAATTAAGTATATTATAATGAGTATATTATCTCTTTATTACTAAATTCTCATCAGTGTAATGTGAAAGAATTCGATATATTATTTAAGCTGTAGTTATATATCATTGTATTTAATTTGAGTAAATTCAGGTTTTAATAATAATAATAATTTAATGACCATTCAGTTCTTCATGATATTCACTCTTCTAATTAATTTAATCTCCAAATTACATTTTCCTTCCCATAGTGATGTTTGTTCTTACTGTATATACCATCATCATCAGTGTGTTCAAATCTAAAGCAGTCTACAACTCTGTATTCAGTTATCCCAGATTGAACTAATCATGCTGTGGAAAGTATGCAGTCCTCTTGGATCTAAAGTATGTGTGTGAATGCTGTGGAGTCTTCATACCTGACACACTCTCTGTTGATGTCTGTTTCTAAACATGCACTACGGAGCAAATTCCAGCTCAAGAATGGGATTTTGTGGAATAAGTGTTTTTCCATCGGATACCTATAATGACATAATGGTGTGCTTGAGTTTAATAGAGTTTTTTAGGGGCGGTTATTGCCTCTCCTGCAAGAGGAGAGGAACAGGAAATGACTCTATTGCCGGGTGGATTTGCTGTGTGTGTGTGCGTCGATGTGCTCAAGACACATGTGACAGTAATTGTTGGAAAGAAAAATAGAAATGCAGGGAAAGAATGCAGATCTGCATTTAATTTCTCCCACATTTCTCCTTTTTCTCAAGCAATATTTAGACTTTCTACATATTCTAAAAAATAATCACCCTGACACCAGTGGGTTAAAGTCATTGCAAAAACAAACTAACAATAGTGAAGTCAGGTCTGAGAAACATCATCTTGTATTGTCTTTTTTTTTGCAGATAGCACTTGGCTTTATATCGAATCAAATGATTACACACACACACACACACATACATACATACCTTACATACATACATACTTTTCTGACTTACTGATTTACTGACTTACGGATTTACTGACTTACTTACTGACTTACTGACTAACTGACTGACTTAATGACTTACTGACTTACTGACTTACTTACTGACTTACTTACTTAATGACTTAATGACTCACTGACTTAATGACTTACTTACTGACTTACTTAATGACTTACTGACTTAATGACTCACTGACTTAATGACTTACTTACTGACTTACTTAATGACTTACTGACTTACTTTCTGACTGGCTGACTTTCTGACTTTCTGACTTACTGACTGACTTTCTGACTGGCTGACTTTCTGACTTACTGACTGACTTACTGACTTACTTAATGACTTACTGACTTAATGACTCACTGACTTAATGACTTACTTACTGACTTACTTACTGACTTAATGACTTACTGACTTACTGACTAATGCACCTCTTGGAGGAAATAACATCACAACAAGTTGTTGATCACAGTTTGCATTTAAACACTGCTGAGTATTTCTGGTAAATGTCAAATGCATGGAGATCAGATGCGATTATCAGACAGAGGCGGCTCTGTAGTCTTGCATCGGTTGCTGAGCTACATTCTTCTGCAATGTCAATGAAAAAAAGCATGGCCTCAGAAACAGCATAGTTAACTATCCGGAAGAGCTGGATATTCATTTCAGAGTTCAATCCCATGTCATGTCTGAATGTCTGTATTTGTTTTACTTGAATCCATCTTTTCAGATCTTCATGTTATTGTGGTTGTGTTTGTTATATCAGTCAATGAACAAACACTGAATTTCCCAATCAAAATCCAGGACTGAAACCATTCATCTTATAAAATGCTTTGTCTTTAAAAGTATACCTGATCTCTAATGTTTTTGTTTTTATTTTTTTAAGCAGGTTTCTGAAGACAGGCAGCTGAGGCAGGAAGTGACACGTATAGAAGAGGAGAGGATTCAGGTGTTTAACAACATCGAGGAACTTGAACAGAAGATCCGAGATCTAGACACACAGATGGACGAGTCTATCAGAGAGGTGTGTGTGCTTAAATGAAAAGCTTTATGTGTTTTTAAAGTGAGGTAACATGTTTGATAAGCATTCCTGTGGCACTAACAACTCAGAAATTACAAGCCGTTTCGAATAAAAACATTTGCCAAAAGCATTACTGTAAATGTCTCTTGCAGACTGATCTCTAGATCAAATGATTTAGTTTATTCTGCAACAGTGTTATTTTAGTTATATTTTCATATAATATAATAGTACTTATTAAAGGGATAGTTCACCCAAAAATGAAAACTAATTACTCACGCTCATGTTGTTCAACCCCATAAGACTTTCGTTCAACTTCAGAACACAAATTAAGATATTTTTGATTAAATCCGAGAGCTGGATCGCTCCTCCATAGGCTTCTTACGAGATCGAAACTGGCCGGCCCAAAAGTTATGAAAGACATCGTTAAAATAGTCAGAGTGACTACAGTGGCTCAAGTTTAAAGGGATAGTTCACTTTGAAATTAATTTTTGATATGTTTTAGCTTCCCTCAAGGGCATCCAAGATGGAGGTGTCTTTGTTTCCGCAGTATTTTCAATTTGTACATTTTTAGGTCAAACCATCCTTGTCTATCAGTCATATAATGGAGGTCTATGGTCACCACCTCAAAGAGCATGCACAGAGAAGTCCAAATTAAACATGATTTAATGAGTCGTAAATGTAAGAACACATTGATGCCCTAAGACACGAAACGAGCGGTGTTTGTATCGTTTTTGCCTCTTGTAACCACAGCCACATCCAAGTGATCTGAGGGCGCAAGCGCTTCGGTCTGCACAAGCGCTGGAAGTGATCTTCCCGATGTTGACTCTCGTCTTATTCCGACACCATTCAGCCCATCAGGCAATTGTTTAAGCATGTATGGGGTAGAAAACGGGTATTTTTAACATGAAATGTTGCGCAATGCACCTTTAACAGAGGAAGTGAAGTCAATAAACACTGTCTTGATGTCTTCTTAGATGGAGGTGGAGAGAGCTCTTTTAGATGGCGAGCAGGAGGCAGAGGTCACTCAGCTACAGAGCGATAAAGAAACGCTGGAGCAGCTCAACCAAAAAATGGGGAACATGGAGAAAAACGCTCAAAGAAATCACACTCAGGTAACCATATATGTATTTGTACAGCTTGAAAAGATTGAAATATCAAATCTTCAGGACGAAGTCTCCAAAAAAGCAAACAAGAGGGGTCTCATTTATCTACCATACGTTTCATGATTCATTACATATGCTGGCACTTAGTTTAAATTGAAGAAAACATGCACACACCCACCAATGTCGCATCTACTTGCCCTTTTTCCCAGTTTACCTCTTCCTTGCTCTAACCCAACCTTGCAATTTCTCTGTTTCTTTGTCCGTCATATTTGTGTCCGTCTCACTACTGTCTGCTCTGTGTGTGTATGTCATCCATTCGCGTCGCCACTGCTATAGGACAAAGCCTGGTTGGAGGCTGAGAGAGTTAAAGTAGAGAGACTAGCTGAGCTGATTTCAGAGCAGAAGACCCAGTTGGACACCTGTCCTGAAGCACTGAAGGAGCAGCTACAGATTCAGCTATCCAGGGTCAGTCAGTTACCGTGGTCTCCCTCGTACCTGCTCTCACCTGTGCGGCCAACTATTCTGTCTCTCACAAACACTTCCTGTTGTGTTTTTTTTTCCTCTCTGCAACAGCTCTGGAAATACCATTTTTTCTTGTTGGTAGGCCTTTCTTCTCTGTGTTTTAACATAGCCAAATTTCCTGAGACTTTTAGTCACTTTTCTGTTTAGAACAATCCTGTGCATTATTGCTGAATGTTCAGTTAGTTTAGTTTGGACTTACACCATGTAAAAATATGCAATGTGTTGCGTTTTGTGGCAGGACACTGAAGCTTTAGAAGCGGAAACGAAGCGTTTTGAAGATTTGGAGTTTCAGCAGCTGGAAAAAGAGAGCCATCAAGATGAAGAGAAGGAGACGCAGACGCAGCAACTCCTCAGAGAGATTGCAGAATATCAGAGATCTGTTGTCACTCGCAAGGTGTGTGTAGATGATTTTAACCTGAGTGTCTTTTTATAATCACGTTTTTCCCTCTGTACACAAAACTGTTTGCATTATAGGAGAGGCTACTTACCCTGAAGAAGCAGTCGACCCAGATTACCCAGCAGGCACAGCGGGAAAAGGAGAACTTCTTGAAAGAGAAGAGCAACCTCATTTATATGCTGCAAAGGGTGAGTGTGTATATACAGTGATGTGAATAAGTTTGGACACCCATGCTAAAGTTGCCTAAAAAGAGGAATAAAAAAATCATCTTTTGGATATTGATCTTAATGCCTTAATTAGAAAAATGAGGAAAACTCCAACCTTTAAGGACACAAATTTTGCTAGAAACATAATAATCACTGTGTATATTGTATGGAAATACAATTATACATATCTGTGTACAGTTATACAGTGATGTGAATAAGTTTGGACACCCATGCTAAAGTTGCATAAAAAACACACCTAGAGATCGGCATGGGGTACTTTCCATAAGATCATCTTTCAATGCAAATCAAACCAGCTATTAGGCTAACTGAAGTAAAACCATGCCAATCTCTAGGTGTGGTGGAAGGCGTGTGATGATGTGGGGATATTTTTATTCCAAAGGCCAAGGGAACTTTATCAGGATGCATATTATCCTGGATCCATGAAATAACTGGCTTTTAAAAATAAAAATCTGCCTGACTCTATGGGAATTTAACATAGGGGTGTCCTGACTTATGCACCCTGAATTTTAAGGAAAAACATTTGTTTATTTATGATACATTATTCATTCACAAAGAAAATTGGTGTCCTTAAAGGTTGGAGTTTTCCTCATCATTTTTCTAATTAAGGCATTAAGATCAATATCCAAAAGATGATTTTTTTATTGCTCTTTTTAGGCAACTTTAGCATGGATGTCCAAACTTATTCACATCACTGTAAATGTTGTGGCGTTATTTCCATCAGGAGCTGCATTCTTTTTTGTCTTTCTACATGGTTGTTTAAGAAATGAAACTCTTTTTTTTTTTCCTTCCCCCCCCTTTTTTCCCCTTTTTTCCCGAGAAAAAGAAAAGAAAAAAAGAAATGAAACTCTTATGATACAGTATATAAACTCTACTTTTGCAGTGACCTTTAATCCATAATGTATAAAGTCACTTCCCATTAAGATCTCATTATAGACATGTTCCACTAACTACAAAATGCCCAGATTGCTTTTTGACCTATACATGCATATTTTATCATTTTAAACTTGTGCCATCTTTCTTTAGTCAATATATGACACTTGGTTTAATATTTTGTTATCTAATGCAAGGATCTTCATACCAGTTTACATATGATGTCTTAGGCCCCGTCCACACTACCGCGTTTTCGTTGAAAAACGGAGAATTAAAAGGAATACGATCTCCGTCCACACCAGCGTTTTATCTGCGTATTAGAAATGATCTTCGTCCACATTAAAACGACTGAAAACGCGGATCACGTGACCATTCAGACCATTTAGTCTGGACGGGACGTGCAAACGTTGCAAAAGGTCTCCGTTTTTAAACGAAAACGCAGTAGTGTGGACGGGGCCTTAATGGTCTCTAATTCCTCTTCAGGAACGAGAAAACCTTTCATCTTTAGAGAGGAAGTACTCTGAGCTGACAGGTGGTCAGGCATTTCCTCTTAACCCTGTGTCCATGAAGGAGGTATTGCAAAACAATTCTATGAGTAAAGAAGAAACTAAGCTTAAGAATGACAAAGGATTTTTCAATATTGAAAGATTGTTTTATCTTTCTGTTTGAATATTCCAGCACTTTCGCTCTCTGGAGGAGAGGAGGCGGAGTAACGGCAGTAAAGAGGGCGGAGTTCTGCTGAGTGACAGCGGGATGTCCCGTAAAAGAGAGAGGCAGAGCTCTGGGACCTTAAACTCCGCCCTTAATCGCAGTCTGTCTCCCAAGGTCAGACAACAGATACGGCACATCGGAAAAGTATTTTATACAATCTTAAAAGAGCAATTAACATTTTAAAATTTCAGTGCTCGTGGTTTTATGTGGAAGGGAGGTTTAAATGGTCTCTTTTGCTCTGTATTCTTAAATCTGTAGCCCCATATGCCGCTGTCTCAAAGCTCTAGCTGTGGTAGTGTACTCCCCCGCACCCTGTCCGTCACCTCCCGAGATCTGGACACTCGCCGTCTGCTCAAGGGTAACACTCTGATTCATCTCATGACTCTGACATTTCTATAAGTTTTACGCTTATAAAAATGTATTTATGTTACTCTCCTTTTCACTGCACGTTGTGTGTATAGCGTTTTATTTATAGTTATATTTATTTATGTTATTATTATTGATATATGTCCTGAGATGACTCCTTGAAATCTTTTCAATCGGTTGAATAAAAGGAAATGTATATTAAATATAATGTTAGTAAATGTTAAAAATATATACACGTTAACTTGTATATGACTATGAACAAACAATAATATAGGCTACTAAATATTTCAAATATATTTATATAACATACCCCATAATGATATTAACATCAATAATACCTCAAATTGTGAAGTTTATCGATAGAGCCGTTTCTTTTTGACCGTTCTAAGCATTTGACATTTAATTGGGAATGATATTATGTATAGTAAAATTTCCGATTTTCATTGAGTTTGACCTGCCGATTCCAATTTTATTTTTCTAACCACTTTTTTTATATTCAATAACACAAATATTTAATTTCTATATATATATTTTTTTTTTATAAAACACCATATACTCAAACTCAATAATAAGAGCTTGTGTTGGTGGTAGAGAAAGAATTGTATAAACTAAAGAATTGGTTTGATTTGAATAAATTGTCACTAAATTTAAATAAAACGAAATTCATGGTATTTAGTAATAAAAAGAGTTAAATAATGAGATCAGGATTACTATTAATGAAAATACATTAGAAAGAGTAAATCATATAAAATTTCTTGGAGTAATTATTGATTGTAAAATGACATGGAAACCGCATATTTTTAACGTTCAGAAGAAAGTATCAAAAACTATTGCAATTTTGTACAAGTTGCAGTATATTTTGAGTAAAAATGCATTACATTTACTTTATAGTTCACTTGTCACACCATACTTAACGTATGGTATTGAAATTTGGGGAAATACATACAAAACTAGAACCAATCCAATTTTTTTATTACAAAAGAAGGTGATCAGATTAATTAACTATGCACCTTACAATTCACCAAGTAATTTACTCTTTTTTTGATTTAGTTTTATGATTTAGTTGATTTGTTCACACGTTAAAATGTATTTACCAAGTCAAATATAATAAAACTCCTAAATGCTTGCAATTATTATTTTCCCAGCGAGAAAGTAAATATGATCTTAGAGGATTATGTATATTTAACCAACCACAAGTACATTCTACATTAAGAGAACACTGTTTATCAAATAAAGGAGTTAAATTGTGGAATAGTTGTTGTAATGAGTTAAAACAAGCCACGTCTATTTTTCAGTTTAAAAAAATTTACAAGAGAATAACATTGGAAAAAAAATATACAATAGAATAAAAATGAATTAGACAGGCTTGCTTCTGGTGTGGGCAATGGTCCACTAATGTGTTAATGTTCATTTTAAGAACAGATGTTGTCATTAATGAGTTACATTTGATTCTAAAGTTAAGGGCAGGCATAATAAGCTTTAGCTTCGAATGTTTTGATGATTTGATTGAATGATCTGTAAATGACCAAACCGAATAAATGAAATGAAATAATAAAAAATGGTTTAAACGGGTACTTTTTCTTTTCTGACATAGCGTACTCCAGTTCTTGTTAAAACACACGACATGCTAATTCTGTGCATTTTGGGCACTTTTAAATCTTTTTTTTCTTTTAAATGATTCTTTTTTTTATTCTTTTCTCCTTCGGTCTTGCAGCAGGTCAAATGTATCTGAATGACGAGAGGCAGAGATTGAGTGAGATGTCCAATAGAGCGGTTTCTGAGACAAACGTCTTCCTGGAGCCGTTCCACTACCTGGACAACGGACACAACTTTGACACAATGAGCGTGGACAGTACAGAAAGCCTGGAGACCAGCATTTCCGCCTGTTCACCGGACAACATCTCAAAGTGAGACCAAGGCTCCTATTTTAACGATCTGAAACGCAAGTATGAAGACTTGGACGCCGTTGCTTATTCACGGCACAGCCTCTCGTACCTTATTGCTTACTTACAAGGATGCTGTATAGACAGAAGTCTGCCTTTAAGTAGCCCAGATATACACACATCCTGTCTGAGGAATTTATATTGCATTCCAAGGTCGCTCCAAGTAGCTGAACCTTAAGATGCACTGGAACGCATTGCCAAATGAGGTTATGGGTTTACAGCTCTGATTTTATTGGACAATACATTATTTTTATACTAGATTTTTACAAGAAAAGATCTGAAAATCATCAAGTCTAACCAAAAGTGTGTGTGTGTGGCCTGTACAGCGCTAGCACAGCTAACATGGCGAAGATAGAGGAGATGGAGCGCATGCTAAGAGAAGCTCAAGCTGAGAAGAACAGACTGCTGGAGCACAGGGTACATTTTTTTAACTGCATGCTTATCAAAAAAAAATGCCAGTATACAGATTCATGAAATCAGAATGTGTGTTTTCTTTCTCCTCTGCAGGAGCGGGAGATGGAGCTGCGCAGACAGGCTCTTGAAGACGAGAGGAGGAGGAGGGAGGACTTGGAAAGGAGACTGCAGGAAGAGACAAACCGCCGACAGAAACTAGTGGAGAGAGAGGTGAATCTCAGAGAAAGATTCATCTTGCAGTATTTAAAGGAGTAGTTCACTTTTCAAAAAGCTTTTGCTGATAATTTACTCACCCCCATGTCATCCAAGATGTCCGTGTCTTTCTTTCTTCAGTCGAAAAGAAATTAAGGTTTTTGATGAAAACATTCCAAGATTTTCTCCATATAATGGACTTCAATGGGAACCAAACGGTTCAGGGTCCAAATGAGAGTTTCAGTGCAGCTTCAAAGGGCTTTAAACGATTCCAGACGATGAATAAGGGTCTTATCAAGCGAAACGATCGCTCATTTAATAAATGAATAACAAAGTTTAAGTTTTATAAGCTCAAAAACTCGCCTTGCTCTGTACTATGATGCATGTTCGTGACTCTCCTGTTCGAACTCGTTCATCAAAACGAACAAACGTTCGTTTCGTTCGTTGAATGAATCGAATTACTCGGAAAAAGATTCGTTTTTTTGTTTGTTTTTTAATCAGTTTAAAGTTACAGGGACCGTGCACATTAATAAACGCTTACGTAAATGTGGCAGTTTAGCCATCTTGGCTAATTTTCAACTGTAGTCACTGGGCAGATGTAATAACCGATAAAATACATTCAGACTATCAACAATACTTATACATACATTAAAACAAATTACATAGAAGCTCATAAAATACATTCAAGAAGAACAACAAATCAAAACATGATTAAGATGATTTAAAAACTACAGAATATAGGTACACACTTGATTGTCATTTAACCATGATTTTAATTTAATCTTAAACAGCCCATATGAAGCAATGTCTTTAATAGATGTAGGTAAACTGTTCCAAGTGTGAGCTGCTCTCACAAAAAAAACTGACTGACCAAAGGCAGTTCTTCTCATTTGTATTACGTTTGTTTAGATGTTTGTAATATTTGTACTTCTAAATCTTTTTTGATAGATTCTAATTATAGATTATGCATCATAAAAGCCTTAATCTGTTTTTTTGGTTTTGAGCCAGAATCCCAAATTAACTTTTTGTCATGTCATCACTGTCAAAAAGCCAGTATTTTACATCATAATTTGAAATGGTGTTACTTTTGTCCTAATATTTATGTCTTCCACATTTATTGATTTTATCATGAGTATAAATGCTGTAGATCCTATACAACACAATAAAGGTACCCTAATAACATTTTATTTATTGTGTGCTTTTCAGGGTACTCAAAAATGTTTTACAAGAGATACAAATAGCAAAAGCCAGTAAAGCATAAGCTTAAAAATAACAGAAGCAATATCATTAAACCAGTAACATATTGCCGATGGTTTTAGTTTGATGTTAATCGACTTATAAATATGGGTGGCTGATACATGAGTGGATCTCTGCCTCTGATCAAATCTGAGAGAGTGTGTGTGCAGACACACTCATACAATTGTGTAATTTTTGCCATTTGTGTCCCTAGTCTCGTCCTTTGACACGTTATCTCCCAGTGAGAAAGGATGAATTTGACCTGAGAGGTCACATCGAAGCAGCGGGTCACCATCCGGAAACTTGTTTTCACCTAGCCATCACCGAGAAGACCTGCAGGGGGTTCTTGGTCAAAATGGGTGGAAAAATCAAAACGTGGAAGAAGCGCTGGTTCGTCTTTGACCGCAATCGAAGGACGTTGGCATATTATGCTGGTAATTATGCTGGTAGTTTTACCAACAGTGTCTGTGGCCCGTTGTGAATTACCATAGAATATTAAATGTTTATTTGTCACTCATTTTGCATTAGCAGTTTTAAAATATGCTTACTGTAATGCATTTCTAATAGAGATGCAGAAATGATGCGTTTATTTTGGGTAGTGCACTTTATTTTCAGACAAAAAGAGTGTTTGTTGAGCTGTAAACATGTACATACATCGTCCATTTAAGTAGTGTAATTGTCAGTTGTTGTTTTTTCTAACCATTGTTCAGGGGTAATTATGAACAGGCCACAGATATGTCGAATCAGGAATATTTCTTGAAATTAATTGTTTTTTTTTTGTTTTTTTTTGTTTTTTGAAATGCAAATTTAAACTATTATCTAAAGAGGACCTTAAGGCTGCATTTTACACTGCAGGTCTTGATGCCCAAATATCCAAAACTTTATCCGATTTTTGCATTTACACTATACACTGCTGAAACTACCAAATGTAGACGTTCTGACCCAGAAAATGACGTAAAACAGCACGAAATGCAATGGATGCAGATGCAAATCATTGTTTTTCTTTCCACATTATGTTGAAAAGTGGTAACACTTTACAATAAGGTTCATTAGTTAACATTAGTTAATGTATTTACTAACATGCACTAACCATGAGCAATACATTTGTTACTGCATTTGTTCATCTTTGTTAATGTTAGTTCATGAAAATACAGCTGTTCATTGTTTGTTCATGTTAGTTCACGGTGCATTAACTAATGTTAACAAGATTTTAATCAAGTATTAGTAAATGTTGAAAATAACATTAACAAAGATTAACAAATGCTGTATATGTGCTATTCATTATTAGTTCATATTAACTAATGTAGTTAACTAATGTTAACTAACGAACCTTATTGTAAAGTGTTACCTGAAAAGTCATCAAAACATTGGTCTCGTACGGCCAAGGAAAAAAAAGGAGAGCCCTTGGCTTGTTGGCACTGTAAACACGAGCCCTTAAAACCGTGCCTCCCCATATCTCGTGAAATGTCTTTTAAATACGGATTTATTTCTGTAAAATCCCTGCATTCTTTGCCCCAAACACTCGAAAGACATGAAACCTCTGCATTGCTCCACTGTGTGTATCCTTCATCTTCCATCGTGCCTGTAAGTCATCATGTGATCTCAGTTGGTTGATGTCAATTTTTTAATGAAGTACGACTCGCATTTACTGGGGAATTTCCGATTTGTCTGCTTACGTGCCACACGCAAATCCGATTTATCACCACATATGAGTGAGACCTGAATCCGATCTGAGAAAATCAGAATCCATGCGGGGGTTTTTTTTCCTGCTTACACGTTCACCGGTCATCTGTGCCACATGAGAGGAAAAAATCGGATTTGGGTCACTTGAACCATGCAGACTAAATGGGGACTTTGTGATGCAAAATAAATTTGCCATGAAACTAGATTATTTTTATTATTTTTTTTTATTTGACCTTTATTTAACCAGGAAAATCTCTCTGAGATTAAAAATCTCTTTCACAGGAGAGTCCTGGCCAAGAATGGACAGCAGTTACAGTCACACCTTACAGATTGAAACAACAAAAAATCAATGAGTCTACTTCGAGTGATCGAATAATAGATTTGAAGTGTTCCATAGGCAGTTTGTAATTTCAATTTCGTTTGAAATAAATTCCATTCAAATGGAGCTGCGTACATAAAAGCCCTTTTACACCACAAGGGGGCAACACTGAGCTGTGCCCTTCACAGGAGACAATGGCTCCCTTCAGCACTAACCTGCAAATGTAAAACAAAACGATCAATGCTCTCTTTAAAAAAAACATAGATGGTTTTATTTTTCCCCAGATAAACATGAGACCAAAATGAAGGGTGTTATCTACTTCCAAGCCATTGAGGAAGTGTATTACGACCACCTAAAGAACGCACACAAGGTGAGCTGTAAAAATAGTGCTCGTTGTCACAATCGATCATTTTTTCACCCCATTAACCTTGTTCCATCCACACTCTTATTTTCCATCAGAGCCCAAACACCTCCCTGACGTTCAGTGTGAAGACGCACGACCGGGTTTATTACATGGTGGCTCCTTCCCCAGAAGCCATGAGAATCTGGATGGATGTTATCGTCACTGGAGCGGAGGGATACACACACTTCCTGGTGTGAGCAGAGTTACACTTTTATGATTTTCTTTTATCAGGACTGATCGTGAAGAGTGTGCGTTTGCAGTCATCCGTGACCTAGTTTGGAAAACTGGTGCTTTACCCACTGCGTCCTGTCCTGAGTTTACAGAGGCAGCTTTTGGACTTCAGAGGTACCAACTCTTGAATTTTCACCCCGTTTTCTTCACTTCAGGGGTGAGACGTAGAACAGCACTGTAAATAAGAAATCCCTCACTGGTCCACACGCTTCACAAACGTGCCGACTCATAATGAAGCTTTGACATGGATATACCTCAAGGAAATAACTGGTCGTGCTTATTAAAAATGAGACACCAAAGTCAAAGTGTTCCTGGTGTGCCATACAGACTCTTACAAACATCAGGGTATTGTTCAGTGCTGTTTTTGTAACCAACAGTACTGAGTAACTTGAATTTAGAAATGTTATTCGCCATGCAATTTACATTATTTGCTTTTTTACCAAGTGCCTTATTTTGTCAATATCTGATGAGTATAGCTATATATTTTGCTACAAGACTTGTAGAAGGACATAAACAGACTGTTTATTATAAGTGTTTTTTGTACTGACCTATTGAGGGATGCAGAAATGACATATTTTTGTAGGTTAGCATCACCCTGGTTCCCTCGACAAAAACAAAATGGGATTTTTATTCCATTGGCTTTTGGATTATTGCAGAAAATAAGATATGTGACTATCAAAGTTAATGATTCTGTACACGTTTTGTGTTCACAAATGAACAACTGTATCGTGAATACAATCGGCAGGAGTCAAAAGCTAAATGTAGGCTATAAACGAACTACATGGTCACATGACTTTCAGTCTTTGTATAAAAACATTTCCCTGAACTTTTCAGTTATAATAGTTTGCAAAAGGGCAATTATAAATGAGTTTACCTGTTGTTCGGCTGATGACGTTTAATGTCACGGACAATCTCTTATTTAGCCACTTGTTATCAGCTGCCTTTTTCATGACTCATATAAGCTTTTTTAAAAAAAGTGCATTACTGATGTATTTTATGTTGTAGAATCAAACATGAATAAAAAAATCAGACCTTATTTCAGGCATTTAACCAAAAACCCACTTAAAAAACGCTACTGAATTGGGAATGATGGAACCGGAAGTGCTAAATGCTATTTCTGGGTTTCGGCCTGCAAAAATACGTCATCCCTGCAACACTTTTTGTGCCTCCCTGATGCTCAGGAACTTAATTTAGCACCAAAGACGAGCTAAATTTGTGTTTCAGCATGATATGAATGTAATGACGTACACCCATCAGATAAGATGCCATTGAAAAGTGTTTATTTAATAGATAAGGCTTTTAACCCTAAAACCGTATTCTGGACAAATGTGGGCAAAATAGTTTTGATTTATTTTGTAAAAAATACTTCCCTTGATCTGAGCGGTACAAGACTTGGCTACTTTTCCTAAGTTTGCTTCCTGAACACACACGATTTTTTTTTTTACTCAATTCTACAATGTTAAGTGGGTGAAAAAAAAAATCCTTGTATTTGGGTCAAAAATGGGCACCCATAGAAATGAATGGGAAAAACTAATTCAGAGCAGTCTAAAATAATAAAGCCAAAATAAGACATCAGGTGACAGCAAAGTCACTTCATCTTTAAGTTTTAGCTCTAAGAACTTATTGAAATTATATTTTAACGTAGTTAAAAAAAAATAAAACTACATAGTATAATTTACATTTACATTTTGAAGTAAATAAAATCAAAACTACCCCTAAAATAAAAGAAAACACCATAAATGGATAGACAAAACTTTATCGAAGACAGTGATATAACATTTATAATAAATAAAAATTAGGATCACACCTGCATCCTCTGTGCCCACATTTGTCCACAATTACAGGATTAAGGGCTATAAAGTGAATACGGTTTGAGGGCTAAAGATGATGTTCATGATTGAATTCACTGATTTCTCAAAGTCATTGTGTGTTGTCCCGCAACTGACCCGCGGATGGTTTTGCTTAAAGTGATATTGAAATAATTTCAGAATTTATTCCCTGCAAGAAGTTGAACATTTTGATTTTTAAAAGTTTTGTTTTATTACCACTGAACAAATCTATATGCATGTCTGAACTTATGATAGTGTATTTGATATTATTATTTTTATGTAGGAATCAGTATTATTTCATTTAGAGTACGAGAAGAAGTGTTAAGATGAAATGGTTGTCATATTAGGTCAAATGAAGGCACATGTGCTGTCTGAAAGCATAACATCTAGTTTTAGATTTTCATACACACATCCTTAGACATCAACGACAAAACAAATGGGAAGTGTTTCTTTCCTTTTTAAAATTTGATCAATCTATTTGTTTTACCGTCCAAATGATGTGCAATTTTAAGAGTAGTTGTTTTTTTTTTCTATCATTTCTATCATTGTTTTTTTTCTATCATTTTCTATCATTTCTATCATCTATCATTGTTTTTTTTTTCTATCATTTTTTTGCCATCATCCCAGTTAAGAACCACTGATCTTTGAAGACCAAATTGTCTTGTCATTCTTGCAATCATGTCTGTCATTCATCCTCATTATAACCACAGGCCATCTTTCTGGCAAATCCTTCCACATATTCACCAACAAATTAGGCCGTGAAATGATTGAATCAGTGTTAATGTGCACTTCGAGACTGGACGGCATTTTAGAGGTGCTTTTTCAGCTTTCACCCATTAGACCATGCATCACAGCAAAGCGTTATATAGATCACAACAACAAAAGTACTTATTTAAAATGTATCATGATACTTTTATATTCAGTGTTTTTTTAGATAAAAGCAATATTTTTACTGTTAGCATGTTTTTTAAAAGCTCATTTAAAATGTGAACAATAATAAAATCATATGTTCGAGTAAACCAGATGGGTTTTTTTTCTTTCATTTGTCTGTATTTTTAAAATTTGGCTTTGAGCTGTATGCTATATTTATGCAGCATCATTGTTATGCGTGTCGAATAGCTGCAGAACACGGCTTCAAAATGAGACTCTCACACCTTCTCATGTACTGATCACCCATAGTTCACTTTTGACATTTTGGACGGATAAATTGTGTTACGCATGTAACGTGAGAGTCCATTTTAGAACTCCTTGCCTCCTCACCACACCCCTCTTCTTCCCGGTCCCCCATTGGCTGACCTAGTGTGGTTGCCATAGCGACGTTTTTTTCAGTGGAGCATGGATAATTAGCCAAACATCTCCTAACAGAGAACATCTTTTCGCCGAGGGTGTTTGTATATTCACCGATGGGGAATAAGATGCATTCTGTTGTCAGGAGAGTTTTTGACAATCATCCAGCAGCTCACATTTTACTGTAAAATAAATATGATTTAGCGATGGGTATGTAATATCAGGCAACACAGTTAAAATCTTCTGATGGTATCATATTTCTATGCATGTCCACTGGTGGGCCTTTGCTTTGAGACGTGGGAAGTTTCATGTTTCAAAACAAATCTCTCAGAGATGTTATGTCGTTAATCTCATGTTTGGAGGGATGCACATATGCAGATTATCTTAAATCGCATTTTAATCCCATATTATGTCTTTGTCTGCGTGTAATAATGAATACGGCTAGTTGTGCCATGTGCTTTACGGGAGGATCATGCCAGACTATTCGATTAGATTTAGACAATTTCCTCCTATTTTGAGCCCTAGCTCAAACCCTCATGCCGGATTTATCTTATGCACACATCTTTTTTGCTGCCTTAGATCAGACTGCAGGCTCGCTTTTTTGTAATTTTTGTAATTGAGGCTACGTGATCATCAGGATTATTCATATTCACTATCAGACCTGAGGTTTTTGAGCAGACGGAAAAACAGACCATGCAGTGCGAATGCCTTTCATCATCTAAGACCCCAGGGGGGGTGTCAGATCCATAAGCAGGGGACACTTTCCATTAACAGTGAGCTGCTCTTTGGCTAATCACCTTGTGAAGTGGTGAAGACCTCGTGTTTTTCCAGTTAAACAGTCCTGCTGCCCTGGGCTCTGATTTGGACAACGGAGCCTTGTTTGTGCCGTCTCTTTGTTTTTCTTTTTCCTTATGGCAAATTTGCAGACTCGCTCTACCTCTGTTGTTCACCCCGTGATGGAGATCAACACCCGAATGTCCTTACATATATCAATTGCTGTTGTTTGATTTCAATAGTATGAGTTTCAGTGTTTAATATGTCACGAATGTCAAAACACAGCTGTGATGGAACCAAAAGGCTTGCTATTTTCTGCCCTCCCCTTCCTTGTTCTGTCTCCCCATCTGTACCACGATCTCTCGTTCTCTCTGTGTGCGCCACTGTCCCCCCATTTCAGTGTTCATTCATTCCCTCAATTAAGTTTTATAAAGGTTTAAATAACGGTATCCCTGTTTCTCTTCGACACAGCATAACAACCCATTAGAAACATCCTTTGCATACAGCAGCTGGCGGGAATTTCTATAGCCCATCTTAGCATACAGCTCACTGACCAGGAAATGCTGACATTCATGAGGTTTGCTATTCAGGTCAGTGGGTTTTTCATCCCAGCATGGCACTGCAGAGGAAGCTGGGGGTGGGGGTCTGGGTCTTTATAGTGGGTATCCACAACTACTGACTGAGTAACATGGTTACATAACGTGACTACAGAGGACAATGTAACCAACAACCTGATTCTGTCCTATGCAATCGATTCCCATACCATAAAGCACCCTGCATGACACTGAAATCGTTCTATAATCACATTTTATTGATTAAATAGGAAACAATGTGACATTGAGATAATCACACACCCACTCATTCACATGTACACACTCGTACACACAAAAATAGTCCTCTATTTAATGTGTATGTGATGGCAACTTCGAAAGAAAACTTGTCATCCATGAAAGTCTTGGCTTACCTATAACACCGACTGCCCGTGAAACATCACCTCTACTGTCCTTAGACTTCTTTAATGCAGTCTCACACAATCCACTGTTAGATCCAAATGCCATATCCATCTTTGATGACATGTTACATACACATTTGTTACAGTTGACAGGCACTGTGTGACTTAACACAGTGTTTAAAAAAACAGCGAGGAAGAGGAGTGCGATGGCTCGACTGGTTGGAAAAGTAGGGCATGCGTTCTGCTACATACATTCGAAAGATGTTGTGGAATATCCTGTCTTGGCATGAACTGTACAGGTAAGATATCCAGTTTGTTTGCATACAACACGTGGGAGCTCCAAGAAGACTATGACATTGATCCACAAAATTCACTTGAAAAAGAAAAATTTGGAAAAAGACACCAGACGAGAAAATCTAAAAAAGAAGGCCGAGTAACAAATGCTACAAAGGATCCCTCCATTGCTCTGTAACAAAACATTTCTTTTTCTCTTTGTGGACAGTCCAAGAAGATAAGAAAAAAGCACCTTTGTGATGATGATACTGGGCCCCTCTAGTGTGTTGCAGACCTGGACAAAAACCACAAGACTCGACGTTGGATTGCTCGTCTCTTCTCTGAGGCTTTTAACCACCACAAAGGACGGATAGATTGATGATGCCGGAGATAATGGACGGATGCATTTATTGTTTCCTCAGAGACGGTCTACATGGCTTTTGATTCCAGGTGAGGGCTCTTGTGCTTTAGTGGCTGCCATTTAATTTGCATGTATGGTTGCCATGGGGATCGTTTAGACATGTGCATCTGTTCCTGGTGGCAAACCCAGCTTCAGTCTGTTCTAGAGTGATATGAATAGAAACACCCGGCTGATAAAAGAATTGCGTGATTAACACTGGCGTGTAAAAAAGTTCAAATAATGATGCAAAAAGGCGTAAACCAGGCACAGTGATGCCTGACCGGATATATTAAAAAGTGGAATGTTTCAGGGTTTCGTCATAGACGGGATTCGAAGGTCGGTTACTTTCTGTTGGCTGTTGGCGCAGGCTTATTGCTGGTCCGACGAATGGGCATTTTGGACACCGGTATCTTGGAGCGTGCAGCTTCGGCCCTCCCCTGCACAGAATGGTAGGTTGCCGTAGATCCGTGTTTGATGGGGATCTTAGACTCCCGGGTTGAACTTGTTGCACCACCTGGATGTGTCTGGAGACCAAGTTTGCCATCAAGAATGTCCTCTTGGCTGTGGTAGAGGGTTGGGGTGACACCCCCCGATTCTGTGGAGACATCACTGAGGGCCTCTTTGCTGCTGCTTTCCCGTGAGAGCGTGAACGGACTTTCCTCCTCATGTACCGGCGTTGGTAGATTCGAGTGGTCATCGTCTCCATTTGGCTGGGAATCTCGATGATGCAGCTTAGCAGGTCTGCCTCCACCACAAACAGGGATCTTACTTAGAGTTGAGGGCTTTGTTGCGGGGCCCCTTCTCACAGGCTTGCTGATGCTTTGAGTAGCCGCAGAGTCTCTGTTATCAGCTCCTTCTTGTCTTAACAGGTCCTCCCTCAAATCCGTGCCGACATCATCTTCTGCTCTTTTTGACGAAATGAAGGATGGAATAGTACCTGGAGGAGACTTCAGGACGGGAATGTGTGGCGTGGAGGTAACTGTGGGGGATTTCATGGTGGCAGAGGTAAGAATAGGAGCAGGCGACGGGGTAAGAGCAACAAAAGCAGTCGTTTCAGAGATGGAGGCTTTTCTGACAGATTTTGAAGTTTGTCCTGTGGGTTGTTTTGTCTCAAGCTTGGCAATGGGAGCGGTGTTTCGGCTTGTCGATAATCCAAATGTTGTAACGAGTTTTGGTCTTGGTGTTGGTGCAGGGGCTGGGGTAGGTTTACCAAATGGTGGTGGATAAGGAGTGTGTTTGGTTGCAGAGGTAGACGCAGTATGTTTGGATTCTTGGGGTTTTGCTGCAGGGGTTGATACTTTAGTCACAGGGGTTGGGGTAGGTTCAGTTTTGGTAACAGCAGAAGTTTCAGGGGGGGAACTCATCGTTTCAGAAGTGGTGGCCGAGAGAGATAGGGGAATGAGTGTAGAGGTTGGGATAGGTTTGGTCATGGAGCTAGATTGTGTGTCAGGTTTGATTTCAGGGCTAGATTCAGGGGACGGGGCAGGTTTCGCTGGGGAAGTGATAGATTTGGTTGTAGGGCTCGATAAGGGGCCAGGGCCAAGCTGTGTAGTGGAGACAGATGTAGGGGTTGGTTTAGGTTGGATATCTGGAGTAGTTTGAGGTATTGGGATGGGCTGGGTTATGGGCGGAGCTGATGATGTGGGGGTGGGTTTAGCGAGAGGGCTGGATGTTGGGGTAGGGATAATAGGGCCAGGTGACATTTTGGTCACCGAAGAGGTGACTGCAGGTTTGGGAAAAGGTTTGGTGGTGGTGGGTGAAGGGCTGGGTTTGGTTGCTAAAGTAGGGGACGGTTTGAAAGAGGTGGTGGGGCTTAGAGTAGAAGTAGGAGAAGGACTAGGCTTTGATCTTGTAGAAGTTGTAGAAGATGAAGTCTTCTCAGAAATATCCACTTGCTGTGTGCCAGGTGCTCCCTCCATTCTACAGCTAGCTTTGACCCATTCTGCCTCAACATCTGCTACAATATCTCCACATGGCGTCAGTGAATCGAAGCTCAAAATTGATGAGATATCTCCGAGCAGTGTGCTCAAGCGTTCATTTGTTGGAGGTTTGTTCACTCCACTCACCTTTGCGGAGTCCTCAGATGACGTAGGGCCCTCTTGTGTTGTAAGCTTTTCCACGGTCTCCTCCACAGAGCGAGCCGGAGGCCCGGGTGTTAATGTGAGACTCTCCTTAATAATCTCAACACTGTTGGAGCGGGAAGCAAGTAGAGGAGGACCAGGTTGAGACTCTTCCTCCTCCTCATCATCCTCCTTCTCTTTACCACGCCAGCGTACTGTCCCAAACAATCCCTTTAGGCCCTTCCGTTGGCGTCCAGGCCTCTGAGACTCGGTCTGAGCTTGGCGTTCTCCCGTAAATCCCCGCCGGCCTTTGCGGAGCATATTGAGGAAGCTCAAAGACTTGGCAGATGTGAGCGAGGAGATGGAATGGCGAGTCGGGGTGACTTCTGAATTCATGTTTCCGCCCGTGAACTCCTCCATCGGAGCGTCCTCCTGTTGACTCTCATCCTCTTGGTCGAGATCCACCGTCTCTGCCTCTGCTTCCGGGGCAGTCGGCTCTTTTACTCCATCCGGGGTTTTGCTAATCGATGGCGGTGATTTAGGGCCTCCATCTCCTTTCCCACGCATGGAGAAGATGCTCCCAGGCTTCCGCTTGCCGAACAGTTTGAAGGCTTTTCTGATTTTACCTGGAGGCTGAGGGTCACATGGCGGTGGTTCACAGCTCTCAGACTGTGCATCCATATTCCAGCTCCACTGCGGTGTGTCTTTTCCTTCGTCTCGACGTCTCGCTCTACCCTCACACTTTCTCTCTTTGTATCCTCACGATCAAATGAATGAAATATAACTGATAAGAATAGATAAACAGATGACCTTTTCCCTTTATATTTCTAGACTGTTTTTGCTAGCAAAGCGCATCTATCTCCGTCTCCACTCTCTCTGTGTCTATTGCTCTTTTTTTCAAGCGCTCCCTCTTTCTCTCTCTCGTTCTGTTCCTCCCTCTCCAGCCTCCGCCCTCCCTCTCCCTCTCTCTGTTCCTCTCCTCTGGCTGCTCCAGCTGGTCGCCATAGCAACTGAGGGTCTAAGCAGCTTTCGTCAGCAATGGAGCGGAGCCAGGGGCTGTCATCATCCTACCCTCTTTCTCTCTCTCTCTCTCTCTCTCCCCATCCACTCCCTCTTTTCCTCCAAGTGTTCCCATCCCAGTTACTCATGCAGATTTATCCCTCCTATTTTTGACTGTTCTCTTGCTATCAGCATCACTGTTGCGTATGGGACTAAGGACAACGCAGGCAGCAACTGGCTTGGTTACAGCATCCCTGCTGTATCTGATCGAAATATGTTTCCACTCCAAGACTGTGTATTGTACATTCAGGGAGGACATTTTGGAAGGGTGTTGAAACATTTTCCACATAATTTCCCTCTCTTTCCCGATCTCGTCATCTGAAATTCACTGTCTTTCTCTAATAACCTTCTTTCTCTTCTTATGCCCCTCCCACTCAACCACCCACAATCTCTTTCCCACACACATAATTCTCGCAGGAATTCTCGTCAATACATGCTCTTGTAGCCCATCCTTTTGCTTGTCGCACTTATTTTGCTGGGGTCTTGAGGACTTATTTTTATTTATCACCTGAGTTTGGCCCACCTCTCCTACTCAGTTTCTTCATCTCTGCACCAGTGTCTTTCATGATCTACTTACTTTAAAAAAAATTCTTTCTCCCTGTTTGCCCCCCGCCCGCCCCATTTACATGTGAATTACATCCCACACCCATCTCTCTTCTTCTGCACATCCATTTTTTTGTATATGAGCAAAGTTTATTTTGAATGCAGTTTTTAAAAAAATATGATTAGGTAGTGTGATTCTACACTCTCAGAAAAAAGGTACAAAAAAGCCGTCACTGGGGTTGTACCTTTTCAAAGGGTAAACTTTTGTCCATTTTAGGTGCTATTATGTACATTTTAGGTGCAAATATGTATATTTTAGGTGCTAATATGTACATTTTAGGTGCTTATATGTACATTTCAGGTGCTATTATGTACATTTTAGGTGCAAATATGTAAATTTTAGGTGCAAATATGTACATTTTAGGTGCAAATATGTACATTTTAGGTGCTAATATGTACATTTTAGGTGCTAATAAGTATATTTTAGGTGCTAATATGTAAATTTTAGGTGCTAATAAGTACATTTTAGGTGCTAATATGTACATTTTAGGTGCTAATAAGTATATTTTAGGTGCTAATATGTAAATTTTAGGTGCTAATAAGTACATTTTAGGTGCTATTATGTACATTTTTAGGTGCTAATATGTACATTTTTTGGTGCCGTTATGTATATTAGGTGCTAATATGTACATTTTAGGTGCTAATATGTACCATTAATGTACCAATATGCACCCTTTAGGTACAAAAGTGTATCCTTTGAAAAGGTACAGCCCCAGTGACCGCTTTTGTACCTTTTTTTCTGAGTGTGTAAAAAAAATTCTGCAGCAGAATATCAGATTTTGATTTGAATATGATTGTTTTTATGTGTTTAGAAAGCCCATATATTTCAGAAAATCATAAATACATTCTTCTAATTATTTTAGAAAAGAGCCATTTCTTTGAAAAAAAAAAAAAACCTTGTTTACTACATTTTGTATTTTGAGTTATTTCAAATTTGACATTGCGTAATCTTTATTTATTTGTTTTCTTAAATCTTTATTAATGACGTTTTTGCAATTAAATTAAAATTAATCTGTATTTATTTATTAATGACGTTTTTGTCTTGAGTACACCACCAAGTGACCCACGACCGCCACTAGTGTCCCCTAGTAGGTGCATGACACCCCCTCTGCATCCATTCATGTATACATCTAGGCCTACATTTCTGTCCTTATCTGCTCACTAATCCCTCTTTTAAAACAGGCCTCTTTCCTCCTCCCTTCATCGCAACAAAACAATTAATTCATTCATTCCTTAAGTGGTGCTTTTATTGGGGCTCACTAAACAGGGCTGACTCGCCAGACAGAACAACACATTACTCTGTGCTGAGACTATATCTCCTACCTATTACTATTAGAGGAGGCTCAAAATAATTACAGATGTGTTCTTCTGTATTGTGATGTACATCGGAGTGAAACAGATTATCGAACAAAAATGTAGGGTGAAGACTTCAATCCATGGGGTAACTGTCAATTTATCAGAAGGCAGAGTTATATTATTTTATACATATAAAAAATGAAAACAAAAATGTTTTGTAAATGAAACCTGCATGGATGATTAATGCACAATAAGATCAGTATCCATTTAGAAAATAGGGTGAATTTTCATTTAATGCCAACAGACAAGTCTTTAGTACAGAATTATGTTAGTAATTTAGTATAATTCATCAATGCAAACTAGTACTGATAACCATATCATCCAAGTGTGTTGATATACAAACCACTCAGTCACATTATAGTCAATAGATGCTCAAAGCTGCTTTTAATGGTATCATCTGCAATGAATCACTATCACTATAAATTTAATTGGCTTACTCATTATTTACATAAAGCGCAGAGCAATAAAAGAGTGAGACCGTGTGTGTGTGTGTGTGAGAGAGAGTATTTTATCACAAACAAGAGTTCTAAATCAGGCTCAGCACAAGATCTATTTATCACACGTAAGTGCAGGAACAGACAATTTGTTCTTTGTTTTGATGGTTCTCTGACGAACTCACTTCTGAAACCTCCCGAAGAGAAGAGCAGATACGCAAAGAGAGCACCAGAGGAGTGTGTTTTCTACAGTGCAGAGACATGAACCACATCTGGCATCAATGTTGGAGTTCCCTCTGCAGGACAGGGCACAGGGTGAAAAACCAATCTAATAAAACTCACAAATAAACCGTAACTACCTAGCCCACCTATAGCCAGCAAACTGCCAATGAATCAAGGGGCGTTATAGGTTTTAAAAACATCAGGGGCTGGGGTGGGTAAGACGATAACAGAGAATAATGTATATTGCAGGCCTATATGCGGGGGCAGACCGTGGTCTGTAAAAATGTCATTAGATGTGTGTGTGTCTTGGTTTCTTGTATGTTAACTGAAGTTCTCTACAGGCTCCACGGGTAGATGGAGATTCGGTGCAGAAGCTGAAGGTTGAAGTTCAAGGGAAGGTCTTCAGAGCGACTGAAGAGAGCAAAATCATGTTCAGATGTTACCTACCTTTGACCTTCATCCAAACAGACAAACCTATTTACAATCCAGGACAAACAGGTGAGCTGTGAATGACCCTTGGTTGGAGCAATCATCTTCAAATGCATTATGTTTGTTGGTGTCTTTTCAGAGTTGTCTCCATGGATCCCAAATTTGTGCCTTTTGATCAGATGTTTCACCATTTGAACTTCTGACCATAAATGAAAAGCAAATTAAAGTCAGGTTATTTTAAGATGCTGATATTTCAACTTCAATGGCTGCTTTTAAATGTTTATTATTCCTTTCTTTGTCTTGCGGTACAATCTGGTCGTGGTGGAGGTGAGTTTGCTTCGCTCTTCTTGCCTCTCATCTGCCTCGTATATCGTTCAAACTACTGCTCTGCTTCCCTCTGCTGGCGGGATGGCGAGTTGCAGGAAAATTACAAATTTAGTTATTCACTGACTAATAACAACAATGTAGCACCAATGACATGTAATTCGCCTAACCAAGTGAAGTGATAAAAACAAAAACAAATGAATAAACGTTCAAAGTGCACATTTAAACAGCCTTGAGCATGTTGACTTTGAACGTAATTTATAAGAAGACCCTAATGAGATAGATATTTCAAATTAAATTAAAATTTAGTTAAATAAAAAACTAAATTCATCACCATTTTTTTCCCTGAAAACACGTCTGTACAGCATTTTTTATATAGCAAGTTATACACACAGCAAAACACAATAAATTGGGGTTTAAACTCTCACGTCATTGAAGAAATAAAATAATTAAATAAACTGCGATTAGATGTTAGGCTAGGCCTAGGGGAGATTTCATTTGGGTTCCTAAAAAGGCTCGGAATTGTCACATAATAAAACAACTACATTTGGGAGGACAATTGAATGTTTATTGTGTTATTGATTTAAAAATTAAATACTTCTCGCTTAATTGGACGATAATGGGGAATTAATGTGCTGCTGCTGGTGTTAAGCAGCTCTTTGTTTTTCTCCGAGCGCGTCGATCGGACGAGCCTCTAGCCGTGACGTCACCGACACCCTTTCCGAGGGTCGGATTAAAGATGGCGCCCTCTCAGGCAGTAAGATGCTGTCAACGGGGCTTATCCTGGATACCTGTGATTTTTATCAACCTGGTCGTGTGCTGGTCCTACTACGCTTACGTGGTGGAGCTCTGTATATGTAAGTTTCGACCCTAGTAGACTTGGTTGAATGTAACAGTGTAACGTTAGATAAAAGTTGATGGCTAGTTGTTGCAGCGGTGGTCAGGGCAGGAAGTGACAGTGACCGACTGGTACCAGATATGGATCGAAATTCAGCTCGTTTTCTTTGTATAGTATTTATTTATGGGCATAATCACGTCGAAAGCCATGAATGAACTGGTTTGATAATGATTTCAGTTATTGTATTTGTATGCACAGTGTTAATTCAAGCTAAGCGTTAAGCCCAGGTGTTAAACTGATTGAGAGGCTTGATTTGACAAGCTGACGTACTGAAGAGAATTACGAATATATTATTAATTTTCAGTGACATAAAGCTCACTTCAATCTGATCGAGGTATGCCTCGGAATTATACATTGTTTAGTTTGTCAAACAGTTTCATGGTATGACATGCTATGCATCATTTCTGTCTTATAGTTATAGTATATATCCACAATTACCTCATTGCTTGTTAAATAGACTTACAGTTTCTTACAATTTCTTTCTTTTTTAAAGAAGAAAAATTCTGTAATAGTTTTTGCATTTTTAGGGGGAACTCCTTAAGTGAATATATATTTTTTTAGATATAAAGTGTGAAACGTAAACGACTGAAATGAAAACATATGCTTTAACTGCAGCTGTTGTTAACCACTTCACAGTGATCGCTGCACTCTCTGTAGTTCCACCCTGTTATTACTTTCCCATCAGCTTCTAAAAATACTCCCTTGTGTGTTCTTCTGGGCCATTTATTACCCTAGTAAAGGGCAGTGATGTATTGTAAACCCTTCCTTATTGATTACCCTCTCTTTTATGATATAAAAGTTTAGAAATCCTTTTAGAAATCTGACGGTATGACTATAATGGAGAGTTGCAAGGAAAATCTCTGCTGTTCTTGCGTTTCTTATTTTATTTCTCAAATGAAACAAGGCTTGTGACACTTCACATAAAATATTAATTGACATTCATAATGATTCACATAAATAAAATAACAACACTAGTGAGACCAAGTGGGGAAAAAATGGACATGATTAAACTTTCAATGTTGTGACTTTCACATTTAAACCTCCTACATTGACATTGGAAGTACTTTTTGATTAATAAAATATTTGAAACACTTAGGCCTAATGAAATAAATGTGTTTAATCAAAATATTTATTTCATGATTTCATCACGACATTCATCTGTCAGTCACTTGAGTCGGTGTTCTCCATCCGTGATGGACACAAGGCTCTCTCTGACAGCACTCTGCCAGATGGCAGTACCAGTCGCCTGGCGCTCCGGCCTAACTGAAGGGAACTGGGTGGTTGGGAGAGCATTAGCAATATCCCAGCACTCAGCAGATGGCTTTGTGAATCAGGCCAGTTGTTCTTGGTGGGATTGCCAATTGACCTTTGCTTGTTTCTCTCTGCAGATACAATCACTAACACAGAGGAGCAAGGTAAGAGGAACGCCAGTGAAAGCAATATTGCAAAAGCAGTTAACAAATTCTTCTGTTGGCTAATCTGGCCTCCTACTGTTCTTAGTCACATGTTTTGTCACACCAGAATGAACAACACATCCCATTTCTGTTATGAAGTAACAGCATTTTTTTTTTGGTTTATAAAGTAAGTATGAATTGTCGTTTGTTTTTCTAAAAGTCCCCTCATTCTGTTTCTCTCGCAGTTTTTTATCTGATAGTGTTTCACCTCTGTTTCTTCATGTTCATATGGTCCTACTGGAAGACCATCATTTCCAAACCTGCCATCCCCTCAAAAGAGGTACTGTCTCTCTCTGTTCTCGTTACTAGTTTTGCTTCAGGGCCCAGGTTTTGCTAACTGTTTGTAACCACTGTCCTGTCCTTTGACGCTTTATCTTGTCCAGGTTGCCGTTTTTAATGAGAATGAGTCCTCTATGTGCCTACCTGGTTAAAGAAAGGTTTAAAAAAATAAATAAATGGGGTAGCACAATATTTATCATAGTGTAATGCGTATGTGGTTATGTTCCTCACATCTGGATGAGGAGCAGCAGCAGAGAGAGCTTTTAAACTCTGGCTGCTCTGTAGTTTTATTGCCACAAAATGTAATGACAGAGAAGAGAAGAGGAAGAAAGACCAAAAAATGATGTTTTTGCGTTTTTTTTTTTTACTGCCTGTGGGGTGGTTTAGCAGTTGCTGTAACACTGTGAGCTGCTTATTTGGAAAGTGCAAGTCAAATAATTTCTTGTCATGTATCTTGCCAATAAAGATGGCAAAAATAGTATTACGAATTTAGTAAGTTATTTGAAAGTTTCTGGTTGATTTTGGCTGCATATGCAGATTCATATTAGTCTGTTCACACTCACAATCTTAGATCCTGTTGTCTCTCTTAGTTCTGTCTCCCTAAGGCTGAAAAAGAGCTGTATGAGAAAGAGGAGAGACCAGAGGCCCAACAGGAAATCCTGAAAAGAGTGGCCAGAGATTTACCCGTATATACACGCACAGGATCCGGGGGTGAGCTGGAAAATATACATCGCCATTGAAATCCCTTGTACTTCTTCTTTAAAATGTTCTGCAGTTAATTCAACTCAACGTATTGTTTTTATAAATGTTAAAGGGATACTCCACTTTTTTTGAGATAGGCTCATTTTACAACTCCCCCAGAGTTAAAGGGTTAGTTCACCCAAAAATGAAAATTAAGTCATTAATTACTCACCCCCATGCTGTACCAACCCCGTAAGACCTTCGTTCGTCTTCGGAACACAAATGAAGATATTTTTGATTAAATTTGAGAGCTGTATAACTACCACATTGGCTCCTAAGGGACTGCCTCTTGACGGCCCAAAAAGTCAATGAAGAAAATGTTTAAATATCCCAAGTGACTACCGTGGCTCAACTATATGTTTATCAAGCGACGCGAATACTTTTTGTGCGAAAAAACAAACAAAAATAACGAGTTTATTCGACTATTTCTTTTCTTCCTTGTAGGCCAGAACGAGACTTCCTTAGATTTCCACGACGCATGCGCGAGATTTGCGATCTGCTCACACCAGCTTCACTACTTCAGATCGCAATTCTCGCGCATGCGTCGTGGAAATCTATAAGGAAGTCTCGTTCTGGCCTACAAGGAAGAAAAGAAATAGTCGAATAAACTCGTTATTTTTGTTTGTTTTTTCGCACAAAAAGTATTCGCGTCGCTTGATAAACATATAGTTGAGCCACGGTAGTCACTTGGGATATTTAAACATTTTCTTCATTGACTTTCTGGGCCGTCAAGAGGCAGTCCCTTAGGAGCCAATGTGGTAGTTATACAGCTCTCAAATTTAATCAAAAATATCTTCATTTGTGTTCCGAAGACGAACGAAGGTCTTACGGGGTTGGTACAGCATGGGGGTGAGTAATTAATGACTTAATTTTCATTTTTGGGTGAACTAACCCTTTAAACAGTTGGGTTTTACCGTTTTCGAATCCATTCAGCCGATTTTCTAATATTTAGAAGAATATCGGTAACCAGACAGTTTCTGGTCTCATTGACTACCATAGTATATATTTTTCCTACTATGGTAGCAGTGTTGGGTAAGTTACTCTAAAAAAGTAATTAATTACCTCTTCAACAATGTAATTAGATTACTGCACAAATTACTCTCTCTAAAAAGTATTTAATTACTTTTAATTACTAATTACTTTCACTATCCCATTTCAATCTCAACCAGCTGAATAATACAAGAATAGACATGAATCTGTTTTAATTCTTTCAAATAAATACTATAAAATTGCATGAATTATCCTTAAACAGACCAAGGTGGAGAAGGTTACATTATAAAAACATACTTTTTAGCATCAGACAATACATTTTAAAGTTAAACCCACTATTGTTTTATGTCTGATCTCATGACATTTCACACTTTTTTCATACATATTTTACAATAATTTGTACGAGTGCGGTCGTGCCATTTAGACACCTCATAAAATGCATACGAATCGCTGTGAGATCGGATTGATCTATACACAGTATTTACCTCAATTACATCAGAAGTAACTGTAATTAAATGAAGAGTAATCCCTTACTTTACATTTTCAAGGGAAAAGTAATTAAATGACACTTAACTAATTATTTAGTAATTAGTTACACCCAACACTGTATGGTGACCAATGAGACCAGAAACTGTCTGGTTACTGATATTCTTCTAAATATCAGAAAATCGGCTGAATGGGTTCGAAAACGGTAAAACCCAACTGTTTAACTCTGGGGGAGAGGTAAAATGAGCCTATTTTCAAAAAAAGTGGAGTATCCCATTAACATTAGAAATGTGTAGTTTTAAAGCTGTTCAACTTTTTACTCAAACTGATATTCTGATAAAATGTGATGAATATTAAATGATGGCTCTCTCAGACTTACGTACTCCACTGTATCTAAGTGTGATAGAGAAGTCTTTCACATAGTTGTGCTGGTTAATATTTTTGTGGAAACAGTTGATTCAGTTTTTACTGTCACTTTTGATCAGTTTAATGCATCATTGCTAAATGAAAGCTTCTTTAAAAATGAACTACTGACTTTACTGACCTCAAACTTTTGAATGGTTTGGTATCTATATACTAGTGACATACAGTTCCTCTTCCTCCCTCAGCTATCCGTTACTGCGATCGCTGTCAGCTGATCAAACCAGACAGATGTCATCACTGCTCTACCTGCGACAGGTGAGTCATCCAAAAAACACAGTCGACGTCGGAAATCACACACTGTGATTTGGCACTTAATTACTCCATGATCGCTTAAAAAAAAGTCTTTCGTATGTAGTATGGAAGCAATCGGGACGTACTACATTCGCCATGTTGTCCTTATCACATGACCTACCAGCGTCAGTTGCATCACTTCACTGTCATTCGTAAATGCTCCCATGGCCTCATGGGATAGTAAAGTGCCCATTGTGTGCACACTTCAGAATCTTGCCATAAGTAGTAGGTCATCCGGGTACTTTAAAGAAAAAAATGTTTTTGTGAATACTGTGTATTCTAACATATTTTTTTTCGTCACATATTGTTTATCGCCTGCTATATTTCGGATGCAGTCTTGGATTTGCACATTTTATTTTGATGCTTTTTGTTTTTCCCAGATGTGTGCTGAAAATGGATCACCACTGTCCATGGTACGTGCATCCGGAGCTGCGATGAGTTTTTTTTTTTTTACCTTAAGTTGTGTTGTCACTGTTGTGCTTGAGGTAATGACTCTTTGCTGTGTCTTTCAGGGTTAATAACTGTGTTGGATTCTCCAACTACAAGTTCTTTGTGCTGTTCCTGGCATACTCTATGCTGTACTGCGTCTACATCGCCGGCACAGTTCTGCAGTACTTTATCCAGTTCTGGACAGTAAGTCCACACACATTCCTCTCATTTCTCACACTTTTCGCTGCTCACCTTGTGCTATTTCGGAGCGCCAACCTCAGCGTGTCTCTCCATCTATGTGTTTTTCTGTCTGCATGAAAATGAATTGCAGATAATCTAAACAATTATGTGAAACAATCATGTACAGTCAGGTGGTATTATCACAAAGATAAATAAACTAATTGCACTTTTGGGGTTTATTCTATTATTTTAGATTTATTTAGTTCATTATATCTTGCTTAAAGCTACACTGTGTAACTCTTAGTTTATTCTTAGCTAAAAACACTTAGTGCTTTCAAAAATATATGTGCTCATTAATGTATATTTACTTCGTTCGAGTAATAAAGTATTCTTGTGAGTGTATAATATGCCATTGAAAATACATACGGGTAAGGGGTTCGCCATGTTGCCCCTCCATCTTGAAAGTACATTAGCCAAAGAGGGACATACCCGTTAATTCAAGCTTCGCCTTTCGCGTTTACGTTTGAGTTAACACTGATGGATGAGGTTGAACTGGAAGCCATGTTAATCTTGGACTACATTGGCCACCGTAGGAGTTAAAACGAAATCGGAATTGAGAGGAACAGAAACTAATATTCACTGGATGGTCCTATACCTTTTCACCACTAGATGGGGGTAAAAATCACACAGTGTAGCTTTAAATACACTGCTACATGCTAAATCAATAAGTCTTATTCTAAATAAACATTGATTTGAGTTTAAGGGTACTTGTAGTTAGTGCCTAGTATGTCTAGGCAACTATGTCACAAAAGTATTTATTTACCTAGCGTTTAGCTAACCCGAGTGAAAACATGCACATTAACGACGAGTTGAGACAAATAAATGTAAATTTAATATAAAACTCTCCAAATGGCGCTCTGTGGCGCGGCAGGGTTTTGAACAAGGTCCTGAGCCGTAGCTGGGCACCGCGGACAGTGACGCCGGATGGTGTGTGTACGCTCAACGTGTTCGAATTTTAAAGACATGGCGGCGCAAGGTCCGGTGTGCGACCCCCTTAAAGGTACACTGTATCTTCCGGCGCTCTAGCTGTTGAAAAACAAAACTGCATGCATTTTGTGGAAGAACATTGTTTTGGTTGTGCTTTGTATTTTAGTGACTCGGCTGATGAAAATGGTTCTGTCTCATAGCTAAAAATAGAGAGATTTCACAATATTATTGTTTTAAATAAATGTTTGATCAAAAACATTTTTATTTTTTTTTAAAAGCAATGTTTTTATAAACCCCAAACTTTTGAACAGTAGCATATACTATGTGTTCATTTATGCACCACCAGTATAATAATCTAAAAAAGTTTTACTGAAAAAATAGAAATATATTAATGTTCTTAAATGCTACGCGAGGACCTTTGTGTGCATGTTTGTTTTTGAGACACAGAAAGATGGAAGAAAATGTGTCTGCTTCTAACTTTCTGTCTGTTTTTAACACTTTGTCTGAAGCTTTGCAGACGGAGGGCTATAGAGCATTGCCCGGAGGTAAACCACTCACGCGTGCTTTGCACTGTTTTGACTGTTGCCGTTTATTTTGCGTTGCTCTGTTGAATCATTTTGCTTTGCATTGTTTTACTGATTAAAATAACCAGTAGTGTGGCTATAAAGAGTGCAGTTTTGCATATTAAATTACACAGACGCTTTTTAGAGGCACCGCAATCAGCTCTTACCAGACATGGACGTTAGTGTTGACGTAGTTAGATGAACAGGCTGTCTGCAACTACGTCGAACGCTAGTAAATGATTTTGGGCATCTCGCAATTTTAAAGGTGTTGTGTGTGTGTGTGTTTGTTGTTGTTTTTTTTTTTTGAAGGTAAAAATATTTTTTTCCCTATTCTAGCTTAATAGTCAAAGACAGTTCGACAGCAACATTGAGAGTTTGGGGCGGGACTATATTTCCCCGACCAAACCGGGGAGTTTTTTTAACCCCTTTAGTGTCACGGGCCCACCGGTTGGCCCAAATCCATTACATTTTTAAAACAGTATTATCCTAAACTTATCTTGACAAACTATATATCATTTGAAAGCTTACAATCTCTAGTTTTCATATTTGGTGATTGATTTTCAAAACATATTACAGAGGAGCCATAATTTATCAATTTGCAACAAGAATATTTTCATACTCTAAGGCATGTTTAGACCTGTACTTTGAAATTGTGATGAACATGAAAAATCATGAAAGAAGGGTAAAAACCTGTTTGTTTTCATGCCAAGAGTTCAAAAGATAGCCTCCATTCAATTATTTTACAAAAAAAGGTCTGAAATTTTTTTAAATATAAAGAAAAAAATTACAGATTCACCATTTGAGATGTGGCAGCAAGCTATAACGCACATACTTGTTTTTTAATGTTTCTTAGAGGATGAATTCATATCAAAATCTGCCAAAACGTCTCATAATACTTCTGAATAGAATGTCTACTTCATAAATTGTATGAAAATTGTGGAAATAATTGTTCATATCACTCAAAACACATGAGTGATATGGGCAGAAATGGAGTCTGGTTGTCATCTAGTGAAAAAGTTTGGTACTGCGCCCAAACAAAATCTTACTGAAAGCTCATTTTTTGAGATATCAACCTAAAATTTGAAACACAACTTATTCAGATTTTTGGCTTTTTTTTTTGTTGCAGTTTTAGAGTCGCCTAGGTTTTGAAAATATATATTTTATATAAAATATTAATATAATTACATTTTTTATATTGTACATTTTCATAAACTCAAACTTCTATAACTTTTTTTCGTTTCACATTCTTAATTTATTTCACTTCTACAAAAATCTGCCAAATGTCTTCTTTAAAGCGAGACCAATCTTATGTCTATATTCCAAAGCATCCTTGAATTACAACCATTTAAGTTCGAAATGTGCATTTTCATCTATATTCAAAAAAAAAGGGGGGGGGGCGGTGACACTTAAGGGGTTAATTTTGTTTCCTGATTGTCACACTTCACATTTAAAAAGATCATACCTTACAGTGACCCGTGAGGGTCTTGCCTGAATATGCTTTTGTAGTGTAATGAAATGCTGATCTATGAACTAACTTTGGATACTTTGTTCTTTTTTTCATTCTGTCTCAAATTCTTCTTACTCGACAGAATCATCTGCCGGACACTCATGCAAAGTTCCATGTGTTGTTCCTGTTCTTTGTGGCGGCCATGTTCTTCATCAGTATCCTGTCCCTCTTCAGCTACCATCTGTGGCTGGTGGGAAAAAACAGAACCACTATAGGTAAGAGATTAGTATTGCCTGCTGCTTTCTCTTCCTCTTCCTTTTATATACTTTTTCCTCCTCTTCATCTTCTCTCTTTTCTCTCCATTCCTTCTCTTCTCCCTCCTCTGCTGCTTTGTCTTTCTTTTCTCCTCCCACTCCTCCTTATCATCCTTCTCTTCATCCTTCACCTCTTTTTTTATTTCATGTTTTTTTCTTCTCCTTTTCCTTTTTTCTTGTTTAGTTCATCTTTAGCCATTCAATTATTATTACTTACATCTCCTTATCATAAGCGGTTTAATGTTTGTTTATTGCATTGCCATTGTTTTGTTTTTCTTTCGCTTCACTGCAAACAATAAAATACAGTTATTGCTTTTTTTTAGTTTGTAATTACTTCCTCATTGTATTCTGTCCAGGTTCATATTTTTCTTTCCCCGTCACTCTTTGACCTGCTAGTCCTCCTATCTCTTAGTTACACATCGTGACCGACTTTTGCATCATTATCTTTTACTGAGGCAAAATGTAGTCACATGTTCAGACAACAAATAAAACTTTGCTCATTAAAGTCATATGTAAATGAATGTGGGCAGTTGGATTGTGAGTGCTTATGATGTATGTGTTTTGTTTTTTTTACAATGAAGTTTGATACTCCTCCCTAAGGTTGTTCAAAAGTAGAGATTTGTTGAGAACAGGAACAGACCTCATTCTGCTCTCTCATCCTTTGTTTCAGAGGCGTTCAGGGCACCGGTGTTCAGAAATGGTCCAGATAAAAATGGCTTCACTCTGGGCTTCCGTAAGAACATCACCCAGGTGTTCGGGGACAGCAAGCTATGTTGGTGCATACCCATTTACAGCAGGTACCCTTTAAAATGCACCAATGAATCATTCATAATTACATACAGAAACGTGTATTAAGAAAGTAAATGATAATTGAATGTTAATTGCAAGATTATAAACACCCTCATGAGAAACCATTCAGTGTTGTTGTTGCATGAGCAGCTGTATTTTCCTCTCTAGTTCAGGCGACGGCTACACATTCCCCACTCGCCTAGTCAACGTTGACTCGGAGCAAGGCAATGTTGAACACCAGGCCATTAAATGGTAATTACAATCTACTTTTTTACATTTAGTATAATTCTGCAGTTCATCATGAGAACAAATTAAACCATGATCTTTTTATCTTAGACATTCTAGAAGTCTGTTTTCCCAGAAATTTCTTCAGAGCGTCACTGTTAATAGTAAAATATAATCCAGGGTGAGGTTTATGTTGGAGCGGTGGAAATATCCATAAGTGTTGTGACTGACACATAATGGTTGTTATGGTAACAGCACTGTTGATGGACAGACAAACCCCAGACCTCTGAGTGAGTCACAGAATCATCTCCTTGGCAACGATACGCACTCCGAGGAGCAGAAAGACGGCAGTCCTGCAAACATAGGTACGTCACGGCGGAGCTTTTAATTGGAAAATGGTGTTTTTTTATCACTAAATATTGTTAGAAGTCTAATGGTTTCTCTGAAGCTTTTATGGAGACACACTGCTCCTTAAAGGGATACTTCAGGATTTAGCATTAAGCTTTGTATTAGTAGAAAACCTGTAGTATTTTCGAATTACCGTGCTTTCCACCCTCATATCCCCCTGAGATGAGGGATTTATGTTGGTTTTTTTTTTGTCTGGAAAAATTCGTCATTTTGCGTCATCAGAGGATGTCCAGAGGTTAAAGACTCCAGTCAGTAGTCGGGTCTGTCCCGCATGTCCTCAACCTGCCCATAGAGGGCGATCTCACTCACAGAATGAACACATAATGTCGGCCATCTTGTTCTGGAAGCTAAGCTAGCAGGCTCTTGTTCTGTGGAGAAAGCTGAGTTGTCTGGGTTACCATCCTCTTTTTCACGGACATGTCCGGCCGTCGATGTCCGAGATTCAGCTTTTGCTTTTTCATTGTTTACATGCACAGCTTTTGTTTCAATCTAACTGAATTCGTTCCGATTGGTGAATCTGAATGTCGTGTTTACATGAACGCTAAACAAGTGATCGGTTGATGTGCGTTTTAACATCGCTAAGAAAATTCCCGCTCCTCCGTGAGAGATACGAGACCGGTGCGTCTCACAGGTGTTTCTCATCGGTAATCACGCCGCCGGCCTCGCGCCGTTCTCCCGCGGCCCTCACTCGTCCCGCTCGCCACAGGAAACATAATGAACGGCGACTGTAGAACGCAAAAGCCACATCCCGGACATTTTTGGTGATCTCGAAACACATTTTCGGGCACGGACACTCACTAGTAGCCTAGACTTGTTGTTTAACTACTGCGCTCTGTTACCGGTAGGCGTGGCCTCTTAGGGCAGTAAAGCAAGTGCTTTCTGGGAGTTGTTGTCTTTCATCCACATAAGCCAAAAATACATTTTCTGGCTTTTCTCAGTCTAGAAAGCTCCAAATTCAAAAATTTCACATTTCTTCTACATAAATTACCCATTTTAAATACACATCATTCATTTTTCCAGAGGTGAAGTATCCATTTAATGTACACCAGTTTGCTCCCTAATGTAGTTGACCGATTACATAAAAATGTGAGGGAAATGTATGCATTTATGAAACTGATCGGTGTGGAATTGTCTTCCAGAAGTATGTCAGCCTGTTTCTGTTACCATGGAGAATGAGTCCTAATCAGGTAAGACTTTGCTTTAGTTTGAATGGGGATTGTCTTTGGGGTTATGTGTTGTAGTGGTTAAGGGTACGGTTACACGAAATCAATGTTATAAAAATGTGTTTTTTCTCTGCGTTTTTCATGTACAGACAATAACATTGTTAAAATTATCTCCGTTCACATGGATCTGTGGAAACAACTAAAAACACTGTATTATTAATGCCAGGCCAGTAGTTAGCGATGCCACTTTGTAAAGAAACTTTTGACTGAAACACACATGCGCATGACGTCACCGTTTTCACAAATTAACGTTTTTTTTTGGTGTAGTTTACGCTGAGATCTTTTTCAAAAACGTGCACTTTTTTAAAAAGTTACCTTTTTAAAGCCCAACAGTTTTCTGTTTTTAGTTGAAAATAATTTTTAGTAGTCGTGTACACGGGCCCCTAAGATTTGGGCAAGAGTCTTGTAACTTTGAATCAGTGTTTTAACGCTTTACAGGGTTCCCGCGGATCCTTAAAAAGCCTTAAAAAGTCTTAAATTACATTTTTTAAATATAAGACCATAAAAAGTCTTAAAAAGTCTTATTTTTACTTCGATTTGGTCATATCTCAATGTTTTCCAAATTAGAAATATCTTATTTGCGTACGTATTGTTTTTATTAGCCTATTCTTTGTGGATTTGCTTGTTCAAATTTGCTTGTTACCAACAAAACGTTGAAAACATCGAGATATATATTTTTGTCAATATTGCACACCCCTAATGTATGGTATTAATTTTGTCTGCAGGAACCCTGCTTTACGTTATCATTTTCTCAGAGTTTAGGCTCCTGTGTAATAGTAGCCTAGGCTATTCAGCGAACATACCAAACCAACAATTACTAAAAACACACAAAAACTGATTTTGCACGGGCATTGCACTAGTTTGTTATATTTTGTTGATTATGGCTTACAGCTCATAAAACCCCCAAATTCGAAATTAGAATATTGTGAAAAGGTTTTCATAGCCGTAAGCCATAATCATCAAAATTATATCAAATAAAGGCTTGAAATATCTCCCTTTACGTGTAATGAGTCTATATAATGGATTAGTTATGGATTAATATTCAATGGTTTAATAATCACATTTTTCGTTTTTCACCTACATGTACGGGATTTTTTTGATTGGTTGGTTTGGTGGCTGACTTGCGTTCCCTTTGCATATTCAGAGAATAGATCTTTCCAGCATTTGTTTGGTTTATCTCTCCTTACAGGACCTTGGAATGGCAGCAGGATTATGTTTCCTCTCTTAAGGATCCTCTTGCTCTAAGACCTTGTGTGAAAGAGCGCATAGCCCTCAGATATAATGCCTTAAGGATAGCAGCATCATCTTCTCATCTCTATGGACATGATTTATTTAACCTGCGTTCATATCCGCACAGACTCTTCTCCGACTGAACTCAACGACTCTTTCACCAGGTTTTATTGCATGGTGTCTAACACATTTTCTTTTTCTGAAATGCACATTTATTTGATCAAAACACCACTTTTAGGGTGTTTTTGATATCCAATATACAATGTATTTATACTGGTTAATCTCTGGGATTACTTTTTTTTTTTTTTTTTTTTTTTTTTTTTTTTGACCAAAAAAAGTTTGCCAGGTGTTTCTACCCAAGATGCACTTTTGTCAGCTGCAGATGTAAACTGATCTGAATTAACATGCAAGTGATGAGAGTGTTCCTCCGTTGAGTAAAATGCACTACACGGAAGCCTCAACCTCGACTAATGTATGAGTTAAGTATTTTTTGACGTAATTCAGAAGGTGCAATACTTTCCGTTTAGATCTTTACATTAATGTACTCTATTTGTGTAAAACTTAATGTAGTATTCAACAACTTTTAGGTCCTCTACCCATTCATTAACACTTTTTCAAACCTCAAGCCCATCAGCATTATACTATCAGCTTTGTGCCTTTGTTTGAGGGCTAGATTTAGCAGCAGATGACGTGAATCGTGACACTTCATTTTTAGGTTGTGTAGCACATGCAGCTCAGTTGTTTATTACAGAAGGAACTCAGGCCAAGATGTTAAACTTTTCATGGAAAAATGACTTCTAGCAAAGAGTATCATGTGGAGTTTTGACAGGATTTCCTTAATTTAAGTTTGAAGACAGATGAAGTTTTTAGTCCACGTGAATGTGTAATCTTGGTGTACAGTTGTTTGTTTGCGCTGTTCTGTAAGTGGGAGGAGTTCAGTGAGGTCTGTTTACAGATGCACCGTCTTCATTTATTCCAGGAGTTAGTCCAAACCGGGGGTTCGTGGACAAAAGCCCATATTAATAAGCTGCCAATGGGCTCATAATGGCCCTGAGGGATCGTAGGAGTTCGTGGGATGCCCACTCTCCTATATACTTGGTGGGGTGTGGGCCTTTCAGGACTACCCTCGATTTAACGGATCGTGATTACCCACTATACTGGGCAAACGTCACGGGACCCGCCCCCAGGTACTCCCAGGCCACGCCCCCGTCCCATGAACCCACTATTTGTCCAATAACCCACTGTATTTACCAAAAGTGCCGTAGACCCCCATGGCCCTCTATCAGAATCCAGAGTTTCGAGAAGATCAGAGAAACTTATTTTCTCGCACCGAAAAAGTCATCAGGGGTACCCCTGTTGTTTTTTCCGGGTCGAGATTTTGAGTTTATCCGATCTTCTCGAAACTCTGGATTATGATAGAGGGCCATGAGACTTAGACCTGAGTGCAAAAATTGAGGCTCTAGACCCTTCCAGAGCTGAGATCAATTTTCAGGGGGCTGGTGCGCTCGTCCGGTCGTCTACGGCCCAAGGATGGAATGGACCTTTTTTTTCGGTCTTGGACTAGCTTGGACGTGACCTCGGCTCATAAGGAAGCTCTCATGTGACTGAAATACATGCATATCTCTTCTTAAAAAAAAGATGTGTGTTTATACTTTGAAAACAGCCCATAAAACTCATTTCAGAGTTGATGATCACGGAAGGCATTGAATCGTGTTTGTAGTGAACAGTTTTTTATTATAGTTTTTCAGAATTGTTTTATTTATGTTATTGCATGTTAATGTAAAAAGTATTGAAAAGCAATGACCTGGTTGAAGGGGCTATATGAAATACCAATTTATGAGCATTTCTGCAGATCTTGAGCTGATGTAACCATTGCAACATCAAATGTAATTACTGATAGGCTGCTGCATCTGCTGGAGGTCATGTGGTATTTGAATGAGGACATGATCGTCTTTATAAACATTTTTATAGGACCGAATTATGCCAAAAATAATAATTTTAATATCAAAGAACTCGCTAATCAATCACTTACTCCCTCATGAATATGTAATGTATTACTGGAATTTAAAAACCAAACATATAGGACCATTTTCTGAATTTTATTATTCTTTCCAAAAAAAAAAAAAACCGTTGTACAGAATCTTTTTTGTACTTGCTCTGCAGGCCAGTTTGGTTCATGATGTTATATTTGAAGATGTTTCTGAAGTCTAAACAGTTTGCACAGATTTTCTGTCTAATTCAATTTAATGTTTGTACTTTGCAGATTTACCAAGAGTTTAATGTATGCGTTATGAAATGTAATTAATAAAAAAATGTTGGCACTCCATTGGCGTGTGATTGATTTTGACAGTGAAAAAGGAATGACATTGTTGACCTGCTCAACAGCAGTGCTGGAAATAAAGCTCTTAGAAGTCATTATATCAGAATCCAGAGTTTCGAGAAGATCAGAGAAACCTATTTTCTCGCACCGAAAAAGTCGACGGGTACCCCTGACGGTTTTTTTTTTTTCGGGTCGAGAAATTAAGTTCTCCAATCTTCTCAAAATCTGGATTCTGATAGAGGGCCATGAGACTTAGACCTGAGTGCAAACATGGAGGCTCTAGACCCTTCCAGAGTTGAGAAATTGAGATCCCACGTATCATTATAAATATCTCAGCTCTGGAAGGGTCTAGAGCCTCCATTTTTGCACTCAGGTCTAAGTCTCATGGCCCTCTATCCGAATCCAGAGTTTTAAGAAGATCAGAGAAACTCAAAATTTCGACCCGAAAAAAACGTGCAGGTTCATGTACCCACCCGGACTCTTATTTTGCGCTCAGTTCAACACAAGCCCCGCCCACTTGTTTCTGTCTGAAGAAAATGGCGGTGCCCATGAATATTGGAACGCTGTTACAGTCAGAAATAATAGAAGACACCAGCGACAAAGATGAGGGCGTTTGCGTATTGGGCATATTTGGGAAAAGCGCAATGCAACCTGGATCAGTCAAAGACTCTCTCATAAACACGTTAGCAGATAAACACATCTTCTCTCTCTTTGGGAGCGACGACACTGACAGTCCCGGCGGAGGAACAGCGATACAGGCGTATTACAATCAGGAGAACCGCGTGCTGTATCTCGTATTAACATCCGTTTTAGACAACCGCCAGCTTATTCGCGCGTGCGAGTCTCTGACGGCGGGTTTGGGTCACGCCGAAGCGCATGAGTTTTGGAAAACGGCAGAGAAGGATCACTGTTTGCAGCTTCTGTATCTCTTCTCGCTATGCCATGTTCTTCTGCTGGTTCATCCCACAAGTTCGTTCGACGTCACTTACGATAAGATGTTTCGCGCTTTGGACGCGCTGCGTCAGAAGGCGCTTCCCCTGCTGCGCGCCGCGATTAAAGATTCGCCCATATCAAAGGAATGGAAGTTAAACTGCCGGCCGTGCCCTCCACGTCTGCTATTCGTGTTCCAGATGAACGGAGCTCTCAGAGTGAGCTCTTCTGTGATGGGCGGGAATGGGACTGATGGCTCTGGAGGAGATAAACCCAAAAAACACTCGCCTAGAAGGCGGCTACAGCACGCTCTGGAGGATCAGATATACAGGATATTCAGGAAAAGTCGTGTACTGACCAACCAGAGTAGTAATTGTCTCTTTACAGTTCCTGCCAACCAGGCTTTTGTATATGTAGTGCCAGGACCAGACGAGGACCCTATCAGCTCTCTCCTGGGGCACCTGAGGTCCAACTGTGCCCTGCGAGAGAACGAAGGGGGTCCGCCTGTGCCCGGGCAAAGGCGCTACCAACAGATGAGGCACTCCAACAGACAGCCCTCTTTCAATGTGGAAAGCAGTCTTTCCTCAGGAGGGCAGTTAGTGGACTGCACTTTAAAAGAGTTCCTGTTTCAGCATGTTGAACTCGTATTGACCAAGAAAGGGTTTGATGACAGCGTAGGTCGCAATCCGCAGCCGTCACACTTTGAGCTGCCCACCTATTCCAAGTGGGTGCATGTCGCGAACAGACTTTATCAGGTCATGATAGAGGGCAGCGAGGATGACGCAGCCGAGATCTCCCTCAAGGTGCAGGGTCAGCTGAAAGTGCTGGAGGGGTTCCTTGACGCAGATGCCAAGTTTTCGGAAAACAGGTGTCAGAAAGCATTGCCCCTGGCTCACAGTGCGTACCAGTCAAACCTTCCTCATAATTACACCACCACAGTGCACAAGAATCAACTGGCACACGCACTGCGAGTGTACAGCCAGCATGCAAGGGGAGTCGCCTTTCAAAGGTACGCCTTGCAGCTCCATGAGGATTGCTACAAGTTCTGGAGTAACGGGCATCAGCTCTGTGAGGAGCGCAGCCTGACGGATCAGCACTGTGTACACAAGTTTCATCTGCTGCCGAAGCCAGGTGGAGATGCACATAAAATAGATTACAGTTGCATTTGATAGATGAAGAGTATCCAAAGCGGCTTAAAGGAGATGTTCACTTTTAAAAAAAGTTCACTTTTGCTGATGATTTACTCACCCCCATGTCATCCAAGATGTCCATGTCTTTCTCTTCAGTCGAAAAGAAATTAAGTTTTTTGATGAAAACATGCCAGGATTTTTCTCCATATAATGGACTTCAATGGGAACCAAACGGTTCAAGGTCCAAATGAGAGTTTCAGTACAAACTGCAAACTGTTCAAAGGGCTTTTTAACGATTCCAGACAATGAATATGGGTCTTATCAAGCGAAATGATCGCTTATTTAAAAAAAAATAAGAAGTTTAAGTTTATAAGCTCAAATGGTTGTCTTGCTCTGTTCTGTGATGCGCGTTTGACTCTCCTATTTGAACTCGTTTATCAAAATGAACGAATCTTTTTTCATGTCATTTGGTTCATTTAACGAACGAATTGACTTGGGGAAAAGATTTGTTCATTTTGATTGCACTGAAACGGTCTTTTGGACCTTGAATCGTTTGGTTCCCATTGAAGTCCATTATATGGAGAAAAATCCTGGAATGTTTTCATCAAAAACCTTAATTTCTTTTCGACTGAAGAAAGAAAGACATGGACATCTTGGATGACATGGGGGTGAGTAAATTATCAGCAAAAAAAAATTCAAAAGTGAACTAACTAATGATCTTTGTAATGGAAGTGAATCAATCAAAACTAACTTTAGCTAGACAATAACTTTATTCTACAGCTGCTGTAAAGCCAAAACAATCCGTTACGTTAATTTCCTATTATCACTGCAATTAAAACTATTTATGTTGTTAAAAACGTTATATAAATTAAGGTGATTTGACTACTAAACTGTGTGAGTTTCAGATTACTAAACTGTTTTCTGTGTTAATCAAAAGCATATCATGTAATATACATCTCTATTTTGCAGGAGAGAAGCCAGAAATGGACCACAACCCACCTATTCTATACCACAATAGTAGGGGTCGCTCTACAAGCTCCTGTAACTGTGGTAAGAAGCAGTCTCCGAGAGAAGATCCGTTTGACATCCAGGCTGCCAACTACGACTTCTATCAAGTCAGTGACTCGTTTCTTCTACCATAAATATTCATTACGTACCAGTACGTTTTAAATCTGTTCTGTCATTCGTTTTCAGATGCTCGAGGAGAAATGTTGTGGAAAGTTGGAGAGGATCAATTTCCCCGTGTTCCAAGCCAGCACACCCGACCCTGCTCCAGTCAGCGAAGAGGTGCCCAGACCCGTAGAAGTACCTCCATCGGGCGAAGCTGATCGTCTGAAGGAGAAGGAGACTAGCACTCACACGCCTGGTGATAGCACAGGTCTAAGTCTCGCTCTTAGCTTGGGCCAGTCAATGGACAGCCTTGGGACATATGGTGATGGAGCAGAAGGACAAGAGAAGAGGCCGAGCTTGGTGGACAGACAGCCCTCAACTGTGGAGTATCTTCCTGGCATGCTTCATTCCGGATGTCCAAAAGGACTGTTGCCCAAGTTCTCGAGTTGGTCTCTTGTTAAAATCGGTCCAGCTAAGGCCTACAACAGTCTAACCGGTTTAGAGCAACCTGGATTCCTCCCGGGCTCCGCTTTCCTCTTGCCCTGGGACGTCGTCATTCGAAGCCGATCAGAGGAAGACGTGGGATCGCTTGAGCCTCTAGATGGAGGCCCAGCCTCCTGGCCAGCCCCAAATAAAGCATCCGCTGGGAAGCGAGGCAGCGCTGGAGGAATTGGACGAGGGCGCAGACGGGATGATGTTGCTCGTGCTTTCGTTGGTTTCGAGTATGAGGACAGCAGAGGGCGCCGTTTCCTTAGTTCTGGCCCTGATAAAGTTGTCAAAGTGCTTGGGCAAGGTGGACCAAAGGAACCTGCGACCAGATGCTTAAATTCTGACATGCCTTTATACATTCCCTCTCCAGCTCAAGGACGAGGGATCAAGCCACACTACGCCCAGCTGGCTCGTCTTTTTGTCGTCATTCCTGATGCTCCTCTTGAGATCGTCCTGAACCCACAGGTATGATATGTTAAAGTGCACAATCTCAAATTATTAATGAATATCAACCATATTATCCATATTTTCTCCATTAAAGTACTTCTGCTCTCCTAGGTCCAGCCAGGTCCCCCTCCCTGTCCTATCTTCCATCCGGAGCAACCTGAGGTGGTGCTGCCACCTGATGGACTCTGGGTGCTACGCTTCCCTTATGCCTACGTGACAGATCGTGGACCGTGCTACCCTCCGAAGGAGAACCAGCCGCTGGCAAACTTCAGGGTGCTGAGAGGTGTTCTGCGTGCCAACACTACTAGTTCAACACCACAGTAACAAAAAATACTGATTCTGCACTTAAAAGCACCAATGAGACGTCCACAGGACGAGGACTAGATTTTCTCTTGATATTAAGCATTTTGTTTTCACCATGCTTCTTTTTGCGTTTTCTTGTGGCTGTTCTTTTTTTCTTTAACACAATTGTGTAAAAAAAAAAAAACTACAGTCGTGGCTGTAAATACAAGTTGTGTTTACAGTAAATAAAAAATGCATTGAGAAATAAACAGAAGGTGAACAATGTCATTGCAAAACTACAATACGATTTTTTAAAACGCAAAGAAATTAAGGTTTTTGATGAAAACATTCCAGGATTTTCTCCATATAATGGACTTCATTGGGAACCAAACGGTTCAAGGTCCAAATGAGAGTTTCAGTGCAGCTTAAAATGACACCAGATGACGAATAAGGGTCTTATCTAGGACCATTCGAGTCATGACTTGAAAAAAGTTCGAACAGTAGAGTCACGAACGTGCATCACAGAACAGAGCAAGGCGAGCATTTGTACTTCTAATACTTTAACTTTTTTATTTATTTTTTAAATGACTGATCGTTTCACTAGATAAGACCCTTATTCATCGTCTGATGTCGTTTAAAGCCCTTTGAAGCTGCACCGAAACTCTCATTTGGACCTTGAACCGTTTGGTTCCCATTGAACTCCATTATATGGAGAAAATCCTGGAATGTTTTCATCAAAAACCTTACTGGTAATTTATTTTCCACTTAAGAAAGAAAGACACGGACATCTTGGATGACATGGGGGTGAGTAAATTATCAGCAAAAGTTTTTTACTTAGTGAACTACTCCTTTAAATGTGTATGTAAAACAAGTCCACAGGATTTGCAGATTTGCAGCTTTTTGAGGTTTATGCTATAAAATATTTAAAAAAAAAAATTAACTGACTAAAATAAGATTGAATTAAAAGCTTAAACACTTCTTCCTAAGTAAGGATATTGCAATATGAATCTATCAATTTTATATAAATTAGAGCGTAAAGGTAAAAACACGACACAGAGAGGCGCTATTTAGTTATAATCTGCCAACTGGCGGTAAGTTACATCTTTGACATTCTCACTTGAGAATTATACACAGACTGACAATTGTAATATCTTAAAAAATACTTTATATTCGGAGTTTAACGTTTATCAAGACTTACTTTCGCTTTTAGTTACTGACAAGATAAGGAATGTTTTGGTTTTTCGCCTGCATATTCTCTGCGCTCGTTCATTGGTCTGTACACTTTTTAGGTTGGCCAATCAGCGTATTGTTGCTAGGCCGCTTTGTGTCATTTATTGGCTGGCCTGGCTGTCAATCAAACTGGGAGCTTGTAACGCGAGGCCCGATGCGCGTCGGTGCTGTAGTAACAGAGGGCTGCTGGCGAGGTGCGTGGCTGATGAAGATACCTGCAAACTTTGTGTTGTGGAGAATGATCGCCTGTTTTGCATGAAGGAGCCTTTCTAAAGAGGGAGAGAGTTCGGCCTGCGCGTCTTTTCCATTCAAAGGTAATATCTCGGTACAATCATAATGCTTTAGTGGCTCCTTTATAGGAAGTTAGACTTTTAAAAATGGAATGTGCGTTATTTGTTATCGTGACAGCTCACTACAATTTAACCTTTCAAATTTTATGAACTTATTGATAACTTCTGGATTTATGACATAGTAAATATGCAGTACATCAATGCATCATTGCAGTTAAATGTCAATAAATATAGCTAGCATCTGTGTTCCAAAAGTGTGTATTGTATCTAGACTATTTCATAATTAGTATGGCACGACTACTGCCACACTACCAACAAAAGTATGAGGAAAAATAACTGTTTATGCATCTGTCTTTCACCATGAACACAGCTTGCATTTTATATGGATATTTTGTTAATTTAACAATTCATTTTTTATGTAAAGTGCTTTGAGATGCAATTTTTAAAGGAACTATGTAAAATAAAGATTATTATAATATTTTACTTTTTATACTAAATTTTAATTTGCATGAAAATGGCCTTATAAAATAGGAAGTGTTCATTCTACACATATTGCATATTAAACTATTTAATCACAACAGCTTTGCAAACAGCTCCATTAGATCATTGCATATTAGGTTCATGTTAATCAATATTATTGTGTACCTAAATACACTCTTTTATACATAAGCAATTGTTCTTAGATGGCTAGATCACTATTGTGTACTGTTTTGTTACCACGACGTAAGTAAGTGACACTCAAGCTTGTTGTCATTTTAAAGCTGGCTTTTCTGAATTGGTTTAGCTTTGGGTGTTTTCAAGGAAGTGATTGGCAGAGGTGCTGAGCTGGTGCTCCCATCTGCACCGTCAGACTGGTGGCATCTACTATGGCCTACATACACGCACACACACACACACGCTCGTCTGACCTGGATCCATCCCTCCGTCTCTCCACCTGACCCTCTCCGTTTCCAACACTGTTCCTTTCAGTGTTGATGCTAGCATTGCACATTCATGGGTATTCCTGTAGGTTCGTGCTGTCAGCGTATGGTCATGAGCTTGAGAGGTTTGCATAGGTGCCGTTATACTTGGGGAGGAATTCACATGACCAACCTTTAGAAAGCCGGTATGTTATTAAATATAAAATGTATTCATTTAGAGGTAATTTGTATTTGGCTCTCAAATGCAGCTTGCATATTAAAAATATACCGTTTATTTTTACGTTAGATCTCTCTTTATCTGTGTTTGCATTTGCTAAGCAGTAGTACGAATTAAATCATTTTGATGAGCCGCTTGTATTTGTGTATTATTGTAATTACTTTAATAGGCAAACTGTAAAATAAAGTGTTAATCCATCAGATGTCTAAACGGCTAAATCTCACAGCATATGTGTGTTCGCAGCAGGGGGTTTTATGTTTGTGCTGACGGGTTTCAATGGACAGCAAAAAAAGGTGCTATTGTGGGAGCAGCCTGCTGTGTATTATGGGAGAGGGGGGGTTCGCCACCTGTCCGGGGGTCCTTGTTGTCTGTTTAGATGTCCTCTTACTGCCTGAAATGCACTAGACTTTTTATGATGTTTTAGTTTAAACAAGGAAACAAACAGCCATTTATTAACAGAAGATTTTTATGCTGATGTACCTGCTGGTTATTGTTACATAACAGACATTTTTATTAAAAACAGGGATTTGTCTGATGTTTGTTAGTGTAATATGTCGGGATGGAGATGATATTGGTTTAATAATATTATGCAATTGAAAACAACCCAAGTTACTGGGGGACATCAGTTCAATTTTTTTGTATACATGCATAAACAAGAAAGGAAACTAAAAAACACCATTATCTATTTTTGATAGTTTGGGGTCTAACCATCAGACACGTAAACAATAAAGGCTCTTTATTGGCATTGGTGGTTCCATAAAGAACATTAAACATCCATGAAACCTTTGAATTGCATAAAATGTTCCGTTACAATTTTAAGAACTCACTAAAGGTTTAAAGGGATATTTCACTTTGAAATTAATGTTTGGTATGTTTTAGTTTACCTCAAGGGCATCCAAGATGTAGGTGTCTTTGTTTCAGCAGTATTTTCAATGTTGATATTTTTAGGTCAAACCGTTCTTGTTTGTCAGTCAGACATATAATGGAGGTCTATGGTCACCACCTCAAAGAGCATGCACAGAGAAGTCCAAATTAAACATGATTTAATAACTCGTAAATGTAAGCACACATTGATGGCCTAAGACACGAAACGAGCGGTTTGTGTGAGAAAACCAACAGTATTAATATCGTTTTTACCTCGGCCACATGCTCTTTGAGGTGGTGACCATAGACCTCCATTATATGACTGACAGACAAGAACGGTTTGACCTAAAAACTACTGCTGAAACAAAGACACCTACATCTTGGATGCCCTTGAGGTAAGCTAAAACATACCAAAAAATAATTTCAAAGTGAACGGGGAACCCAAAATGGTTCTTTTATTGAATCGCTATACAAAACCCCTCCTTTATTTTTAGTGCATCACTCAAGCCATGACTGCAGTCTTGGATTTGTAACCGCAGCCTTTATTAGATTTGTTTGTTGAGTGTGTAGTCAGACTCAGAAGACGAAAGATTAGCCATGTTTGGACAGATGATGAATGAGATCTGTTCATTATATATGTGTTTGGTTGGTCTGATCCAGACTAATTCGGAATGGTAAACAGACAAAGTAGACGGAGACAGAGCGTGCACCATTTCTGTGATAATGACACCGGTAATTATATTGGCGACAGGCGTTTATCATCATCTCATCGGTCGAGATCTGAATGAATTCCAGCCCCTGCATCTCCCATAAATTTACCTTTTAATCGCTTTACCTCCAATTAGCCGTCTACCCGCACCGCATCCATTCTTTGTGGATCCTATGTAATCGTGTTAGAAGTCGCATGAGGAAATTATGTTGCTGCTGCTGTATCATTTGGCCAAATTATACAGTTCCCTAATGGCAGAGCAAACACAATGGTGCTTAATTATGCCAAGGAGAGTCAGATTTCAAATCTCATGCTGCTGTCTAGAGTAGTCTCCGACTGTACTTTTATACGGCCTGTTTGATCGCGTCCGTGCCAAAGCAAATATAATCACAGAATTGCAAATAGATTCCCAGGAAACCTTATTTGCAGCCCTTTTTGTGGAGTTGTCTTAATTTAATTTGCCACAGAGTCATTGAGTTCATGTGCTGTCTAAAAAAAGAATTTATTCCTTGAGTGTGCTCAGACACTTGGCTTTATTTGTATGGTCTCATTTAGTTAACATCAACTAAGATTATTAAGTGTTTTAGAAGTAGTTCATGTTAACTATGTGGGCAATGTTATCAAGTGAAACCTTATTGTTTAGTGTTTTCATTAGTATTGACATTTAAACATTTTCTAAATATATGCTTTATGACCTCAGCAGGCTTTTTTGCTGACTCACGAATGCTTTTGTTTATGTGATAATTACGTCGGTTTGCCGAGATGTGGTTGGAATTCGAATATCTGATGATGTCACTCACAAGGCCCTTTTTCGATCTCGCGAGCGAATAGCTGTCCGCGCTTCTGGGTAATTAAATGAGATGCCTGCGGATTCTTTTAGTAATTAGTTCTGCCTTAAATCTCGTCCAAAGCTGCTGCCGACGTGAAGGAGGTCAAGATTTCAAACTTATTCATTGGATTTAGGAAATCACATCACATTTGTGTACCCTGAAGAGACAAAAATGATAATACAATTATGTCATCAGTAACTCATGTCATCCCAAACCTGTATGACTGAAAATGAGATGTTTAGAGCAATGTTCAAGCCGCTCTTTTACATTGAAATGAAATAGTGACCCAGAGGCTGTCAAGCTCTAAAAACAAAGCACCATAAAGTATTTGAGAGCGACAATGTAGGGACAATTTGAATAAAATGGAAATTTTGGTCTTATTTTCACAGAATATAGTGCATCAACTATGTCTTTTTACCTCCCAAGCAACATTTCGTCTTGATCAGAGCTTGACAATAACACCTTTTGAGTTGTATAGAAAACATTTTTCAACTGTAGTCTTTTAAAAAGGCATCTGAAATAATAAACTACAATGTAGTTAGGGTTGGGTTTCGTTTGAATTTGAACGATTCTGATTCCAAATCCTTGTTTCGATTCCGGTTCCTAACGATTCTCGATTCCGATTCTTTTAAGAGGCAGGGTCAAAAAAGTTTAGCTAACCTTGCTAACCAACGGTCTTTCTGAAGGAAATACTCCTTCTGTCACAAATACTCCTTTTGTCACAAATTTTGCATTATGCCGAGATTTCGTTATTTTTAGAAAAGTGAAGCCACACTTTGGACCGCCGACGTTAGCTACTCATGTTCGACTCGCGCGGTTATGCCAACACTTCCGGTAGACGCTTCTTCGTTGGTGTTGTTCAGCGGTTTCTTCTTCCGCTCGGCGGACTGTGAATATCGAAACTAGGAATCGAAATTTTAACTTTTGAACGATTCCGGGAAAAACGAAAAGTTAGTCCCGGTTCCAATCGATACTCGATTCTCGATACCCAACCCTAAATGTAGTGGTGAAAAATATAGACTTTTCAATACATTTCAATACTCATTTTACAGCAGAATGGATACTCTCTCACTCGTTTCATTTTCTCAGGATGAATATTGTTGAATTGAATTTTGGTGTGGAATTGTGCATTTTGTGCATAATTTTACTCATTCCTGCAGATTTTGTACTCCAATCCAAAGTGTGCGCACATAAAGCCGCCTCTCAGTACTAAATTTAGTTATTTTTTGCTGCTTATTGCTCTTAAACAGTCAAATGCACACAAAATAATGTCAAAATGCCGGCCTTGGGGCGAGTATTCCCGTAATTATGTTTTAAATGAGCGTAAACAGACACGTGTATCAGTGTAATGGTTTTAAAGTGACAGCAGCCTAATATACCTACTGCCAAATTATGAGATTATGTTAAAATATGCACAGAAATATGGCAGATTTTCCCTATGGCCAGTGAAAATGCAGAGTGCTAATCACTTGATTGGTCAGCAAAAACGTTAAAGGACTAGTTCACTTTTAAAAAAACTTTTGCTGATAATTTACTCACCCCCATGTCATCCAAGATGTCCACGTCTTTCTTTCTTCACTCGAAAAGAAATTAAGGTTTTTGATGAAAACATTCCAGGATTTTCTCCATATAATGGACTTCAATGGGAACCAAATGGTTCAAGGTCCAAATGAGAGTTTCAGTGCAGTGTCAAGCCCTGGTTATAATATATGAATTTGTTATATTTAAACTAAGCACATTTTATCAGGGAATAAACGGTTGAACAGAGATGAGCATTGAAATCTGTGTTTGAGTCCACGTCATTGGCAGGTCTCCAGCTCTCTGCATTAAAAAGCCGCCTGTGATACAGCTCAGGCCCTGTTAACCCGAGGCCAGGATGAACGCGGGACCACACATTCACAGCTAGCTGTCAGACAACAGCTCACAGATACTCTGATTCATGCGTATTTGTGAATGACGTCTGCTGCTGCATTCACTGTTCTGTATCTCTTGCTGACGTACACTCCTAAAATGTGTGAATGTTATTTAATTATTCATTATTTATTTACAGCGTTTTCTTAAAGGGACTGCTGTTTGATTTTATCCATCAAAATCAATCCTAATGTTTTTTTCATAACTATTTGCCTTCCGTTTTTGCAATTGTGACCTTAAATAAGTGAAATTTTATGCTGTGATCTGTAAATGAAGAGTTCAGATGCAAAAGCCTCTAAGTGCCATTTGAAATTTTCTTCTTTAATGATGATTTTTATCAAACTTGTATTTTTAAGTTCAGTAATTTCACTTAAATAACAATTAATAGGTAATTATCATTGCCATTTAAGTGAAATCACTGAACTTAAATATACAAGCTTGATATAAATGATCATTCTAGAAGAAAATTTCAAATGGCACTTAGAGGCTTTTGCATCTGAACTCTTCAAATGTTCATGTTAATATGCTTAAATATGATGATTTCTGAACCTACACTGGTCAAAAGTTTTTGATGATTTTTGATGTTTTTGAAAGAAGTCTTCGCTCACCAAGGCTGCATTTAATTGGTTAAAAATACAGTAAAACAGAAATATTGTAAAATATTATTACAATTTAAAAATAATTGTTTTCTATTTTAAAATGTAAATTATTCTTGTAATGGCAAAGCTATATTTTTTCACCATCATTACTCCAGTCTTCATTGTCACATGATCCTTCAGAAATCAATCTAATATAATAATTTGGTGCTTAATTATTAATCATGTTTATATTATTAATAGGGCTGTCAAACGATTAATTGCAATTAATCGCTTCCAAAATAAAAGTTTGTGTTCACATAATATATGTGGGTGCACTGTGTATAATTATTTTTTATATATAAATACACACTCATGCTTGTATATATTTAAGAAATATTTTCATGTTATTTTCATATATTTCATATTTTCATTTATATTATATATAGATTTATTTTATATATAAATAATATTTTCTTCTTAAATGTACATTCATGTGTGTGTATTTATGTATATATACAAAATAATTATACACAGTGCACCCACATATATTAGGTCAGCACAAACTTTTATTTTGGATGCGATTAATCGCGATTAATCATTTGACAGCCCTAATTATTAACAATGAAATTATATTCTTTGCTGAAATATATATTTTTTATTATTTAAATCTTACTTACCCCTTACTTTTGAATTTTCCACAGACATATTGAGCAGCACAAATGTTTTCAACATTGAAAAAGATTTTACTCTTGCGCACCAACTCATCATATTAGAGTGATTTCTGAAGGATCATGTGACACTAAAGACGGCTGCTGAAATTTCAGCTTTGCCATCACAGGAATAAATGACATTTTAGAATACCTACACATATTCTAGCTTGTAATAATATTCACGTGTGTGTGTTCCTCACAGGTGTGCTCTCCTCCCTCCTGAAGCTTCACCACGGCCCTCACCTGTGTGCTCCACTGTTTCTCCAGCGAGTCGTCCTGGACGTCCCGGCCCTTCCTGCTCCGCCCCCGTGCCGTCTCCCCCGCCACGGTCGCCATGACGCGCTCCAAAACCTTTCAGGCCTACCTGCCCAACTGCCATCGCACCTACAGCTGCATTCACTGCCGAGCGCACCTGGCCAATCACGATGAGCTCATCTCAAAGGTAGTCTCTTTTAGCATGTATCGCGTTCACGTGTTAGGGTAAATACCAAAAGCCGACGTGGAAAATGCTTATGAACACCCCCTCATGTGGGATTTTCCACTGGGTAACTCGTAGAATATTTTGATGGACGGGTTGCCGAGATGAGGTAACCTTTGACCTTTTCAAAATGGCCGAGAGCAACGCGAGAGTCGTGAATGGTAAAAATATGTACTATTCATGATCTAGAAAATATACAGCATATTATTTACTGTTTGAGTTTTGATAAATCATCTTGCTGTTGCAGATGACTAAGCAATCTAAAATAGTTTTAGCTAAATAACAGGTCTGGATCTCCATCTTTTGATCTTTAGCACTTGAACGTAACACACTGGTAAATACCAGTTCACAAGTGGAAAATATCCTATTTTCCATAGCACGTGAACTCGGCATTAATCAAACCTGTACGTAACCTCACATCAGGACAGTTACAATTAACTCAGTGTTTCAATTTTAGACAGACTTCCTGTTAAAAGCTCATCAATCACTACATGTTTTTAAATTAGTTGCACAATGTTTAACATATACCATGGAATAACAAAAGTCATTAAAAATGCAAAATCTCATTTGTATATTTTCAGTGCTGTGTACTAATGCTTGATTTGTTTTTGCATTAAAATATGTATTTGAAAAATTTGCATATGTATTTGTGTAATGTGAGCTTAAAAATGGTGTATTATAATCTGTATACATTTTTTTGAGAAATTAATGATTTTGTTCAGCAAGGTTGCATTAAATTGATCAAAAGTAATGGTAAAGACATTGCTTCTAAATATTTAATCTCAAATAAATTAGAATTTTATATCAAAATATATCACAGTTTTCACAAGAATATGAAGCAGCACTACTGTTTTCAACATAGATAATAATAAGAAATGTTTCTTGAGCACAAAATCAGCCTATTAGAATGATTTCTGAAGGATCATGTGACACTGAAGACTGGAGTAATCACGCTGAAAATAAATTGCATTTTAAAATAGAAAATTGATTTTCAATTGTAATAATGCTTCACAATCATATTATTTTTATTGTGTTTTTGATCAAATAAATGTAGCCTTGGTGAGTATTTTATTATTTCAAAAGCATTTAAAAAATATTATTAACCACAAACATTTGAGCAGTAGTGTAAATATTTTTGGTAACACTTTACAATCAGGTTTCATTTGTTAACATTAGTTAGCTACATGTCACATGATGTGGGCAGACACCGATGGCACACTGTTTGTGAGGTGTGTGTTATTAATGTATGTGGGTGGAGAAATTAAACAAAAGGTGTCAAGGATTAATAATAGCACCTGTAATGCATAATGTGAACATTGTGTGTGTGAGTTTGGCTTTTGTCTGCGCATGGAGTGTGTGTGCAGGCAGAATGTGGGTCGATAAGGCACTCGGCTGCCTGACGTACGTCACAAAATCAAGGATGAAGGGAAGCAGGTCATCATATGGGCTTTTGTGTGCCACAAGAGTAAGAGTAATCACGTTTTTGCAGATGAACACCTACATATACCCATAATGCACCACTAAATTCTGTGCCCAGGGTGCCACGGTCTGATAGACCGTGTGTGTGTGTGTGTTCACAGATTAGAAAAGATTGTTTTTGCTACATTCAATAGTTTGCAAAATAAACCCAGTGGTATCTGGTCTGACGAGGCTAACTTGTGTTTCAAGGAAAGCGAGAGCGCTACAGGCGGTTCTGAAGTCGGATTTAAGGGTGAAATGATAATTAGATTTCAATTAGTTCGAATCCCTCTATACTAAACGCATGTCAGAATGGACCGACATAATAAATGTAGTAGCTTAAAGTAGGTTAATACAGTTTTGTACATTAGGAGGCTAATGTTATGCTTCAACCATAAGGTAGTGTTACAGAAAACCTAATACAGCATTTAGATAGTGTTAATTGTAAATTTTTTTTTACACGATTGATTAAATATACAATTGAAAATGCCATTTAATCAATATGTCTGAATACGTATTAAAATGTTATTAATTAATGTCAGCTCTTTAATACAAAAATAAGGTAATTTACTCAACACTGAAAAGAAATTATAATTTCAATCCAACAGTCATGTTTCATGCAAGACGTCATTACAGAATAATAATGCATCATTTTGAATTGATTAAATAAAAAACAGGCAGTTTTCACAAAAATATTAAACAGTGCAAATTAAGAAATGTTCCTTGATCACTAAATCAGTATTTTAGATTGATTTTTTGATGCATCATGTGATCTGAAGACTGGAGTAATGATGCTGAAAATTCAGCTTTGCCATCATAGGAATAAATTACATTTTAAAATCCTGTATACAATGTTAGATTTTAATAATATTTCACAATATTTTAACATTTTACTATGTTTTTAGTCAAAGGAGCCTTACAGAGACTTACAGACTCCAAATGTTTGAATGTTAGTTTTCCTTATGTTTATGAAATATTTTCCTTACACTTTAAATATACTTGTGTTTATATGTATATATACATCTAATTAAAAATGTTTTAAAACATATTTTTAGGTTAAATACTTTAAATAAGTTACTCTAAACACTGAGAATGTGTTTGAACATGTTTTTAACAATTAAGGAACCGTCTGTTGAATCATTGAATCTGATGAATGAATCATTTAATTCATTTTGATGTATTGGATCAGCCAGTTTAAACTGATTCACAGAAAATGAGTCCAACACACTCTAAAAGAGTTTATGATTATGTTCACGTGTTTAATGTATTTTGTCTCAAGTGTTTACCTTTTGTTGGCATGGTTTCAGCCGGGTAGGTTAATTAGGCTTAAGATAGATAAAGAAAGCTATTCTGTTCCATATAGCACAGCCAAAATGAATCCGCCCTAATGATCTTATATGGCCAAACCGCCTCCAAACACCCATAATTATGACCCTGGTTCTGCTTTGCGTCATGCCTGGGAAATCCTGTCCTCATGAATGGAGCAGAGACGGGAATTCGATTTTTTTTTTTTTTTTTTTTTTCAAAAGATTACCTGATTGGGCAGTCACAGTACAAGTAAATGATGTTAAACTACTTTTGTAACGCATAAGCCAGCCAATTCAATAATCTCTCTGTTTTATTTCTTTTGCAGTCTTTTCAAGGGAGTCAAGGCAGGGCATACCTCTTCAACTCAGTGTAAGTCTTGTAGTTTGTCATAACCATGCAATAGAAAGTGGTAAAGCAACAAGCAAAATATAATTTCAGAATGTTCATGATTTTTGTTGTAATCTTGACATCCTCTTTTCATGGATCAGGGTGAATGTGGGCTGTGGCCCAGCGGAGGAGAGGGTACTGTTGACCGGTCTCCATGCGGTGGCCGACATCTACTGTGAGAATTGTAAAACCACTCTGGGCTGGAAATATGTGAGTTCGGGATCACACCTCAGACAAACAATCATGATCGTTAAACACCGGATGGCAGTGGCGTGCATAGGGGGCGTGCCCCTGTCCCTGTCCCTGCCCTGCCCTGTCCTGCCCCTTTTGTATCAAAATGTATTGTGCCCTTTTCTGACAATTGTAAATAATAATAATTATTACTATAAATATTGTAATAAACACCAATACTTACCACCCTTGCAAGTAACAATAATAATATGAACAAATATTATATATATATTTTAAAAAAAAATTGGCGGAGAAGTGGTTGGCGGAGTTTCCTTTGCAACGCCTCGCACGCATTTAAAGGGATAGTTCACTTTGAAATTAATTTTTGGTATGCTTTAGTTTACCTCAAGGGCATCCAAGATCCACAGTATTTTCAATTTTGATATTTTTAGGTCAGACATATAATGGAGGTCTATGGTCACCACCTCAAAGAGCATGCACAGAGAAGTCCAAATTAAACATGATTTAATGACTCATAAATGTAAGTACACATTGATGGCCTTAGACACGAAACGAGCGGTTTGTGTGAGAAAACGAACAGTATTTATATCGTTTTTACCTCTTGTAACCACAGCCACGTCCAAGTGATCTGAGGGCAAGGGCGCTTCTTTCTTCTGTGTATATTTATATATATACACACACACACGTGTCTATAATTACGGAAAAAAATATTATTTATATATAAAGTATTTATATATATATAATATAAATTATATATAAATCTATATACATGAAAATATTTCTTAACTGTATACAAGCAAGTGTGAGTATTTATATATGAAGAAAGTGCGATTTGAAATTTTCTTCTAGAATGATCATTTTTATCAAGCTTGTATATTTAAGTTCAGTGATTTCACTTAAATGGCAATGATAATTACCTATTAATTGTTATTTAAGTGAAATTACTAACCTTAAATATACAAGTTTGATAAAAATCATCATTAAAGAAGAAAATTTCAAATGGCATTTCGAGGCTTTTGCATCTGAACATCATATATAAAATAATCATACACAGTGCACCCACATATATTATGTAAACAAAAACTTTTATTTTGCATGCGATTAATCACGATTAATCGTTTGACAGCCCTAATGAATTCATTAACATGATTAACATTTTAATTTAAAGAATAAGCATATCGGAATAGATTTAGAAGTTGGCACTTGTTACCAACAGCAGACATGTAGTGAAACGTCTCTTATATTCTAATACTGCATTTGATTGACATATCCAGAAAAGCTCCCCGTTATTTTTAGCTCAACAGATCTTGACTTGACCGTTTCTGTTTTTCTCTCTCCCTTCTTTAGGAGCATGCCTTCGAAAGTAGTCAGAAGTACAAGGAGGGCAAATTCATCATCGAGCTGGCCCACATGATCAAGGACAACGGATGGGACTGAAGACCCTGAGCTCTCCATCCTCGAGGCCCATAACGCTGGAAAGAGACATGCAGCATATGAATAATTGGTTTCATTATCTGGCTGTAACTTCCTCCCTGGAAATCTATCTACCTGACACACACCTCTAAACCTTGAGGGTGCAAGGTTCATAGCAGCAGCAGCAGCGCTCCCCCCATCCCATGTGTGTGTGTGTGTGTGTATATACACACATATATACGCGTTTGACTGGACCAATATGTGCCAGCTAGACACCAAGTGTTTATATTATGTGAGTATTTTCCTATTCTATTCAAGGGAGTGCACAAATCGACATTTGCTTTCCTCTGGGTTGGCCGAGGTCACGCTCAGGTTTAACTAATGGCTGGATCCATGGTAAAAGAAGGGTGAAAGACGAACCCATTTAGCACGGCACCTTTTAACTCATTGGTGTTTTAAACAAAGCAAAAACACACTAAAACGGAAGCGACATCCATTTGTTTCCCTTACGTGTCTTTATTTCTTCTAGTCTTGTCATTATCATTCGCATGTTGTTTATTTATACGTATATTTATTGATTTTGACGTGGTTGGTAAACCGTAGCAACCACGGTGGTCTTTGACTAGTGGAATTAGCCATGTTTGATAGAGGCTTGTACGTACACTTCCTCTCCAGATTGTCATCTGTCTCCTTTTGAATGTGGTTATGGAGTAAATGAGGCATTCGTATGCCATTTATAGGGCACCAGGTCGCTGTACGTTAGCTAGCACGAGGCGTTCTTACAGCCTGTGATGTCCCATTCGGTCTCCAAACCACAAATCATGTGGTAAACCAGACTTTCTCACCCC